ACGGTTTTCATGCTTCTTACAATCCGAGTCTAGCAGACGAAGTCTGAGCCAGCAGGATGTAAGAATGTGCACAAAGCTCAATATGAAGAAAGGCCTCACCAAATGAAGAGTGATGAGAGTGCATTTATAGAAAACGATAGGCAAAGCCTAGAAGCGAGGATCACTGTTCACTTGGATGAGTATGCGGTGCATAGAGAGAGAGAGTGCGGAGTGCTTACCTGTGCTGGATAGACGTGGTCTGAGAGAGAGAGCGCCAGCACAGGAGAGGGAAGCAACACCGATAACTTCTCCTAACCCAGCATCTGCCAAACTTTGGCACTGAGTCAGGGATCGATGTCACAACCATGATTGACGAGCGGGGCTCAAGGGGGAAAAGGCTCAGCGGAGCTGGTCCTTTTCCTGGCGGAGTTTTGAGTTGGCGCAGAGGCCTACGAAATGCCTCCTTACCCTTGGAACCCGCCATTACGACGACCTCTGCTGCGCTGTTCAAAGGTGGAGAGATCACGAGGTGGTGATAGCAGCAACAAGGGGTCGCCAAAGCGAGGCGAGCCCCAAAACAACGTATACATATGTATGTATCTTTAATCCCTAAGGTTGACAGGTAGCCCCGTCTCTTTTCATATAGGAAGTACTACGCCAGATCAAGGTTCGACAGCAGAGCTGACTCCGGCCAGCGGGCTCACCCACAGAACCACACTCTTTTTCCCTCACTACCCGCCTCTCAGCTTACGGACCTCAAGCACAAGACCTATTAAGACAAGAACACCAGCATCACACCGCTCAAGAGGACGAAACACGTCACGCGACAGAACACAAAAACTGGATTTTCTCTTTGCCTAATCCCGCTCGTCCCTAAAGCTGTACCTATCGCTCGCGATCAGGTACTACTTGGAAGACCAAACGCTTAACAGACGGAATACAACATATGGGGGAACGACGTAACTACCCCGCCCATGTTAACGGATGCCCCTCTAAACGGTGTTTCCGTGCCAGGCTGGTTTTTTGGGGAATGATCGCCATGGGCGGCGTGCCTCCACCAGTGCATGAGGGGATCTACAGGGGGTTAGGCATAAATGGCATTGGGGCCGTAGGTAGTTTACTAGAATGTAACGTCTGACATGGGGCTCTGCCCCGATGGACTATAAATTTGACTCGAAAAAAAAAAAAAAGAAAAACTTTAATCCCACTGCAGACAACCACAGAGATGCTTGGGAAATGGCCAAGGGGTCCAGTACATGTGACCGAGATTGAAAGGAGAGTCCAGCCTCGCAACATATGTAGGTGGTTGAAATTGGGTTGGAACCTTGACTGCTAGAAAAATAAGCCGTGATCCAGAGAAAAGCTTATACTTTCAACAGGCACGCGAAGTGGGCGTGTAGACAAAGTATAGAGAATACAAAAAATTCGTTTAAAGTAACCAACAGTAAGGCATTCCTCACAACTCGAGATGCGGATCCGCATCATCATTCTTGTTCGTATGTCATCATCTCGCGCAAACTTGGACAGTGATCGCATTCAAGACAATTATCCAAAACCAAGGAAAGACCTTGATCTGTAAACGGTGCCAAAATTTGGCTTACCCGATCCTTGAAACCCTTGTTGTCTGTATCAACATTATCCGGAAATGTGAGGGTCAGGCGTCGCAGCCGCGCAGTAGTCCAGTTGGTCTGTGAATTGAGCCCATCATAACACCTTGACCGCAAGAAGGAAATGAGGGATTCCAGGAAAGCATCAACATCCTCAATACTTCGAATGTCACAATGAAGGATTTTGAGCTTTGGAAGGAGCTGGTGGGTGAACGAAGAGGACGTGAGAGCTTCAAAAAAGTTGGTGTAATTTATTGCCACGGAAAAGTGAAGTTTGGTGATAGAGAATGACGAGTTGAGCAAGGAAATAAGCTGGGATTCTGTAAAAGCCATATTTCCGGCGATGGCGAGGTTTTCAAGAGAACCATTGCAGGTGGCTGGGATGTATCCCTCCTCAACGTAGTTGAGAGAGCGTTCATCAAACAACCACTGAAGTCTTCTCAGTGTGGGGAAATTGAGTCGGTGAACGTTGGGCACCCTTGCCGCACCACTGGTGATGTGAAGAGTTAAATCAATGAGATGGGGGAGGTTTATCTCATAATCAACTGTTGGAATGCTGGCGAGACGATTATTCATGGAAAATATTCCATGCTGGAGATTAGTACAATGGGAGATAAGATAATACCACGTGTCCACGTCAAATTCGGTTTCAACACGTAGATGAGTCAACTGTGACCAAGGAAGCAAATTCTCTACTCCTGTTGGCCGGATGAAACCACGGAGGTCGGCAGAGCAGAGACGAGGTGCTGATTGGAAGAGACGACGAGGGATAGCCCTGGCATCCAAACCCTTTGAGACTTTCAAAGAGATAGACTCCAGTTCTGTAAATTCTCGTGATATAACTGCAAGAAAATATGCATCGCACGGGTATTCAATCTTCAAAGAGAGGCGCTGAAGGTGTGAATTAGGGAGCTCCTTCAGCACGCCTTCCAAACTCGATATTAGTCTTTTATGGTCATAGCTATAAACCAGATCGAAGCCGAGAGAAAGCGGACATCTGCCTGCACGAGCAAACCAGCTGTCCAAGATGTGTGGGATGGAGGGATGAACACTGAGCACTGTTTTCGGAATGTAAGCTATTTCCCGGTGGAAGGCTGCTTTCAAATCCAAGGATTTCCAGAGAGGGGGAAACGCTAACGCCGTCCTACGCCATTTCGAGCATACTTGGCATAAGAGCAAGGGCGCATCGTATGTAATTTTTTTCACATCTGTTGGCGTTGTTGGGAGGCAGAGCAGAAAGATTTCCCAAAGTAAGTCAACCAGAACCCGTCGTATCGGGCTCAGTATTGATTTCAAGACTTCGATATTCTTCAATTCTTGATCTTGTTTAGAGAGCAGCTTCTCACGACGAGACTGTAGCGGAGCGATCTGAAGGTCTAAGCCATTGATCTGCGAGCCGATCAACGAAAGATTTTCTTTGTGAGAAATCGTGAGTGACTGGACTGCCTGCTGCTCAGCACATGAATAAGACTCTTGAAATGGATCACAGAGCGCTGTTATGTCTTCTGGGAGGTCATCCACCTGGAACGGTGTCAGAATCAAGTCAGAATGGTACGTCATTGTTATAGGAGAATTGAAGATTTACCTCAAAGTCAGCCATAATGTCTGAGGTCTGGAGAGAAGGATAAGAAATTGAAGGCAAAAAAATCTGTCGGACTAACGCTATTTCTCTCCAATGTTAAACGAGTTGATGTTGGGTTGTGCCTTGTAATTCCAAACTCCGATTCAGAGGCCAGTCAATCACGTGACTTTGAAAAGGAGGACCGAGAACCTGAGGCCTGGGCCCGATTGTATTCAATTGCCTATGTTGTCACACTGGGTAGGGTGAATTTGCCAATGCAGGGAGCTGTTTGGAAGGCGGTTGTGTGCGATCCAAACAATGTGAGTTACTCATTCTGTTTGCTCTGAATTGATTATCTCTAATTAGTAGTAGTAATATTCCTTTTTAGAGTAGTTTTACACCTCTCCTTCGCTTGCCGGAACGCGTATCGCCCTCCACTGCATGGAATCGGCATGCCAGTGTAATCAATATCAGTGCATACCAATCTAGAGAGAACTCCGGTTTTTCTAGAGTTAAACCTCAATCTCATCCCGACTCGGACTCATAAGTGAAAAAGTATATTCGATGATTGCACTACGCCGAGAAGAGAGACCCTTTTGTAACTTATCTCCGCTGGGTTCCAATCCCCTCTTCCCAGCTGCCGGTGTAGTTCGAGAATGAAAGCTGATTAAATCATTCCAGAGCTCATCGTGCCTGCTCGAAACGCGTTCAACGTAGAGTTCGATTAATTTTGCTCCACCCAATATTAGCCACCAAGCTACTACGACATGACTGACACAAACATCGCCCAGCTTCTCCGACTAGAAGCTACCCAGTAAGTAGTGGTAATTACCCAAGCAAACATTGTAATGCAAATTTCGAGACGGGTGGCGTATCTCACAAAGCCTGTACTTGAGAATTCCGACCGTTGTCAGAGCTGAAATCAAGAACATAAAAAGAGCGCAAATTAGCACTAGCTCTGGGTTTTTCGCAACTGTATCCACCAAAATGATGATCGGTCGGACGATGGTACGGTGGACAATGGTGCCGAAGAGAGTTCCTACGCTTGAAGGCTCCCCGTCTTCGTGAATTCGGATGGGTGTAGGAATAGAGAGCGCCTCTAGAGCTCTTTGGATATATTTCTCCGCAAAGACTTGGAAGGTTGGCGGGGTTTGTTCCGGGACATGGGATGGTTTGGCGGTAGGAGGTGCCAAATTCTGGTTGAGCTGCTCAGCGGTAGCGGTGGGAGATTCCCCATCTACAGCAGAGGCGACCTCCACGCCCGCCTGAGCGGAGGCAGCCTTCCTAACGGCGAGGACTATCTGTCCTGCGGAGTCCTGCCATGGATTATCTGCGTCATCTGCAGCGATAGTCGAAAGGTCGTGGATCGAAGTGAACCGCTGTGGAGAGCAAGAGAACAGAGGCATCGCTGGGAAAGGTTTGGCCTCCAGTCCGACTCCCTTCCTCATTTTCGCTAACTGCTTTGAAACTTCGGACTCAACAATTTCTTGGAGCTGGCTGAGCACGTCTTCGGTTACGGTTTGAATTATTTTGTTCTCACGAGACTCCGCTTGGAATAATGGTCCTTCGAGAATCTCAGATACGGCGGATGAGGGCCCAGAGACCTGATGAGTTCCCAAGAAAAGAAAGGTCGGTTAAAGAGGTGGACTGAAAAACGAGTAAACTAACGATGGTTTCTTTGAAACAGGTACGTCGTAAGATCACGTCCGAAGTTTGCGATCCGTGATTAGGGGTGGTTGGAGGCGTAGTGGACATGTTGGCGGGGTGGCTTTAATGGGGTGGATTTCGACAGGAGAGTTTGAATTGGACGCCTCAACTCGACGACCTTTATCAGGAATCCAGAGCGTGGCTCAAACAAAGAGTTGGAGACTACCACGGAAAAAATCCTCGGATGACTCCGATGTTTCTTTCACAATGCGCAAAAGAGACCTTTGTCTAAGAATAAAACGTCTTTTGTGGTAATAAACGCGTGCAAAAGAAAAGAAGGGCTTACCTAGTCACATTATCAAGCCTGGGGCCTGAGGAGGGGCGGTGACTCCCGGGAACTGGAAAACTAACATCGCACTTTAGCGTGCATCGCTCGCCATAATTGGCCGCCATTTTCGTTTTCTCCTATAAGGTTCATATGGCGGATGGAGGAGAACATCAGTGGCAAGTTGTTGGCGCTTGCAACTGGTTGGCGCACGCTTTGGCCCGACTTTTGATTTCGGCAAATTCCGACAACATTTTGTTTGCTGCGACCCAACTGCGACCCAGCTCTTGCATCCAGGACTTTAGCTTCATCCTATGGCTCTAAGGAGAAGATTGACATGCTTTTGTGGGCTCATCCAGCGAAATTCTCTACGCCAAGAATCTCTAGGTTGTGTTTATTAGGTTTTCCTTCGGCGGCTTTTGCCCCCCCTTCGTACTCAGCGTTTAGCTGACTCGCCTTCGAGCATGCTGCCATGATTAGTGGCAATACAAGGTGTTAACTTGCCAGGGTTCAAGGTTTCCCCACCTCCGCCAGGGCTTGGCAAACGTATGCACCTACCTCTTACAGTGTTCCCCCTTTTGATCACCCATCTTCAACTTGAAGAACCACAATCTTCCTTTTAGACCCAAGGCCAACTGGCGCCCTCGCCGCGCTCTTGGCTCCGGAAAAGCTCGGAACGCGAAGCCATTGCATTTCGAAAGATGTTATTCGTCCAGTCCGAGTCGGGTCCATCCTGGAACCTCTTACCGTGACGACCCTTCCGAGTCCGGTTGCTTGACGCATGCTTAGGTGTTGGTTCTTCAACTAGGTATACATTTTGTGTGTTGTGCATGGCCCGATTCATCTTCTCGTCCTTTGGCTCCGAGGTTCAGGGTACCGCAATTTGTTCCGCGTCGTCATGCTTTTTGGTCAACGTTATGGATCAAGTTGAGTTGATTGAAATCAGTGTTGTTTTTCGTGCATCTTCTGAATCTCAGCGCGTGACATCCTCGCACGACTTCTTGATTTGCGAAGAAATTAAAAAAATGCTGCTGGCCGCGCTTTCTGGGGAATTCGATTGGTATCCTGGAGGAGCCCTTCTGGAGCTGCGAGTAAGCACCCCCACGTACGATTCGATTATATATCGGTGCTGATCTATCCAATTTTTGGCGATGTTAGATTTCTAATTTTTTGCGTACTGGAAACATAGCCCACCTTACGTTTACCTCGCGACTATTGCTGGACACTGCCGCTCTCCCTATGTGTTGCCAGGCGACCTTTGGCCGCAGGCGTTTACATCTCTGGAAGCAATAGCCGATTTGGGGGTGGCGGTTTCCACGTCAGGAATCAATGATAACCAAAGATCAGCTGAGTATTTCGACGACCTTCCCGAGGAGATGTATGTCTCAGGAGCCGCACCATACGCCTCAAATTTGCAAAGGAGGTCAATTGACCTTCGATTATCCGCAATTTCTCCGTCCAACTCAAATCCCTTTTTGGAAAACCTAGAGCGATATGTGGGGGGAGTTCTAAACTCTGGATCCGTTCCCTTCCTGTTCGTTCGGACCCGTCGCTTAAATTAACCCCGCATGTCATAAAGGTGCTCTTTGAACGGATTTTGATGTCTTCTGTGAAACACCAGTGAAAGTCCGGAGATCGGCGTATCATTTGCTACTGGTGTTTCTTAGTTGTGAACCCACGTCAGTGCAAAAATAGACCGGCGTGAACTTGAATGTCAATAAAGACGGCTCTTTAAAAGAGAAATCAATTGGTCTACATAAATTATCGGTTCTAGTAGGTTGAAGCGGCGTTGGTCTAGGTTGGTCTCTGCGCTGACCGCTGTCCGGACATGTGCTGTTTATTTTCCGTTGAACTGAGGAAAGGGAATACCCATCTAGGCATAATTGCGATCCAGGCCCTGATGGTAAACAAGCATCAATACCTTGTTCTGCCAACGTCCCCGTTGTTCTGCGGCGTGTGCGTCGACTGCTCCTCGCCTGCTCTCCGCCTTACCTCTACCCTCCACAGTGCCGAGCATCGAATTTCATTGTAATCATTGCACTCAACGACGAGCGAGCGATACCGCAACCCCACAAACATCCGACCCTGCAAATAACAAGAGCAATTTGACCTTGAACAAGACTAAGAATGGGCGGCTGCGTATCGACAGGGGATCGCTCGGGGAAAGAGCGTTCAGACGCTATTGACAGACAAATTGAGGAGGATAGCAAGCGGTTCAAGAGAGAGTGTAAGATTTTGTTGTTGGGTGAGTGCTTTTCATGTCCTTTGTATACCTTTTTGGTCGGTCGAGGTCGTTCCCTTTGTCTTCTGCGCTTTTCTTTGTCGCCATAGCTGGATCTTTGTTCCATTGGAGGTCCTTATTCGGTGAGAATGGGAATGGCCATTCGTCACTTTGTGTAGGGGGACAACAGCCTCGGCGCTTATGCTCTGCTCATTCGCACCAGTGATATTCAAAGGACTCGCTAACGATGTCTTATAGGTTCCGGCGAGTCAGGAAAGAGCACCATCGTGAAACAAATGAAGATTATCCACCAGGAGGGTTTCTCCGACGCTGAGCTCGCAGAGTACCGCCCGGTGGTGTACAAGAACGTCCTCGACTCGGCGCAGCACATCATCATTTACATGAAGAAGATCGGCATAGAATGCCAGGAGTATTCAAATAGGGTACCCATTCATCTCTACCCCGCGCACCTATTCTCCTTTCTAATGAATCACTCCTAGGCCCTCGCTGATAAACTGCTGGACTATAAGGTCGAGACACAGAACAACCAAGCGTACTTCGCGCCGGAGATGGCAGAGGCTATACATCAACTCGTCAAGGACCCGGCGATACCCAAGCTCATTGACGAACACTCGAGCGAGTTTTATTTGATGGATTCGGCACAGTAGTCTGTGTTCATCTCCCCTTGCACCTTGACCCCGCTGACGTCCTTGACAGCTTCTTTGGAGAAGTACTGCGGATAGGAACACCTGGATATCTCCCCAACGTGACCGATGTTCTGAGAGCACGACAGAAGAGCGTCGGGATCACGGAGACGCGGTTCAACATGGGCCAACTGTCGTATGTCTTTTCTTTATTCCGGCGTCTGTTCGGACATGATGCTGATGAACTTCTATTCGCAGAATACACATGTTCGATGTAGGAGGCCAACGATCGGAGCGGAAAAAATGGATCCACTGTTTCGAGTCGGTGACATCCATCATCTTCTGCACAGCGCTGAGCGAGTACGACCAAGTCTTGTTGGAAGAAAAGTCGCAGGTATGACTCCCTCTCTTTCCTTCTCCTTCATACACCGAGATACTGACTCACTCGGCTGTAGAACCGGATGGCAGAGTCATTAGTCCTGTTCGAGTCGGTCATCAACTCGAGGTGGTTCCTCCGCACGTCAATCATTCTGTTCTTGAACAAGATTGATGTGTTTAAGCTTAAGTTGCCAAAGGTATGTTCCGTCTCCTGCGGTGTTTCTCCCTGTCGTTTTGCTCTCCTCCCCATTATCGTCGATGTTCATCTGTCAATTCTCATTCACACCCTCTTTCCCCGCCGGGATCGGAAAGACCCTACCACTTCTCCCTTGCGTAGGGTTCCTCACCACCACCTTTCTCTGCGCTTCGGCACGTCCCTTTGCTTATGCTGACGCGTCTCCCACTTAGGTCCCGCTGGAACGGTACTTCCCAGAATATACGGGCGGCTCCGATATTAACAAGGCGGCCAAGTACATCCTGTGGAAGTTCATGCAGACAAATAGGGCGCGGTTGAGTGTGTATCCGCAGTATGTATTTCTCTCGTCTTTTTTCCCATTTTGTCGGCCAGTTGCCGCGCTTGCGACTACCCGTTTGTCTTCTTGTTACGATCCGCACCATTTATGGGCAGATGTCCCCTGTTCCGACTTTTTGCGACTTTCTGTTCTTGTGGTACCGATGGCTAATCGTCGCTTGCTCTTTCAGCCTCACCCAGGCCACGGATACTACCAACATCCGGCTGGTCTTTGCCGCGGTCAAAGAAACGATCTTGCAAAATGCCTTGAAGGACTCTGGGATCCTATAGGCCCTCCATTTCTTTCCTTCTGTCTCTCGGATTGCATCTAGATTTTTGATTCCCATGCTTGTCTAGCTTTCCTATTGTACTTGGTGAGTTACCTTGCCTTTAGCCCTCAACCTTACTGAAGCCTTTCGTCCTGCAGCTGCCTCGACACCTCACGTCTCCCACGCTCGTTCATTCAATCTCTACCAGCATCATGACTACGACCAAATATTCAAAGAATCTTACGACCCTCAACTTAAATAAATGATCTATGCGCTCCCGCCTTTGTTCCCTTGCCACCCATCTGCCCCACGCCCAGGCGTTGTCACTGGCTGTGTACATATATCAACCCTTTCCGCCAACCCCTGTCCTCGCGTTCTCCCACAAAATGTCACGTTCATGATTTCATCAGGTGGCTGCTGTTCGGGAATTGGATTCCGAGTCCGCATCGGGGTCTGGACCCATCCACCTACCACGTTACAAAGATGGAGTCGGAGTCAACGGAATTTGGGCGTCGGCGTTATCTCGTCTTCGTCTTTGGGCGCGGGCGCAACATTTATATAGTATAAACACTCTTGCATTTCTTGATCAGCGGAAACAACATACCTACTTACTACTCATACTTCATTCTTCCTATCCCATTCCACCCTACCCGTTTTAGTGTTCAACATTCATGGTTGGGCACACCGCGCAGCTTTCATTATGAACCCTACCACTACCACCCCCCCACACACACTTTGAACTATGTGCCCACCATTCTTTTTTGTTGTTTTATCACACAACCACCTCCCGCTTTTCTTATCTTTTCGTTTTAGCTCAAGTCAGTTTAATGTGTACATATAGGAATTGAGACTTGCGATATATTTATCTTGCGTCTTTGGAGCGCTGGGCATGGTAGTGAAGTGAGGTGTTGTCTCTTTACATAATTGAAAACAAATACTTCGCTTCACTCTGCAAACATATGTATTTACATTCCTCACAACTCGAGATGTGGATCCGCACCATCATTCTTGTTCGTATGTCATCATCTCGCGCAAACTTGGACACTGGCAATGATCCCATTCGAGACAAACTATTGGGACTGGCTTTACCACTTATAATTTTCATGAAGGGTTTTCGATTGATCATCCCCTGCTTGTCTTCTCGGTGGGCGCCTCCAGATCGAGCAAATTCATACCACCATTTCTCTAGTTCCTGGTACTGGAACATCCCAAATATATATATTTGTTCGCGCTTGTCATCCTGTGACATGTTGACATAGCGTGACAACTGTTACAATGACCTACCCTGAGCACTGGAACGCTTCCGACAGCGAACACAATGCATTTCCAATACATCTACACCAAAGAAAATTGGATATTGGTAATATCAGGGGGAAAAGTACATCGAGTTGTCAAAAACTCTAAAGGATTTGAAGATGTGGTGAGTCAAAAATCGTGCAACACTGAAAACAATACGGAGATCCCAGTATGTAAACCCTGATGGAGGTGCTTAGAGAAACGCAAAAAATTGATGTGGGCGTCATCAGATCCGAGGACCTACGGAGATGCAGCTTCCATCCCTCCCAGTAAGCTCCGATGGAGGTGAAGAAACGCAGACGGTCGTTGTCTTCGCCAGGGACCACTGGCAGAGTCAACGCCAGGGATAATGACATCGAGCCGAAAACGCCCTTGCAAGTTGCGACATCTTCAGGTGTTCCGAACGCGTCCCAGAAACAAGAAGAGCGGGTTGACCCCTACCACACCAGGCAGCAAGAAAGCGGCGGTGTGTCGTGTCGTGTCGCGTCGCGCCAAGGCGGCAAATGTCGAGTAGCCGAAATGCGCCGAAACTAAAAACCATTCCGCGAATTGAACTCTGAGCTCAAATGATAAATCCCAAAAGTTACCAGGTGTCAGGAACAATGAAGCGTGGGGCCAAAAGTCAAAAACTGTGAGTAGGAAGTATCTCACGCGAAGACCATCTGCTCAGATCACCACTTTCATAGACAAGACAGACACCTATTTTCGTGAAGTTCTTCATATATCCACGTCTATCTTTGAGCAGTATACGTTGCAGGAAACGCAGTGAATGGGCGGCTTCGTATCGAAGGCGGATCGCTCGGCGAAAGAGCGTTCAGACGCTATTGACAGGCAAATTGAGGAGGATAGCAAGCAGTTCAAGAGGGAGTGTAAGATCTTGTTGTTGGGTGAGTGCTTCACATGTCCTTTTTGGTCCGTCGAGGTCGTTCCCTAAGTTGTCTTCGACGCTTTTCTTTGGCGCCAGAGCTGGATGAGGCGCTTATTCGGTGAGGATACTACTAGGCATGGCCATTCGTCACTTTGTGCAGGGAAACGTAAAGGGAACGACAGCCTCGGCACTTATGATCTGCTCATTCGCAGCAGTGACAATGGAATGACTCGCTAACGACGTCCCCTAGGCTCCGACGAGTCAGGAAAGAGCACCATCGTGAAACAAATGAAGATTATCCACCAACATGGTTTCTCCGACGCTGAGCTTGCAGACTACCGCCCAGTGGTGTACAAGAATGTCCTAGACTCGGCGCAGCACATCATTATTTACATGAAGAAGATTGGCATAGAATGCCAGGAGTATTCAAATCGGGTACCCTTTATCTTTAGCCCTCGCATAAACTCTCCTCGCTGATGAACCACTCCTAGGCCCTCGCTGATAAAGTGATGGAATATAAGATTGAAACACATAACAACCAAACATACTTCGCGCCGGAGATCGCAGAGGCTATACATCAACTTGTCAAGGACCCGGCGATACCCGAGCTCATTGACGAACACAGGAGCGAATTTTACCTGATGGATTCAGCACAGTAGTCTGTGTTTATCTCCCGCCCCTTATACCTTGACCCCGCTGACGTGCGTGTCAGTTTCTTTGGAGAAGTGCTGCGGATAGGAAAGCCCGGATATCTCCCCAACGTCACTGATGTTCTGAGAGCACAACAGAAAAGCGTCGGGATCACGGAGACGCGGTTCAATACGGGCCAACACTTGTATGTCTTTTCTTTCCCTCTTTTGTCTTTACAGAGCGTACTCTGTGTCTCCTAACATGCTTCTTTTTGCGTCGCCTGTTATATTCCGGCGCCTGCTTGGACATGGCGCTGATGAGCTTTTATTCGCAGAATACACATGTTCGACGTAGGAGGCCAACAATCGGAGCGGAAAAAATGGATTCACTGTTTCGAGTCGGTGACGTCCATCATCTTCTGCACAGCGCTGAGCGAGTACGACCAAGTCTCGTCGGAAGAAAAGTCGCAGGTCCCACTCCCTTCCTCTCCTTCTCTTTCATACGCTGGGATACTGAGTCATTCCGCTGTAGAACCGGATGGCAGAGTCACTAGCACTGTTCGAGTCGGTGGTGAACTCGAGGTGGTTCCTGCGCACGTCAATCATTCTATTCTTGAATAAGATTGATGTTTTCGAGCAGAAGTTGCGACTGGTATGTTCCGTCCACTGCGTGATTTCTCGCACTTTCTCTCGTTGTTCTGCTCTCTTCCCCATTATTGCCGCTGTCATCTGTCAATCTCATTCACACCCTCTTTCCCCGCCGGGATCGGAAAGACCATATTCTGTCATCCCGGTCGCTTCTCCCTTGCGCGGGGGAAGTATTGTCTTCCTCACCACCACCTTTCTCTGTGCTTCCGTCCACCTTCTCGTCCCCTTGCTTACGCTGACGCTTCTCCCACTTAGGTCCCGCTGGAACGATACTTCCCAGAATACACAGGTGGCCCCGATGTCAATAAGGCGGCCAAGTACATCTTGTGGAAGTTCATGCAGAGAAATAGGACGCGGCTGAGTGTGTATCCGCAGTATGTTTTTCTCTCGTCTTTAGTCTCCTCTTGTCGGCCAGTTTGCCTTTCCCGATGCTTTCTGTTATCCTTGTACTATGTTGCTCACCTGCTGCGCCACAACTTTGTATCTCCCTCACGTGCCCCATGGATCACGCGTTTGTCTTCTTGTGGCGAACCGCACCCTCTATTGACCCATTCCGGCTTTTTGCGGTCTTTCGCTAGTACCGGTCGCTAATCGTCGCTTCCTCTTTCAGCCTCGCCCAAGCCACGGATACTACCATCGTCCGGCTGGTTTCTGCCGTGGTCAAAGAAACGATCCTTCAAAATTTCCTGAAGAATCTGGAGATCATATAGGCCATCCATTTCTCTCTCTCTGTCTCTCGGGTTGTCTCTAGATTTTTTATTCCCATGCTTGTCTAGCTGTCCTCTTGTACTGGGTGAGTTGTGTTGCCTTTACCCTCAACCTTACTCAAGCCTTTCGTCCCGCAGCTGCCTCGACGCCTCATGTCTCCCACCCTCGTTCGTCTAATCTCTACCCTCATCATGAATACTACCAAATATTCCAAGAACCTTACGACCCTCGACCTAAATAAATGATCTACGCGCTCTCGCCTTTGTCCGTTTCCCTGTTCCCCATCCATCTGCCCCACGCCCACCTTCTACACTGGTTACAGATATATACATATCAACCCTACCTTCCACCAACCCCTGTCCTAGCGTTCTCCCACAAAATGTCACGTTCATGATTTCATCAGTTGGCTGCTGTTCGGAGGTGAATCCCTGGTCCGCATCGGGGTCTGGACCGATCTATTCACCATATACAAAGATGGAATTGCTTTCACTCGAAGTCAACGAGATCTGGGTGTCGGCCTTATCTCGTCTTCGTCTTTGGGCGCGGGCGCACATTTATATAGTATAAACACTCTTGATCAGCGGAACCAACATACCTACCTACCACCACGCTTCAGGTTGTCGTCATTTGCACATTAGACGAAGTTCTGGAGTGATCCCATTCCACCCCGCCCTTTTTGGTGTTCAATTTCATCCATCGGTTGGCCACATAGTCCAGTTTCCATTATGACCCTTTACTACAACCCCCCCCCACACCTTTGCACGGTTGTTGTACTATGTGCCCACCCTTTTTGTTGTTCCACCGCACCCCCGTCCCCTTTTCTATCTCTTCGTTCTAGCTGATGTCAGTTTATGTAATGTGTACAGCTAGGAGACTTGATATTTATGTTGCGTCTTTGTTTTTGCGCGCAGTGAAGTGAGGTGTTGTCTCTTTGATTGAAAACACGCACAGTGCCAACATATAGTATTTACTCTTACTGGCTATACTAGATATAATTTTGGTCTATTGATCGTCTTTTGCTCGTATTCTCGGTGGGGTTGAGTTATATCGATAATTCAAGCCACACAATTTCCTGTCAACTTTTGAACGTGAAAAAAAAAATGCCAATGATTCCTGATTTTGAAGACTAATTCCTATGCAGATTTTCTAATGTAAATTCGACTACGTTTTGATCAAATGCCAGTGGGCCAACAGCTGCACCTAAAAAAGAGGTGCAAAACAAGCAACAACAGCTACTATTACTCATGATCACGACGACTCGGACGAGGCCAATGAAAGTTGATCCGCTCTACATCAACCCTACACCAGCCCTCCAATTCTCCGCTTCTCCAACCTTAGGTCAGTAACCGAACAACCGAAATCGTCCTGCGAAGTATATTTACAGCCTCCGACCAAGTCTTCAGCCGATGCCACGACAGATTCAGTATCTTTCTGAATCTCAGGCGATATCGTAATGTGGGTGATCCCGTATCCGTTGAAACATTGCTGCATGTATCGTTCTGTCATCTCCCATTGCTTAAACGACGTTCCAGCACGGATAAGGACGTGAAGAGACGCTAGGACAATTCTAAAACCAACTGAAATCAGCATACTGGGTTGGAGCGCGGAAAAGGGCCGGGAACTTGCGATTGTGAAAGACTCCACACATGAACGTCATGAATCGAAAGGACGTCTGGAAGCTGGGATAGGTGAATATCATTTGGAAATGAGCTGGAGGAGATGATGACGGGATAATAGACACTTGCAGATATGAGATCTTCCTTCACCTTTGTTAAATCCACGTGCGTGGGCGTTGCCTCCAAGAGCATGCGGCCCGTTTTTAGAGCTTGGAGAAGCTATGAGTATTCAAGCTCGGCGGAATAAAGTCTGGCTTACTTGTTGGTATGGTTCCCCCAAAAATGACGAAGCTGATGATGAGAGAGGCCATAGGGTCGGCGTAAAAGCGATATGGTGAGTCTAGCTTCCACATTATGACACTTGCGATGATGACTCCGATATCTAGGGGAATTTGAAAACCGAATAAACGAGAGAGGAATGGCAGCGTACTGTTGATAGCGTCCCCTAACAGATGCACCATGACGGCAAGCAAACCAAGATTATGCTCTGGGGCGCTACTTGGAGGGTGAACTGTGTGGTTGTGCGATGCATGCTGTGGTGCGCGTGTACATTCTTTTCACTTCGCCTTTTTCTTTTGAAACAAGAAATACTCACGATATGAATAGGTACTGGTGTCACCTCCTTCAGTTCGATAGGATGTATATTGCGTTCATCAACGTGACTATGACCGTGCATGCTATGGCTATGGCTATGGCTATGACCATGGCCATGACCATGATGTTCTGCGGCCAAGGATGGTCAGGCGAATCAAAAATATACTGTCGCATTGCGGCACTTACCATGGGCGAAGAACGCGCTTAGAATATTGAGGCCAAGACCAACGCAACCAATCACCATCATCATGAGGGGCGAGTTGACGGGCGCGATGTGAATGAACCGCTCAATAGACTGAAGAAATATTGAGAGCGCCAATGCGAGAAGAAACACACTGTTGAAGAAGGCGCCTGGTGTGGACCGGAATCTCATTAGATCCTGAGCCTTTTTCGGAGAGATTTTGCAAACTCACCGACGAGTTCTGCACGGTGGAATGCAAAGGTAAATTTGTCGGTCTATTTGAAAATTGTTGGGAAGAATGTCAATTGACTAGTCAGGGAGAACACACGCACAGGTTTTCGCGTCTCTTGGAGCTGATGAAAGTTATGAACTCGCCAAGACAATGGGGAGAAATCAGACGTACGTGAGCCGCTACGTATGCCAATGCGCTAACAAAATCTCAGTTTGGTCTACCACCTAGGGGATGGAAACGCACAATGCGATGATATCCTTCAGATCGACATGAGAATCCTGTCTTTAAGGAAATTACAGAACTCACATTAAGGTAATGGAACTATGTCAAGAGTTTATAAGATGGTGTCATTATCACGACAGTCCAGGCTGACGTACCGCATCTGCAAGTAACGCCAAACTCTTGGTGCGAATACCAGCTATTTTTTTTTTGGTCAGGGAGGTGAGTGGGGTGCAAATTACTATTGCGTACCTGTAATTTCGGCAATGAAGAAAGCGATGCTAATTCCTAGAATGATGCCTATGCGTGTCACGTTCTTCATGCTGGGGATAGAGGATTTGCAGAGTTCAAGTCCCTTTTATGCGAAACACGCTGTCGATACGGACTTTCATCGCGGTCCGACGGTTATAAACGCAAGGATTGTGACGGCTCATTTAGAACCTCAACATGAGCCTCCTTGGCAAAGTTGAGAGGCATCTCGGATTTTGAGTGCAGAAATATCCTAGGGTAATAAGGGACGGAATTCCTTGAGGCAATCCTTACCCATAATCGTCGTTAAGATCTGCGGAATTCTCCTTTCCGCCGCAAAGGGCCGCGCAATTGTTTGCCTTCCCAGTTCGCACCAGACTAACGTCTGTCACCCTTTGAGCTCGTTAAGGAGACCCCGCTGTATAAGTCCCGCGGTTGAAATAGAACTGTCCTGAGTGGCAACGGGGTTTTATCTGTAGGACCATGCGTTCACCCATTATGTAATTACTTACTTTCGGGGTGCACACATATAATGTCTTCCGGTCAGTCGGCACGGATTATTATCGCAGCTACGTCGGATTTCTGCGCGCGTTCTGAGGCTTTGCAGATGAATCCCATGACTGGTGAGTTCAAGTGGTTCAAGTGAGTCATCTGCCTCGTTGCCAAGTTATAACTTATACTACTTCCCTAAAGCTTGAGATATACCGATATTTATTGCACGAAGGGCGTTGAGGATGAGGGTCCTCTCATGAGCTCCTGAAAAAGGAATATTTTCCGAGAGTGTCGGCCATTTTATATTTTAAGAACGAAGGCGGCGCTCCGAAGTTCCGAGCCGTCTCAGCTCCATAAGCCAAACAACGCAAGGACATCTTTGCGTCAGACTTTTTACAATCTAAGTTTACTGGCACACGAAATTCGTCGCTGCTGTCGTTGCTAATGCAAATTGAAGTATCGCGCACAACTTGAAGTGCATTGCAAGTTCACAACGCATCGGACATTGACCGTGGGAGCTTGAGTCACGTCGGGTGATGCGCCTGTAACCACAACGACAACGCTCTCACCCTTCCCGTCGTTCTCAGTAATCGCGAATCCCCACGTTTCCACCGCGGGCTAGCTGATCATTTGGCATGTAGCAGCTATCTTGGCTGCTCAGTTCTCACAGGGCTCAAGTTGTTTGGGCCTGGGTGTCTATTGCGACGTCTGGCTCACCAAGTATAGGTCACCTTCTTGTACGTATCTCATACTACAATCCCCGTCATTTTGAGGGGAGAAAGTGACGTCAATGTGTGTTGAGTTGATCTCACCACTTTTTATTCTGATCTCATGACACGTCCCGAAAGATTTTTTAACGACGGCGCCTGTAAATCTCAAGTAAATCTTATCTTTCTTACCAACCGGGCCTAAACGTTTACATTGGCAATCTTCATCTCACGTCAAGCACACGACCACTTTATCCTCGTCCATAGGAGAAAGAAATGCAGTAAGACCATTACAACGCCTTGCAACATTTTTCGTCCTGCTCACATCCTTTTTAGTCTTGCCAAATAATACAACTTACGACTCTAAGCTGTTCAAGTTCAAGGAGTGATGCCTGAGTACGTATCTGCGCTCTACGACTGCCTCTCAAAGCCCAAGGATCAATGTTCGTTCCGGACTGGAGAGAGGACAGCAGTTGTCGAACAGGGCAACATGTCCATTAATGGCTTGTGGAAGAGCCACAATCGGACAGGAGCCGTTGCTTTCTCGCCAAAAAGCTACACCTCGCTAGCCGCCCCGTCCATCAAGTCACCCCCAGCTGTTCGATCCATTACGTTCGCTGTTGAGAGTTCCCGTGACCTCGATGGGGAACCGGAATTCACCCTCCCAAGACTCAAACAACTCACAGCACCATTTCCCAATCCGGGTGACCATAACAATGAAGACTTGGAGGGCCCAGAAAGCAGCGGGGAAGGCGACAGAGTGCTGAACGCCTCCGTGGGAGACGGGCAGATGATTGAACGATTTGAGCGGGACGCGGATGGCGATGTTGTGAGCTTCCTTGACGTGGACACAGAGACAGATGAGGGGGGCTCTGAGATGAGCGATACCAGACATGCGAGCGACGTCAACGTCTCACATGATTGGCATAAAAGCGCGCGGACGAAATTGGCAGAGAAAACATGGAGAGCAACCCAGAAACTCGAAGCCTTGCCAAAGCCATACCCAAGGGGAGAGGTTGAGGGGGGCCAGGCTGTCAGGCATGTTGTATTCCCCAATAAGCACGAGTCGGAGCAGACTGTCACGACGGGATCTCCTCCCGTCTTCCAGCTGGCCCCTCTATCGAATTTGCTGTTTCGGGAGGCAACCTTTGTGGAAGAAAAGATCCCCTCTCCTGCCAGCACGTCTGCCACTGTCCCGCAGGCGCGAATATTTGCATGGGAAGAACAGAAAGGGACCACCACAGCTGCTCTCCAGCTACCGTTCTCCGGTTTACCCTCGTCCACGCCAACCGTGCCAATCGGCGTCTCCCCTCTGAAACGCAACGACACTGTTTCGTCGTCCCCAACTAATCCCACCCCTGCGTATCACCAACTTGTTTCGGAAGATAAGACTGAGGGAGGGGAGAACGAGAAAGACCCCACCGAGTGGACAGTCAAGGAAGTCGTGGAATGGTTGAAGGGCAAAGGCATAGACCAAAACATCCGTGACAAATTCGTCGAACACGAGATAACGGGCGACGTTCTCCTGACATTGGATGTCGACCTCCTCAAAATGGAGGTCGGAGTCATGGGATTCGGGAAACTGATGTGCATTGCGAATGCGATCACTGACCTGCGTTGGCCTCCATCTAGAGTCTACTCAGACCACCCAAAGGACCCGTCGCTTTTTCCCAGCGGCGAAGCTCCGAAAAAGAAAGTGATCTTGCCTCCAAACCGAGTTGAGGATGTGAATCGTACTTGGGGGGAAGCTGTTCCATTACAGAGCACGCGCCGCCAGCCCTTCGGTCTCTCGCACGACTCAACTTCACCCACTGGCGACTCATCCAAACCCTCTCAGGGTACCTTCACGCCGGCGTCGTCCCCTCCTTCCGATGGCGATAAATTCGGTGCAGGAGACAAGCCAACCTTCTTCGCTCTTCCATTTGGCAAACGTAGAAAACCACCTCCCACTGTTGGCGAGGATGTTGAAATTCAGCCTGAGAGGTTGTTGTTCAGTCTTTCTAAGGGGGGAAATCCGTCGTCCACCCACTTACAGAGACCATCTACGCATAGTAATCCGTCGTTCAAAAACCCACAGACGTCCTCCGATGGGCCCCGGTCGCCTGAGAGGGTGGGTGGGACGCTGATGGATGGCAAAAGCTCTATTGCGGTTCAGCAAGGTCAAACCATTCTTACTCAAATTGGTGAGCCCGACCACATTGGGTGGATGCACAAGAAGCGCGATGGGGGTAACTCCTGGAAACCGCATTACTTTGTGCTGAAAGGCCAACGTTTGTTTTGGTTGAAGAGCGATAGCAACATGAATACTCATTTAGAAGGATTCATTGACATTGTGGGCTACAAGGTCACAATGGACGAAACTTTGTATCCTGGTCGTTATGGATTCCGAATTGACCGCGACCAAGACAAGACGCACTTCTTTACTTCCGACAGTGTGTCTATCATTCGGGAATGGGTGAAGGCTATCATGAAGGCTACAATCGCCCGAGACCACACGAAGCCTATCATTTCGCCATGCACTATCCCAACGATTCCTTTGGCTGTCGCGCAAGCCATGGTTCCCGCTCCACGCCCACCATCGCCCGCCACTTTGAGAGCACTTCAACGTGAAAACCACAATCGGCTGTCACATCGTGGTGATAATATACATTCAGTGATTTTCCCCGATATTCGCAGCGACCAGACTCACTTGGCGACTGCAGGTACACCGTCTTCCTTGCCTCAAAACTCTGCATTTCTCAAGCCTAAGGAGAAGCGTAGTGCCAGTTCGTCACACTCTGCCCTTAACCCGACCGACAGCAGGCTAGTGGAATGGGCTAATTTTCATCTCCCTCCGTCCCTTCAAGTCGATGACCCTACCACCTCTTTCTTTGGCGGTCTCGCCCTGTTGCGCCTTGCAGAATCCATCGGGGGCACATGCTTCCCCCCTGTGCCCGACTCTGCTTTTCCAGTCGATCCTACTGATAACGACCTAGACGGTCTCTTCCGTCTATTCGACCTTTTACTCGACAACGGCGTGCACACGGGGAGCGTTTGCATTAACGACATCCGACAAGGGAAGCGGGGCAAGATTCTGCAACTCTTGAAGGCGCTTAAGTCTTGGGAAGACAGGAGAGGGGTTCTCGCTGCGACCATGAACGGGACGTTACATCCTGGCGGCGGTGGAGCGTTCTCGGTGCCGACGGGCATGTGGGCTGGTATGTGATCACCCTTGCGGACTCTACCCAGACCTTTCCCCTTATCCCTCCATTTGATCCCCTTCCTCCACCTTTAGATATACCCGAACTATCGCGTCACTGGTCACGGGTGCCCGTTCTCTGAATTGTGCACTAGCATGGACTCTAACTTTTCAACTTGCCACCTAAATCCACCAAGCATCCTCTGTCACGAATGAGAAGCAATATTCGCCAGACTCCTCATTCATTTAGAATCTAGAATATTCAATTCCGCTATTCCCAACATCGCATACTCCACCAGACTTCGATTTGCTACAGAACATATTATGACAAAGAGCTCGAAACCAACTCTGAGTCACCTTGGCGAAGTAAGTCTGTCACTTCCCTGCTCTTGTAAGGATGCGTAGGGCATAAATGAGTCCAGGACTTTTTCCAACTCGAGCATTCTTCAATTTAGATGTGTTTATCGGAGCGATGTATTTTTACACAAATAAACAAATCTGATTATGTTCATCAGAATCATCGCTTCTAGTCACCGCAACTTGCCAATCAATCAAAGCGTCACTCAAGATTTCTCATGAAAGCTATCCTCCCGTTGGATATTTTTGAAGAGGTTCTTCGAAATTTAGCCACATCTGAGGATACAGTGACCTTGAAGTCCGTCTCACAATCATGCCGTGACCTCCTATATCCCTGCCGGAAACACCTCTTCGCATCCATTCACTTATTATCTCCACATTCCTACCATCCGTGTTATCTTATTCGACATTATCCCAACATCGGATCATTTTTTCACCTATTGAAGTCCAACTCTTCTGTAGCAGATTGCGTTCGGCATCTCCACTTGGTGTTTTGCGGATCCAGTTCAAACACGATCTGGATTTTGGAACAGCTGCGCCATCTCAGAGGCTTGACGTTGGAAGGGTGTATCGGACTTGAGGATAAAATGCAGCTCCCTCTTTTTCGAACAGCCATGCTTCACCTGTTCCCAACACTCGTAGAATTGTCGCTTGTGAATTGTTCAATGCCATTGGACATCCTGGCTAGCTGTTCTCATCTTCGAAAATTGGGCGTTCGGCGTTGCGGAGAGGAAATATTGGGGGGGTCTGCTGGAAAATACGGAGAACTTTCACTCGATCCCGCAGCTTGAAGAGTTGCATCTAGGGCTTAATGGTCAACCCTTTTTGGACAGCATCTGTCGTGCGCACAACGATGGAACTTCGCCCTTGAACCTCTCTCGCCTCCGTTCGCTGTATTTATCGTCAAGAAAAGACCCTCCCGACATGATCCCTAACATTGAACCCATTCTCAAGTCGTGGAATCCAAGAGTGGAGGTCTTGACTGTCAGCTGTGGGTTTTCTGTCCGCAACTTCAATATAACCCACCCTTGCGCTAACTGGAAACTTTTCTCAGCATTTGGTTTTCTTGACGAACTCGCCAAATCTAGCTTAATTTCCTCAGTGACACACCTCAGCATCATAAAGATGTACGTGTCTTGCAGTTTTGATTTGTTGGAGCCTTTCCGAACGGTGTTGAAACGTTGGGCCTCCGCCGGAGGGTCTGGATTGCGGGAAATTAAGATCGAGGTACTTAGTATGGGTTTTCGCGTGGCAGGATCCCGATTTTTCCACCATAGAGTCTTTGCAGGAGATACTGTTGAACAACTTCAAGGAACTCCGCCGCGTATCGCTTCATGTTGATGTTCAAAATAATGCCGGGATTCCCTTTGAATCGGTCGAAAGATCGCTGCAGGCAGTCACGAAAGAACGGAATGTTGAGTTCGATTTTACTTTTCGAATTATCACGCCATAGTGCTTTCGGATTGTCCAATTGTCTATACGTCACTCGGTCTGGCAACTAGTTTATGCCAGCAAAATAGGTCGAGGCATGAACACGCCTCTAAGGAGGGGTCCAATGATCATATGCACATGAAATGATGAAAGAGACGGGGAGAGGTTGGTTTTAATGACGAGGTGATATATCATACAATTCTCTTATTTTCATTCAGCAACTCTGGCTTAAGATGGCAATTCTCAATGACCTCCTGACTCCGTCGCTCTCTTCCTGGTTTACGGCAAATTTCTTGCTCGTAGTTGCAGTGGATTTCCTTGTTGCCCCCGTTTTCTCCCTTCTCTTGGTGCCCCTATTGAGTTACCTTGTCAGCATTATTGTCAATGCAGGGTGACAAATAAAAGCTGACTTTTGACCCGGCTTTCCTAATTCAAAACATCGACCCCTCTTATATAGCATCGAATTCGGTACGTTGTCAAAGCCGACTTGGTTCCAAAACTTTTGAACGAGGTGCATGGCTGAGGCTGGGTTATAATTTGTTGGAAGGAAGTTTGCTTCGGGTTCCCACCTTGAGGAGAATGTTTAGCGGCCCACAGCGTCATGTAGGGTACCTACGTTTTCGGTCCGTGGTAGTTATGCCACTTTGAGTTAAGAATTATGTCGAGAGTCCTCTTTGTTAGCTGTATGTTGAGAGGTTCAAGTTGGACAGACCTTCACTTGATAATGCTGGAAAGCAGGATGTTAGCAAACGTCCTGAGGACCGCGAAAGTAGACGCAAACCCATGTGCCCTTCGTCCTGATACGTGCACCCGTAATCTCCTCTAGCCCATCTTGTCAGTTACTCGGGATATGGAAGGAGAGGCGTCAATATGGCATCGATCGTGTACTTACCAACCTTCCACTCTGGCTCGGCCTTGACGGTGCGTTTCTTTCGCTGTTTTCCCTCGGTCGACATTCTTGAAGGTGCTTCAAGTTGTGCCCTTGGCATGTCTGGAATCTCTCTTTTTGCTCAGTGCTGTGTTTGACTGTGGAAATATGGCTTTGGTGAAGATTGGTGAACGTGGGACAACTACTATTCGGAGCCGAATGGGCTGTGCACTGATATTCAGGATATTCGGAATTTTTGAGTACACATTCAGGCGTACTTATTTCATATTATCGTGAACCAAGGAACAACTTCACATAATATCGAAGTCTGTCTACGAGAGACTACGTACTTATGGCGTCGCAGCCTTAGTGAGAGCAGGGCTAAAAAAAAAAGGCCTCCTATTTAAAAATCTAAAATAATGAGCTATTGAGATTTTGGATGAACAGACCTAGGGGACAATTTTTTATCCTGACACTGTATTTGCCTATTGCTCAAAGGGGGCATACAAAAGTAAAGAAATTGATGTTGCTATTCTTAAAATGAGTCTCATTACTGCTGTTTGAGGAACTTAAGGTGTGGGCTGTTTTTTTTTTCCATGGCTGTCCAAATAATACATCAATCTTCCGTCACTGACAGCTCACTCAGTTCTTCGCCGATTCTCATGATTCCTGGAGCATTGAGTTCAGTAAATTTTCCTCTATTTGTAAATTTCTTTGAAGTAGCAAAAAAAATCTATTTTTTCTTTCAACAGAATTGGAGGTTTGCATGAAGCAAAATTGGAGGTGTGTATGAACTTCAACACGACATTGCATCCACAGAAAAAATCCAGGGACCTCCAGCTCCAAAATGTTGTAGATATAAGTCTTTGGAAGGTGTCAAAAGAAAGTCTGTCATGGTAGGATTGATTGAGACAGGTTCCCACAGCCTGTTGGAAGATATTGCTGCCGTCGCTGTAAGACAGTCTCCTGCCGCAAAGTGTCAAGTGACAAGAACCCACGAAACAGGCGAACATCACAATGTCAAATACCTTCGGTAAGATGTCTTAGTGTTTCTGTTCAAATGAGATTATCACTGATCATATTTCCAGGGGCTCAATATCAAAGGCCATGGCATGCACCTCATTGATCCCCAAACTCACATGTAAATCACATTTTTTGTCCTTGTCCTATTCCAGGTTCTTGGGTTCTCATAGTTCGTCAGCTGGTCCGAGGCATTTCTGGGACAGAGGACCGGCTGAGATCTCAAAATTTTCAAAGCAACATCGGCCTTCATGCGGAAAGAGCTGGATTTGTAACGCACTAAACATCGACAACTTCGTCTTGAGCCCAACGACGACGTCGCCAAGTCTGGGTCCCCACCAAAGGAGTGGCTGGCTGCTAACCGAGTAAGCCTTTCATTTATCACCAATCGCGAAGCTTACATTCAAATCCTGGAAATTTCTCGGCCTGAGTTACGTGTATTGTACTATAAAAATTTTGTAATTTTTCAAATGCATGTCACTTGCCCCAAGCTTCCTAATTTAAGACGCTCTTCTAAGTTGAGCCATTGCAAAGGTAAGGACGAAATATTTCACCTGCATCACAACGAAGATACAATCCAAAAGGAAAGGACCACAACAACTCTTCAGGGCAACACGCAATCCTAATTCAATGTGACGAGGCGCGGCTTCCTGCACTGTCACTATTGCGTGTGGCCACCCATTATTTTCGGTGTTCGGAGTTCCGTAGAAATAGATGGCAAGATGGATGGTTTAAGAAATTGAGAGAGTAGCGTGCCAGTTATGCAATGATTGTGTTCGCGCGACTTCATTTGGTTTGTTGATGTAGTTGTTTATCAAGCACTGTGACTGTGAGTGTAACCCTTGGTGTAACACTGTAACCCCACGTGTGCGTCGTCTTGCCAGAATTTCAATTTCAATTTATTCGATGCAGACCACAAACTCCCATGAATATTTGTGAAACATCAGGCAAGGCATCTCAAAGTAGGACTTCAGCATGCTAAAGTAGTTCGAAGAGACGAAAGATAGACCCCCTCGTGATCGCCAACCGCAACGGTAGCATGTGGACGCGACTTCGCTGACGGTGGAACTGACTATCGCGGTGAGTGGCATTGCATGACAGGTGGAAAGATCTCGATCATTGAATACATACTTACGGGTTAGCGAGTCAGGCCTTGAAGCTTTGGAGGCCCATTACACCCTGTCAAAGAATAGGCCTTCGAGGGCTTCGGGGGACGTAAAGATGGTGCTCTAGGTGCGGGTGAAGGCCCACGGGTAAGCGAGTCAGGCATTGAAGTTTCAAGCTTTGAAGGCCCATTACAAAGATTAGGCCTTCGAGGGCTTCGGGGGACGTAAAAGACGGTGCCCTACCCTTTCGAAAATTAGTTGCTCGATTATCAGGTGGTACTCAAATATCGTGGTTCGAAGACTCAAACTCAAACACCGCGGTAGTTCTTGGCATTAGAGGGGTATGTAAAGGGGCGAAAGGTATGCGAAATCTACTAGTTCGCTCACCCACCAATGATGTTAGCCAACAGTCCAATCTCCTTGCTCGGGCTTTTCTCCCTCGCCCTCCAAGCGATTCCTCAGGTCGCGTCTGCTCCGTACCAGGTTACATTCGACCAATTCTTGGCCACAGTCAAGGCAGCAAGCTTCCCGCAGTGGAAGGACAGCGCCGTGGACGATGAGCAATCATTCGCCCAGATAAAGGCCCACATCCTCGACATGTACAGCGGCGTTGGGAATGTCGCTCATTCTTTCTTGCATGACGGCCGCTATGCCGACTGCATTGACATCAATAGGCAGCCGTCCCTTGCAGATCGTCTGCTCGCAACCGCGCCAGAGGCTCCGCCGAGTCCACCTCCCGTCTCCTCATCAGGAGGACCCAAGGGGTCAGGAACCCCAGCCGTATCCCCTCTGACGCAGAACCTGAAAGATCCGTTCGGGAACGATATATCTTGTCCCGACGGAACCATTCCATTCGCTCGCCTGACACTCGAGCGGATAACCACCTACCCCACGCTCACCGCTTTCTTCGCCAAGTCCACAAACGGAGCTGGGCAAGCTCTGAGTGCCCGAGGGGTGGAGGAACTTGAGAGCCGCGGCCCCTCAGCACAGGAGCCTCACCTTTACGCCTATAGTTATCAACCAGTCACCAATTACGGTGGTCACTCGTGGTTGAACCTGTGGAGTCCTGTCGGAGATTTCAGCATCTCCCAGCAGTGGTACGTAGGCGGGTCCGGCGCTAGCACTCAAACGGTCGAAGGGGGGTGGATTGTCTACCCGCAGAAATTCAGTGCACAGGCGGTGCTCTTCATCTTCTATACACCCGACGATTACTCTACGGGTTGTTACAACCTGGAGTGCAAGGGCTTCGTGCAGATCAACAACAACTGGCAACTCGGAGGGACTTTCGGCCAGTACAGCGTTACGGGTGGTGTACAGAAAGGCGTCGACCTGCAGTGGTATTTTTATCAGGGCAATTGGTGGTTGTATCTTAGGGGCGCGGGCGCATATGACGCAGTTGGGTATTACCCCGGATCAATTTACAATGGAGGACAGCTTACGAAGAGTGCGCAACTCATCGAGTATGGCGGCGAAGTTTTGAGGTTCACTACGGCAGTGGCCTGGCCGCAGATGGGCAGCGGAATGTTCCCGGACAAAGGTTTTGAACAGGCTGCTTACCAGAACGCGATCTTTTACAGCCCGCCCGATGTGAATGGTAGCGCTAGTCCCACGGTTTGGTCAGACTTGACAAAGGCCGTTATAGGCAGCCGCAGTTGCTGGGATATCAATATCACAGAGTCAGCTCAGGGAGGCGATTGGGGTACTTTCTTCTTCTTCGGTGGGCCAGGTGGCGACACGTGCCAGTGATTTCTTCTCTTGTTTTACATGGACTGCATCTCAAATTGTGTTTCTCTTCTTTTAAATGGACCTTACCCGAGTTTGAAATTGTGTTTCGACCATTTGTGCAGTCAATTCAAGTTCTCGTCAAAAAATAAACACAGCCCTAGCGGCAGCATTCTGTCGCTTCAACTCTCCATGTCACGATAAATCGTAAGAATCTACGCCAACAAAACTCATCCAATGTATAATTAGCGGGCCGGCCCTCGCAACAATGATGACAATCATTTCCTTTGATTCGCCACTGGTATCCTAAATTTGTGTGCGATCTCTACCACAATACCACCATTGGGGTGCTCACCGTTTACTCACCCACGGACAGTTCGAATTCCAAGGTAATTCGCACAGCCTCGCCAACATGGTATAAGAGCTTGAAGAAAGATGAGGTCTGCTCATCCCAAATTCTACAATGAAGTCTTTTGCATTGCTCATCACCACTGTCCTTCTCGCCGCTCAGGCTCTTGGAAGTCCTCTCTCCGTCTCATCGGAACTCACTTGTGGGTTACACTGGCATTTTAACAAGTCTCCAGCAATTTGACTGACTGCGCATTGTTGGTAGGTGATGCCACTCATGTAGGTGTAGCTCTTGTTTCAATACTGGGGTGTAGCTGACTCGCTGATTACACTTCAAACCATAAAGCCATGTGAGAAGTTATACAATCTCTTGGCTTGCGCAAAATTGACATTTTACTTACTAGGCCCATATGGTTACCGCTGCTGTGGTCCGTTCATAGCCGGCCAACCTGGAATGTGAGTGCGACACAATTTGAAAAATTGTTCGTGTGCACTAAGGCACTTGTAAGCTGTGTCGAAGGGGAGATCGGAAGCTGCCCGTTGGAGCCTGCAACATAAAGTGGTTGACGTCAGAGGAGCCCACGTTGATATGCGTGAAACGTACTTCACCGACACTGCGCTTGTGGCTCAACCGTTGTATAATTTCATACCACCGCCGAAATTTATTTCTTTTCTTCTTTCCCGAATAAGCATCAGTGGTCTTCAAAAGATGTTACTGGTGAGGACGTACCCAAGGTAGAGTTGGCGGGAACTATATGGCAGGACTTTTCGAGCTTCCTATATGACGTATATAACGCCAGTACATCTTCCAGACGAGCTAGTACCGCAAGGAAGGTTTTGCGGCGGGGAACGCATTGCCCCTGTCTACCGAAGCGAGAAGCGAACAAAGAGGATGAACATTTACCCCGTACCACCTAGAAAACCTGGCGAGTTGCTCGTGTTTCTCTGTCTGAAGATGGTCAAATGCACAGTGTTAATCAGCTGTAGAGTTTCAAGAACCTTGGAGATTTCGAATCGGTAGTCAAATTTTATTCTCCTTGACGCGTTATTATCTCTTTTGGGGTCGAAACGTTCTTTTTTCAAGTGGGCTTTATATGGCGAGAAGCTGGATGTACTATGGACTCGGATGAACCAACTTGAACCAATCGAGGTCACCTACGGCCCACCGTTCGTCATTCGGTTTGTAGATTCAGACCTTGAGCTCGGCCCTTAACTTTCCACATTCTGGAAGATCTTGATATTCGTCTGACAAGTTTTCAGATGCATCTAGATTCTACTAGATGGGACCTGCCTTGCAAACTACCTCAGCTCGGTTCCTATTTTGCAGAGACTCCGCGCGTAGTGACAGTAATCCAGTCATAAATTTGAAACGCTCACTCTGTACCAGGCCGTATGAGTTTCGTCGGACAGGGTTTGTGACGTCTGTGGCAAGTGAGCAGTTTACCATCATTTGGCAAAATCCGTGTAGGTAAAGCAAAGGCAAACATGTGGCATTTGCTTCTTAGGTGTCCGCTCCAAGTCCGCTCCTGTTGCACTCTAAAGGTCATACTCTACGGTTGTATTTACAAACCATGAATGCACCTGCCTCAATTCTTGATACACTCAGGACATCACTATCGCAAAATCTCCTCGAGACACAAAGCTTCTTTACCAAATTCTCCTCCCTTCCCGTCAACAGACTCGCATTATGACTCAATTTCTTCTTCAATTGGTGCAATGGCTCGGTACCCTAGGTTGGCACCCAAATCGTCCCGTCGCACCGCGTATTTTGTCCCAAGCGCAGAAACATCGAACACGTGATTGGGGGTGATGGGCCCATAACTTTCCAAATTCTGCGCGATCCATACCCTCATCCTCGCACGATGCATAGTAGCCTCGCTCCCAAACCTATCTCCTCGAGTGTATTCGGGATATGCGCTTCGTATCGTTAGACTTCTCAAAACAGGTAGAGTTGCACATATGTCCAAAAGCGACCACTGAATTTTAGGTATAAAAGCGTAATACGACTAGGTTTCAGTAGAAAGACGTACGATTGCATTTTGTCTGGTAGGGGACTCCGCGTAATGGCGGATCTCTTCTTCTCCACCCGGAATGTCCCTTGAGTTTATGGATAATTCGAGAAGAGTGAGGCGTGTGCCTTTCTTGATCAAGTTGGAACAATGGTTTCCAAAACACCACTTTCCTTCATAAGTTGAACGAACTTCAAGAGACTCCAGAAAAGAGATATGATTCTCGAGACCTTGTTCGTAATAGCGGATCGCAAGTTGATTGGACACCCATGGAGGTGTGAAATGCGATGATGTCGAAATAAGCCTGAGATGCCGAAGACCAGAAAATGATGTTAAGTATTCGACCAAGGCAGGCTGGGCGTCGTCTGTGACAAGTTCTTGTAAATAAATTTTCTCTGATTGCAAAGTTGACCAAATTTTTTGTGCCAAAAAGTCGGCACCCCGATATTCCGTAGTTTCATCATAGGGCGAAAAGATGTCCACAATGGTGAGCGAGATTAACGATCTCAAATGGCGTAGTGCGCTAGCGTCAAATTTCGCAATTATGCCGCTCAACTTGAGATGTGTGATTCTCAAGCAAACTGAACTGGATGTCTCTGCGAGAAAGTCTTGGAGGGTTGGCGCGCCATCGGCGTGGTAGCCATCATCCACAATCGTGAGACTCGTCAACTCTGGCTGATTCCGTCCAATAAGTCCTGCGACGGTACTAATAACTGCGACGTGATTACTGAAGTCGGAGGTAAGGGTAAAATTTTTGAGGTTCGACAGCCGCTGGAATGGCACAGGAGAATCTGGAGGCGACCAAACATTCAAATGAAGATCCTCCAGAACCGGGAGTGATGCAAGGGCATCTAGAACTAGAAGAGTTGCCCACTCTGCGTCGTATTGACCCACATACCATCTAGTGGAAGGAGTTAGTGTACTCTTTGAATCCTGGGACTTGACTCACAGTATTTGACGAACCCCAACGAGAGAACTAATAGCGGGCACCAGGAACGACTTAATCTTGGCTTCTTCCTCCGTAACTTCGTTCTGATCTGATGAGGTACATAGGGGACCTATACTAAGCTTGGTTGCATATTTCGAGGCAGACGTTGGCTTTGGTTCCGTTGTAACCAGACTCTCGACTCGAGACGCAAGGTCCATCGGCGAGCATAGAGTGATCTCCGACAAAATTTGTGGTTCCAAAGCGAAGTTGATTCGTTTGCATACTAAACGGAGATTCCTGTCAGACGCCTACCCAAAGAAATTTGAGTGAGAATGGCGGCAGGAGGTTTGTTTTTCGTAGAACTGAAAGTCAACATACCTCAGCACCTATTTCTTGGAGAAGCTCCGTGGGTAGCGACAACAACCCGCTCATAAGTCTGGAATAATTCAAGGTACCGAGTTGCTGTGCACTGCGAGTTGGTCCTCGTCAAGTTGAGCCCGGGATTTGACGCATCGATGGTGATGGCGTGCACCAACTCCAATCAGCTGGTTTTATGTAACTCCGCTTGAAAAAGACGGTGGCTCGAGGCATATGGGCCTGTGTCTAAGTAATCCCGTCGAGCCGCAGGCGATGTTGAACCAGAGTCTTATTCTAGATCGCTTGTTCAATTGCCAATCTTTTTTTGTCTGCCCACAACTGCCCCATACCGTCGAGCTAACAATCGGTCCACATAGTGGTGTTTGACAATATCCCGTTCCACAAACAAATGAAGCAGGTGCAAACAATATTGCCATCTGCTTCTCACCACCGAAAATTTCCACATGGGCCGCCTCCGCCGTTCTCGAGTCCACAACGCGCGAAGAGATGTACATAGGGCATCAAGGACACGAGTAAGTAATACAAATCTTTGTCATTTTGCAACTTATTCCTTCAAATTAGGTGAGAACGAAAGATTTGGACCAGATCCAGCTTATAGATTTGGATCCGAAAGTAAGGCTTTCCCTGTCTTGGGCTTGCGCACATTAATGGTCGCTTTGATTCCAGAATCGGGCGGCGCTGGAAGCTCAGCCGATTGACTTTGATAAGCCAGGCTTGGCGCAACACTACTGCGTGGAATGTGCAAAGTACGTTCAGTGCGGCACTCACGATCTGCGATGCTGACATGGTCCTTTTTTAGGTATTATGAAACAGATACTGCTCTGCATTCACATTGGCGGAGTAAAGTTCACAAGCGGCGGCTCAAACAGCTGAAAGAGCCAGCTTACACAATTGAGGAGTCAGAGCGGGCAGCAGGGTTAGGTCGGGAGGTCAGGCGAGCGACTGCGGTTGTTGAAGTGGCGGTGGAAATGGTTGATGCTATGTGATGTGAGGTCCCCATGCTGGCCGGTATTGTACCCATATATCATTCACGAATCTAATATATTCCGTTATGACACCATTTCGATTCTAAGGTTTTCTCAAACAAGAAAAAAATCCACATACCTCTTGTAACATCCTTGAGAATTCTATGCTCCTCTTGGTGTTGGTCTCGCTCGACCTACATAAACGGATCATGCTCGATTTCCGAGGTGCCCATTTAGTCCATCTATTTTGGGATCTCGCACGTTCTGCATCTTCATTTTCGTCTCCTACTTATGTTTCCTCGGCCTGAAGGGGCACTTCCCTCAGGGCACTTTCCTCTGAGAACTGCGGCCAGGTACGTTCATTTCCCCGTTTCCTGATCTTTGTCATCTTCTCACTCATCAATTCAATAGTCGGACAGCCTCTATGTCGTGACTCTCTGACCGGGTGCAAAAGTGTACCTAATCGCAGTCATCGGTCGATTCTCAAATCCCTGGTCCTAATCTTATAGACTTCCACAATGCATACAAAATACGAAGAACTTGGGCTTAAGAAACATCAGAAGTGCACCGACTCGAAGAGAAAGAAATGAAGTTCTACGCATACTCCCTCGTACTGCCAATCGCCTTGTTCAAACAGGCGTTTGCCGCTCCAATCCCCAGGCCGTTATCCATTGTAAGTTTTTCTTGACACGGAATCACTCACCATGCTGAGCGAATTGGGTCGATTGCTCAGGCGACAGCATCTCCAATGTATGTTACGTGTTGTCTAATTATTCTATCATGACGGAGTGTCGTCTTCCTACAGCCTCTTACCTGTGGGTAGTCCCCAACGTAATATCAACGGCCCTCTGGTACTCATCATCCTTCCTATCCGATCCAGGTCCGACTGGCTTCAGGTGTTGCGGACCCATCAGCGTAACTTTGGGCGGAACGTCAGTGATTATACGCTACGGAACCAAAACCATCTGGTCTAACTCCTTTGCAGCTGCTTTCCCGACGGCAAGATCTGTCCTTTGTGAGCCTGAAATATGTACAGGTCAATGAGCGGAATGTCAGTGGTTATCCGTTACGCTACTAGAACCCTGTGGTCTGACTCCTTCCCAGCGATGGCGAGGATGTCCTGAGCGATACTGAAATATGCACATTTCCGGACATTCAAGTGAATAATTCGTTAGTTCCCAATATATTGTAAATTGTTTGTTGGCTCGCTCAATTTGACAACAATAACCCGGGATCGGTCCATTATCAGGAATTTAAGGACGTGATATCCTTGATGTCCAACGTCAATGCCTTCCATCTGAATATGCGCTTCTCATAATTTTGAATAGTGACAGTGGTTGGACAATCGCACGTGGGCGCCCGTTCTATGAGCAATCAAGTTGTTCTCCCAGTTGGCTGCTTGTCCTGTTTCTGCCTTTGACTGGTTGATGAGATTAAATCAAGAATTATAAACCACGACAATTGACGAACTTTGACCCTTGCGTTTTCTTTCCGAAAAGCATCAAAGTAAAATGCAAAATTCTACGTGGATTCACCTGGTCTCTCTCTGGTAAACAGTTTTCGATATAATCCGGAGTCGCACTTTGTTCAAGATTATATTCCACAAGGTCGCTTGGCGGCCTAGAACTTAGTAGAAGCCAAGAGGTACCCAACTCGCGATCAGAATTCCGAATCACCATACCTCCTGGTCCCTGACCGTTGGATACCTTGTAAATATACGTGGTAACACAGATTATTCAATTACAAGGCGAAGGTGAGGCGTCGGTCTCAAATGGCGGATCCGGAGAAAACATATGGTAGGTAACTAATATAAAAGTTCCCGAAGACAGCGGCTCGCCGGCTTTTAACAGAAATCGCGAGCCGGCATTTGCCAAGTCCAAAAACTGATTACCTTTCCCCCTGTCCCTGGCTACTTTACAGCCGTTTTCATAACGATAGGCCAAAAGTTCAAAATTGCAGATACAGTCGGACCTCGAATTCTAATCATGTCCACAAAAATCAGCATATATTTCAGGGATGACGAGCACGATAGATCTACAGATATACTAAATAGAGTCATCATCCGACAACTTACACGTCCAATTTTAGATTCCGCCTGTACGTGTATCTGGTCGAGATTAGGCCTATCGTTATGAAAACGGCTGTAAGCTAGTTTAAGCTACGTACTTTATCAATGTCTCTGTTCTCAACGCTGACCTACGCTGATCTCGAAGGAAGTAAACAGAGGTAGATTGCCTTTGGTGATGCCTCTAGGCTCTCAATAGCGAACAGGAGTCGAGATCCACATTTTCGTAGCCTAACGTTCCCGAGGATTTTGCCTTTTCCGATGCCAGTGCTTCAAGTCGTCGAACTTGAGAAAGATGCCAGCCTTCGCAAATAAGGTGCCCCATGCTAATCAAGCTGGCACGGCACAGCGACAATACAAAGGCCACTATCGCGACCTTCAGACCGATGTGCAGGATAGCATTCCCAGATATTTGGGCGATTTTGATTTGTGCCACGGGGAATGCCGAAAGTGGCTTGGTGGTAACCATCATCTGCCACTGTCCTCAATACCAGAATTTCTCTGGAATCATATCTTCTTAAGCCAATTGTTGATCACGATCTCCCCTCTTAATATCTTGGTCCTTGGTATCGTGTTTAATCGGTCCCATGATGTCAGTGCATGTCAAATTTTCTTCAACTAGGAGTTAGGGGTTGCCTGCGAGCGGAACATATATAGATCAACACACGGCACAGCAGGCAACTGGCTCTGCTCCCCTCTCCAGCATGGATCCTGAGGCTGAAGCTGCTTTAGAGGAGTTTGTCGTCTACCTACGTCACCAGAGGCAATTTGCAGATGTGAGTACCAGGCGTTACCAGCGCATAGCCTGTTCATTAATTGCCCTCGGACAGTACATGTTCGGTGCGCTCGTCTGCTACACAGTTTTTCATGTCACCCACAAACCTTGAATAAAGTCTCGGCGGCGGCGTTAGTGGTTTGTGCTTTTCCGTTACCCTCTATTGAATGCTTGACTGAGACCGACTCAGGTATACGATTATTTATTGAACTTGAGCCGCGAGATCGCATTGATTTGGTACTCGCCCTGGAAATACACCAAGTTTATGTATCTCATAGTGCGGTATGTCCCTTTTGCAGTTGTAGCCTTCCTCCTGCATCGTAGGTCATGTTTTTCTTCCGTCCTGACTAATCGCTGAGAGGCCCGCCAGTCCAGCTGGTTCCTGGGATGACGAAGGCGACCTGTCATTGGATTTTTCCCGCCGCTACGTGTGAGTGAATTCTAACAGTTGAATCAGCACTCATGCTAACTTGTAAAAGGGACCACGACCGTATCAATAATCACCTCAGAACGTAAAGATTCTGTTGATGCATTGCCGTCGTTATTTCTGATTAGAGGATTTACTTGAAGTTGTTCTCATGATTCGGACATGGGCGATCTGGCGCCGAGATAAGAGGGTGGGCTGTGTCTTTGTGGCTCTATCCTGTCTCTATATCGGCCTCGCGACGGCAGGAAATGTCACATTTGTCAGAAGTCTAGTTTGTGTGTTATCCCCCTCTATGGCTTGTGTGCGCTTGACGACCGACTTCTATAGTGGCAGATCCCCCGTATCCAGGATTCAGAGGCTGCTTTGTGCTTGCTGCTGCCAACAGTTTGACAAACGATTACGGCACGCTGGTGGCTATGGAGTCTCGTATGTTCCAGGTATATTTCCCATCGCTCATTTTCACACAATTGCACAGTTGTACTTGTTCTTATGATCATAAGCGCCATACAAACATGTCAGTACCCATTCTGACATTGAGGTCAACCTCTCATCACCTTGCTTAATAGATAGAAAGGGCGGCGTGAACCAGCTGTCAGTCGTCATCCACCGAGATGGTGCTTACTGTTTGCGTGTTTCTTTCCGAAATTGAAGACTAACGAGCGTACAGGAATCTTGTTTTACATGTATTTATTAGGTCTGTACCTGTTCTTGTTCTGCCGCATCCCATTCGCTCATTGTCCGTAAAAAAAAAGTCGCCTCGGTCGCAAACGTAATATTCTTTACTGCTCCCTCTGTACCTGTGCGTTTTCTCTCATCTCAATCTATCAATTGACAGCGTTAACGCTACGTCCTCACTCATAGCTTGATCTCCATGTCAGCTTCGTCCCGTAAGTGCTTCCTACTGATTTTCTTCGAAGCAATGTGAACAACGTTTTGGTGTGCAGCCTTTGCAGCGCGTTTTACGCTGGGCTTACTAGTCGCGTTGTGCTCAACATCCGAGAGGTTGCGCTAGGAGATTATAACAAGACAGCTGTGGAGACGCAGCTACATGACTACAAGGATGATGAAAATCCGATTGTCCCTCTGTCGTTCCGCTTGCGAAGTCAGGGTTGACTGGCAGTGGACGGAGGGTTCAGGACTGCTTAGGACTGCTTGCGTTGGGGGACTTGGATGTGATATATTATTTGGTCGTCAATCAAAGTGACTTATACCCCATGAGTCTTTTGAGTCAATCGGATCATCCTCGCAGCAGGGTGAACCTAAAAATAAACAAAAATGAAGACTGTATCCCGCTTTCGAAGGCGTTCTAAAAATGTTTTCACGCCGGTACTTTCCCCGCGGGCATGGACCTAGCAGATTCTGATTTCCGATGCTGTAAAAGATCGTTCAAGTACTTCGATACCCTCATGTAATCATGTTCAGTTGAAGCCGCACCGACGTTCCACCGTCCGCGTCGAAGCCCCCGTGTGGATAATGTACGATTCTAATCAGTCGGGGCACTGTTTGTTTCTCAGTGGGGAGCCCGGGTCTACAATAGGAAAGACCAGTGAGCGAAGTGGCGTCAAAGAATAATCTTAGAACGTAATGATAAACGTCGAACCACAAAGGGTCACTTGAAACAATATCTTATTCGGAGAAAATCCGATATTTTCAGATATATAAAGGCCGATTCGAAGCTGATGAACTCACATTCAAACACACCCCCAGTTACCACCCAACAATGAAATTGCCTCAAGCTCTTTTATCCCTTGCCGTGTCCCTGCTTCTCGCGGGAAATGCTGTTGCTCTGCGCTGTGGGTGCACCATTCCTCGATATTTGATTGAGACTCACCCATGTTTTCCATGTTCAGGTAACGGCTACCAGGCAAGTCTTTCTGATCATTTTAGAACTATAGCTTGACGATGAACCGCTCCTGTGATGTGCCAATAAAGCCCTGTAAGTCACCTTACCCTCAATTTCAACGCCTGTTAAGCAATAATTTTTAGGCCCAGCTGGCGATCGTTGCTGCGGCCCACTGATTCTTGACCCAGCGACCGGAGAGTCCTACGGAACGTGAATACAATTTTGAATTTTGAAGTGGCGACTTGCTGAAAAATTTCCACCAAAGTTGTTTCAAAGGCGCCACTGGCGTTTGCCCCCTGTGAAGAGAGTAAACAATAGATAGTTGTGAGCCGGACTGTCAAAGCTGTTACCTAGGATTCGTGTTTGGTACAAGGACTATGTGATTATGATCTGATGTTGACTTTCCTGGAGCGAGATTAAGACAAGTAAGGTGAGGCAACCTAATGGAATTCGTACCTTAGCATCATACACATCGTGTTGTTCGACAATCGAATGAAGGGCTTTACTTTCGTAAGTTCGCGCAGGGGGAAAAGAAATATCCAATGGGGACGTCATCTAAGTCCAGTGTCCATACAGCAACCGCCCGCAATGAAAGTTTCCCTTTCGTGTTTGGGCATGTTCGTAATCTTCGTTTTCCATTTGCTTTCCATACCATCGCTACGCCAAAACCCACCAGAACGTCGCTCGTCAGGCCTGATTTTACATTTTCAGAGACGGTCATGGCTCACCGCGTAGCATCCCGACACTGTGAGTGTGCTATCACATTTTTACATCAATCCTGCTTGGTGTAATCATGTAACAGCATTGTGAGTATTCCAATCAATGCATCCGCGATTCAGCGCTCACACAAAACCTGCTAAACCCACTCCCAAAGTAGGCCTTGGGTATCATTGCTGCGGCCCGATTGATGACGGCTGTAAATGACTAGATTCATTGCTCCTGATCTTTCATCTAGAAGTGATAATCTTTGTGACACTTGATTATTGAGGTGCTTCCCCGATGTTCCGGGAACGGTTTGTTCGGAGAGGGTGAGTCGGGGTGGTTGGGACGGTCGGGAAACCTGATATGGTTTCGTGCGGTACATGCTGAGACAGTGAATAGCTCGTTGGTCCATGTTTGTGGTTCGAAAGAAGATTGGGGCAGAACAGGAATGATGACATAGATCACCGGAGGAACCATTCGCATTTCAGGAACTAAGGTAACAGAAACGTCAAACACTGCTGTCATTTTCAATTTTGAGATAGATCGCTTACCATAATCCCATCACTTGCGGAATGGTAGTCGATGAACCTGTATCCTGTAGGGGTTAGGATCAAGGGGCACAGTAAAAATCTCCAGCCGCGTTAACCCCAAGGGTCCGTGTCAGCGTTCAAAACAACGAAAGACATGGAAGATCAGTAACGAACACCTGTTCCGAATGGCACGCAGAATTTTTCCGAGCGCTCGGCGACTCTTCAGGTGGTATGCGTCTGCAGCGTTCAGATAATAAATAACAGGCATTGTACAGAAAAACATGGTGAAAAAAGGTGGGAGTTGCCATCCCCTTGTCAAACGCGATAGCCATGGACGCACGAATCAGAACACCGACAACAAGAAAAGAAGAAAAGTGTCCACAATGATGCGCCGACCATGCCCTATGCTCACGAAGTACGCTTCTTTGCTGTTCCGATGGTGGTGTTGTTGACCTGGAGACAGTTAATGAGGACGAAGAAGGCAGTAAGAGCCAACATACTTTGGTAGCAAACCTCAGCGAGGTCAAGGATTCATTCATATGAGCGGCCAGAGGCGAAAGATTCAACACCATCTAGAGCAAAAGTTAGATTGGGTCGGAGTCATAGACGACGCCACTCACCAAGGTCTTGGAGTTCCCACTGAGCGAGTTTTGAAGCAAGTAAGTGAGCTGTGAACACTGATCAACGACGAAGCAACAAAGACGCAACCACCTCAAGCAGACCTTCGAATTCCGATAAGGTATATGTTTGCCATTCGCCCCCTCACCTTTCTCCCCAAGCGCCGCAATCACGTCGCCCAAGGCACTCAAGCTCTTGTTGATACTCTGCGTCTCCTTCACCCTCTCCTTCTCCACAGGAGCCCCGCTCGCAAAGCTGACATTGAGCCTCTCCGACCCAGCCAGATCGACAAGGTTCAAACTCCCTTCACATTTCTCACCAGTGCCCCCCGTCCCGCCCATCCCGACGTTCACACCGCTAATCCGCAATGTGAAGACAGAGTGGGAGCGGGAGGAACGTTCGTTCATGAGCGTGGCGGCTACGCTCCGTCGGGATTGGGCAAGGGAGAGTAGGGAACGGACTTGGGAGGCGGAATGCAATGGGATGACGTTGACGTCAGTTACACGGGTGCTGCCAGTCTTGGGGTCGTGTTTGATTTCGTGTTTCTTCTTGTCGAACTCGGAGGTGCCGAGGAGGTCGTTGATGGTTTCGTTGTACTATCGATTCCAAGGTTAGACACCGAAGATCGGTGATGGGAAACAACACACGATTTCGAGGAATTGTCCTTCCATTTTGTACTCCCAGCCTTTACTCTTCATCTCTTCCGCGACGCGGAAGACTTGTTCCACTGCTCGAGGAATCATGCCAGCTGATGCCTCCGACTGTGAAAAAGTTAGGCTTCAAGTGAGAATGGAAGCAGAGATGACGTACCGGACCTCCCTCCATGGTGAACGATTTGCCAGAGCCAGTTTGCCCATATGCAAAGATGCAGACGTTGTAGCCATCCGTGCAACTCTGCGCCAACATGGAGACTTCTTCGAATACTTCAGCCTGCGTTGACTCCGGCTCGAATACCTGAGTGGAATGAGCAGGGCTATAGATATGTGAAGAGAAACATATTCACCCGATCAAAGCCAAAGTTATACACCTCGTTTCTCTGCTGGCCAGTAGCGCTTTCACTACAAGAGGAGAGCACAATCTCCTTGTGATCCCTGCGGTCAGGGAATACCATGTTGGCTTGAAGGTCCTCTGCAGCAACCCCACCAGACGACGAAGACGGAGAACCACAGGGGAAATCTGAAGGCAGCACAGGGCGAACGCGACAGAAGACGCGAATGTTGCCCTTGAGCTCCTGAACCATGTTATGGAGTTTCCTTCGCACAGTCTCGCTCTCCATAGCCTCTTTTTTCAGGTCATCGACCTCCTTCTGTGCAGATTCAAGTTTGAGCGTCAGCTCCGAGACCGTCCTGGCGTAAACATCAATCTGTGATTGCAGCGCCGTTGCCTGGGCCTGCATCGCCTGGTTCTGCGTCGTCAACGTCAGCTGCGACGTAGACTGGTGAGAGATGGTCGATTTGAGGGTTGACACCGTCTCCCTCTCCCTCTCCAAATCGCTCCGACACATCCTCAAGTCCTCCGAGACTTCTCTGATCTCCCTGTCCCGCTTCTTCACATCCATCTCCAGATCCATGACCTCCCGCGCATGCTTCTTCTTAAGGTTCTCAATCTCATCCGATGCGTGCACGAGCTCTCGTCGTTGGTTGATTTCCTGTGACTTGGCAGTGGCGAGCTCCCGAGACAAGGCTAGATGGTTGGATTGCAGTTCCGCGACTTTATCGCGCTCTGCTTCCATATCGGCTGCTAGCCGGGCAGCATCGGCCGCTCGTGCCTTTTCGATTGATGTTAGTTGGGATTGGAGCTCATTGAACCGTTTGTCGTCGGATGATCGCCCTCCTGCAAGAGGCCCCGAGACAGTCCTCCCCGTAGTGGCCCTTGCTGATGTGGGCTTTGCCGCCACTCTGCCTGCGGCCCCAACAGGCGGTGCACTCGTACCCCTAGTGGTTGTTGATCTTGTAAGTGCTGGAGCGCGTGGTTTCGTCAGTGGCTTTGGAAGATTTGGTGATGGCGCTTTTCCGGTACTTGCTGCGAGGTTCATTGCAGTGCGAGATGGCTGAAGGGTTCGGTTAGGGCGACTAGCCCCAATAGCTGGCAGTTTTCGAGGCTGGTCATCGCTTTCTTGTTCCTCGTCGATGGTGGCTTTGCGTTTGAGGGTCACTCTTGTCGCCAGCGAGGGTCCGGATTCGGTCCTGTCTGGCGATGAGCTTCTGAGACGAGGCAATCTCGACATTTTGTGTTCTTGTCCTCTACTGTGGCAGACGGCGGCAAGAAGGGCGGCGACAGCGACGACGACGATGAGGAAACGATGAAGAGAATGTTTGAAATTCAACAAGGCGCGTGAGTCATGTGACGGCGATTCGGACGATTTTTTTCCGTGTTTGCTCCAGAACCCCCCGTTCTAAGATCACAGATGCCTACCGTATATCCACTGAAATTTTGACTCGTACGAGTATGCGCCAGTACAGTCACTTCTACAAAACCTCGAGCTAACTTCAAGCCGTTAGTCGCGACTGTTCAAAGTTTATGGTTATCCTCCTGGGTTCCCGATAGAGGTAAGCATTATGGATATTCGTCTACACTAAAAATTGTTTCACAAAATCGTGTGGCTAGCTACTAATTTCTGATGATTCGACAGAGGATCACTAAATTGGGACCGAAAACCCGTCACCCTTTGGTCGCTTCAACAAATGGTGCCTATAGGAAGGCAACTGTACTTGTTTGAGACCGAATTGTACGGCGAATAATTACGATCAAAGACTTACTACTGTACGTCAGGCGAAATTCCGCAACAGTGCTGTCCTGGAGGGCCTTGAGGTTCAAGTCATTGTTAATTTAAATCCGTCAATCATGGCAAGGCAACGAAAACTCACATTCCTAAGAAGATCCAATTCGGTCAGTCTTACTTCGGATCGGCGAACGAATAAAACTCACCGCATTAGATGTACCTGTAACGCCATCGATTACATTGAAAAACATGACAGGAGACAACTAAAAAATGGACATACACATAACAGACCCGTCTGGGATGCTAGGACTCGGATATTCCCCTGATCCAGGACTTTGAGCGACGATGCACTCAGCGGCGATGCTCTGAGCGACGAAGAGAAGGATAACCGCGACGAATGGTTTGAACTGCATATTCTCTGAGGTTCTTAGATACAGAGTGCTAACGATTGTGCACAGTTTATATATACGAGGCAAAACAAATAAACGAAGTCAAGTGAGCAGCAACATTGCAGCAACAGCACGGTGTGCCTGGAGGGCGACGTTCAGCGCTCCGCTATAATAGGTGACGGAATTCAAAACTCACCTGAATCCTGTGCATATGCCATGCTCTGCCAGCCAAAAAGCTCCGTCATGCGCGGAGGAATACCCAAGTTGACCAAAATCTCCGGCAGAAACTTGAGGCCGAGCACAAGTCCGTAGAATCCATTCCATTATGTAACGTCTCTAGCACATTCTCGACTCACTGACACCAAGATTTGACAGCTATCTCAATTCCCGATGTCAACCATTGATCAAGTGGTCAACAAACCGCCTTCCGGGGGCTCCGGGGGCAAGTGTTATGCATATAGAACACATACCGGCTGTCAGATCAAAATCTCTCCAGTACAAAAAAGAATTGACTTGAACACTTAAGGTGATGCGCACCATTACGGGCTATTTGCCTCAGGCCTGGCAGCACTTCACGCCGTCGCGAACAAACAGAGCCGCTACGCCAACAGGCCTCTGCTTTAAGTTTACAATTGTATACTACAATGCCACGGAAAGATGTGCTCATACAACCTGAGTTGAACGCACCAGTCTAGTTACTGCCCAGAAGCCCCGAGTTAACTCAAAGATTACACCACTCATATCATGCAGATATAAGTAAGCATTATGGATTTCTGGTACTCTTAAATTTATATAACAAAACCATATTACTGAGCGCTCGCCACCAATCTCTTAACATCTCATCAGAGAATCTCTGTGCTAGGATCGAAAAATCATCTGCATTTCCAGCACTTGGTCAACCTAGCAAAAGGTGCCGTTAGTGATGTGCAGGCCCGGCTTGGCCTGAAAGCCATGGCTATGGCCCGGCTTTGGGCGGCTCAGGCTTGACCATACTCAAGCCTGAGCTTTTTGCAAGGCTTCAGGCTGGCTCAGGCCTGGCCCAGGCTCAAGCCACGGCTCATGGGCTAAAGTCAAAAAACATGTACAAACAATTGCTCACTCTTGAGCTGTTCACGTAGTTCTTATGCTCACGAGCATGAAGTTGCAAGTATTTCTTTACTGTGTGCTCAAGCCCCCTCCTTGGTCATAGGCCTCACATCTTCATTTACACTACATGCCTTACCAGCAAACGACAATGGTATTTTTCAACAAAACCACGAGTACGCCTCCGCGTCGAATGCTGCACTCCCCTATCTCCGCTAAATTCTCTACTCATCACGTTAGGATGATCGGGAATGTCGAGGTTGAGGCATACCATCCTGAAATGTTGTACAAGATATCTGCATGGAACAAAAACAAGGTCGTTTCCTTTGGTTCTGCCTTCACCAAGCCATCATGAGTATGTTTCTGTCTATTCCCCTCATGTTATTTCCTCGTAAAACCCACCCTCTGCAGGGAAGATCACCCCATCCAAGCCTAGTTTTGATCTCAATGCAGCTATCTCAGCTGTGGAATCCTTGCTTGGTGGGAAGCACAACAGCCATCCTGCTTCAGTCAAATATGTTGCACTTAGGGATGGTTCAGGAGCCCTAGCTCATGTCATTCAGATTCAGAGTGACGTGGATGATAGCTGGCTTGAGGCCATGGCTCAGGCCACGGCTCAAGGCTTCGTGCATCATGAGCTTGAGCTTTGGGCTTTGCTGGGCCTTGATGATGGCCCAAGAAGGCCTGGCTTTGGGACGGCTGGCCCTGGCTGGCTTACGGCTTTGGGCCGGGCCTGGCACATCACTAGGTGCCGTTATGAAGAAAACTGCATTTGTTTCAGGCCATACTCTCTACTGAATAATTGCAATCACTTGCTACATGCAATCAGGCATCATTCTGACCGTGATTTCCCCAGTGCGGCAGTGCCTCCTGTCCTTGTCCCTTATCAAGACCAAATACCCAAGCCCGTCCTCCCCAACTACATCCCTTTCAAATGCGCCCCTCAGCCTTTTCTTGACCTCCATTGCCTCTCTGACTCCGCGCCACCACAATCGGATTCGTATAGCGCTCTTGCGTTTTGGTTCCGATCTTTCACTATATCGTCCTCGCGACCTTCCTTGGACCTGAACCACGTGGCACCCCGACTAGGACCCCGAAAAATTTTGGGCAACTCGTCGACTGCAACACACAGTCTGGCCTATATACAGTTTCCAAAAACTTTTATACTAGTACCAAACCAGCTAATAACAATCTCAGAGCATGTCTGGGACCGGGCTGAAGCCCAAAAGTCAGGCGGCTCCGCCACAAAAAGGTAAAGTGACGACCACTCGACAAAATCGACCAGCCGACACAGAAGTACAGGAACGCGGAAAGACGAGAGCGACCGGGTCGGTGGAGACAGACGAATACGAGCACAAAATCGGCGACTCGGATAAAGGGAGATCTTTCCTTGAAGGAAGGCTGCTCATGGTTCCGGCGGGGGCACTGCTCACTTTGGGTGCACTCGCCACAACACTCTTCCAGATCGCGGCCATGCCAGGCGTTGCCCTCCCTGCAGTTAACGCAGTATGCGCGGTCGCTTTTCTGCTAAGGGACGTCAAACTGGAAGTAGTGGCGGAAGACATCAGGGATATCGCCGTTGCCCAGTACAACGAATTGACCAACGACTTGAAGGATTTCACGGAGGGGCTCAGGGTGAAGGTTATGGAGGAGTTGGAGAAGAAGACGGAGGTGTTGAAAGAAAAGACAGTGGAACTAGCAGAGGTGGTCGAAAAAGCGGCACAACAGGTGGGGAACGCGGCCAGCTCCCCATACAGGGACGCGTTGACAAGGACGGCCTCTGGAGCCCCAATGGATGCCAATCCTCGTCTAGCTGCAAAGGAGAACATCAGGCAACGACAATCTCTAATCGACCTACCCAAGGGATCAAGCCTCAGCAACTGCGCCAATCCGGTTCTGGTGGGTAAGTTCGCGGAGGCAATGGGAAGGGCGACAGGACAACAGCACAAAATCAGGTCGGCTTTGAAGCTACAAAACGGTGGTATACTGGTAGAGATGGTCACAGACGACGGCGCGGCCTGGCTGGCCTCCAAGGCCAACGCAGAGGCCTTCCTGCAGGAGCTAGGCGAAAAGGAGGCCTCTTTCAAGATGAGGTCGTTCAACGTCATCGCCTACTACGTGCCGCTGAACCTGGATGCTAACAGTGAGAAGGACAGGGGGGAGATCGAAGAGATGAACAACATACCAAAGGGCGCATTGACGAAACTAAGGTGGATCAAGCCCCCGGCACGTAGACGACCAGACCAACGTTTCGCCCATGTAATCGCCACATTCTCAGACACGGAATCGGCCAACCGGGCGATAGTCAACGGTCTGTCGATATGTCACAAGAGGGTATCAGTAGTGAAGTGCAAGAAGGAGCCCATAAGGTGCCTCAAGTGTCAAGGCTGGGACCACATCGCTCTGGAATGCGTCATCGCAAAGGAGGTGAATGTGTGTGGTACATGTGGGGGGGATCATTGGACGAGTAAGTGCTCAGTGCAAGACGTTGTTCACTGCAGGTCTTGCAGGACAGACTCTCACACAAGCTGGGACCGCGGCTGTCCGACCTTCCTCCGGAAAATAGAAGAACTCAATGCCAGGGATCCAGCCAACGACTTACCTTTCTTCCCAGCAAAGGAATCGTGGACATGGGCAGCATCCTACCCATCCTACGGTCGTTGAGTACCACAGGCTGAGATTCATGTTGATGCGGTACAACCAGGCTCACAGAAAGACAGATACAGGCAGACTCGTCTAGGTTTCGAGCCCACGGCCCCAGGTGGAAGACCGTACACCAGGGACCCACGGGCGCGTCAGCAATCGAAGACCCCAGCGGATAAGTCTCCTCCTCCCGTTTTCCCTAACCCAGAATCTTCTATAGCTCCTTTGGCTTCAAGTAATGGCTCAACGCCCCCCGATAGCCCCCCCACCCAAGTCATTGCCCATGTCTGAACAACCAGAACACTCGCCGACTAGGTTACGGATCTTACAGATAAACTTAAACAAGTCATCAAAGGCGCATTTGGAGCTCTACAACAGGGTATCGAGGAAGGACTGGGATGTCGTTATGGTTCAAGAGCCGCACGTGACAGCAATGGGCAATATCAGGACGCCGAACGGATACGTAGCGGTTGTGCCAGTGGACCGATACAAGGACGACGCACCAACAACAAGGGCGGTAACATGGGTCAGCTCCGACTTAGCAACCAGCTCATGGAAGATTCTCAACATACCCGGCACAAACGATATCACAGCTATTCAACTAACTGGACCTTACGGGCGCCTGACCATCCTCAACATATACAACGACTGCACACATTCAAGAACCCTACGACTAATACGCAAATATTTACGCACTAACCGAACTGATATCCTATCGAGGGCGGACGACCAGTTAATACTTGCGGGTGACTTCAATAGGCACCACCCCATGTGGGATGACAAAACAGACAATAGGCTCTTCACGCCTGTGGCATTGGAGGAGGCGGGAAGGCTAATTGAGTTACTAGCTGACCTTAATTTGAAGATGGCCCTACCAAAGGGGCAGCCGACGCTTGAACATATGGTCACCAAGAAGTTTTCGCACCCAGACAACTTTTGGTGCACAGAGGACATCTACGACCTGGTAGTTCGATGCGAGGTTGACCCCTTGCTCAGGCCGCCGGCGACTGACCACTTCCCCATAGCGACTTACATTACCCTTCCACAAGAACGTGTAGCGCCGAAGACATCATACAACTTCAGGGCCGTCGACTGGGACGACTTCCAAGAAAACCTGGCTGACCGATTACTCGAGATACCGCCCCCTCAGATACTTAGGACGGAGCAGCAGTTTAAGGAGGCTGCAGAGGAGCTGACAGCGGCTTTACAGGATATGATTCGCACTAGGGTTCCAATGAACAAACCATGCCCCTTCTCCAAGAGATGGTGGAATAGCGATTTAAGTCGACGGAAAACCAACATGAAAAAGCTAAGTCGCTTAGCATATAGATTCAGAGCCTCGCCAGATCACGAATCTCATGCAGAGTTACGAACGGCAAGAGATGAATACGGCGAGGCGATCATAGAGGCTAAGTGCGGACACTGGGAGGACTTCTTGGAGAATGCAGCAGAGGTGGATCTGTGGACGGCCAACCGTTATTTCAAGGAACCAATAGGAGACGGAGGCAAATCGCGTATCCCAACCCTCAAGGTCATCGATGAAGACGACAACAGGCTCATCAGGGAAATCAACACCAATGACGGCAAGGCCAAGGTGCTAGCACAGGTCTTTTTCCCCAAGAAACCAGACATATCCAGGACGCCGGACGACTATGAATACCCAGAACCGCTCCCACCACCACCACCCATCACACAGGAACAGATTACACACCAGATCAGAAGACTATCGCCCTTCAAGGCTTGCGGCCCGGACGAAATACCGAACGTGGTACTCCAGAAGTGCCTGGGACAGTTGTTGGACTACTTGGTACACCTGTTTCGGGGCATCTTCACGTTGAGGACCTACTTCAAGGGATGGCAGGAATTCACGACAGCAGTGTTGAGGAAGCCAGGGAAGCCGAACTACGAAGTGCCAAAGGCGTACCGGCCAATAGCGCTCCTATGCACGATCCCAAAAGTACTGACAGCCATTGTTGCGGAGGACATAGCCCACCTGGTTGAGAAGAACGCGTTGCTACCAGACACCCACTTCGGAGGACGCCCAGGTCGCACAACGACGGACGCCATCCATTACCTTGTGGGCAAGATTAAGGCCGCATGGGGTAAGAAAAAGGTCGCCTCAGTCCTCTTCCTGGATGTCGAGGGGGCCTTCCCAAATGCGGTCACTGACAGACTCATTCACAACTTACAGAAACGACGGGTACCAACAACATACGTCAAGTTCATCGAACGGCTTTTGAAGGGCAGGAAGACAAGGCTTAAATTCGACGACTTTGTCTCCGAACTCATCTCAATCACGAACGGCATAGGGCAGGGAGATCCCATCTCCATGCTATTATACATCCTATACAACGCTGATCTCCTAGAGGCTCTGAGAAGACTGGAAGAGGATGCAATAGGATATGTGGACGATGCCTTGGTAATAGCAACAGCGAAGACTTTCAAGGGCTCAACACGCGCGCTCAAGAACTTTATGGAAAGAAGAGACGGTGGCCTCGAGTGGGCACAAGACCACAACTCAAAGTTCGAGATCAGTAAGGTGGCAGTGATGCACTGTCAGCCGGGGCCAAGGCAACCTACCGACCGCCCAAATCCAACACTCCGCCTGGAGGGGAAGGCAATCAAGGAAGTCGACAGCTACAAGTACCTCGGGGTCCACATCGACTATCAGTTGAGGTGGAAGATCCAAGAGAATGAGGCTATGGCTAAGGCTACAGCTTACATGTTGATGTTTCGAAGGCTAACTCGTACCAGCTTAGGTATCCGGCCCAGGCTAATGAGACAGCTCTACATTTCGGTAGCAGTCCCCAAGATGACGTATGCCCTGGACGTTTGGTTTGTACCTCCGTACAAGAAGGAAGGCAAACGGAACAACAGCGGATCAGTCAGGGCTCTGAAGTCAATGGGTAAGATACAATGCATAGCTATAACAGGGGGTTTACGGACATCTCCCAACGATCTCCTGGACGCCCATGCCGGTGTACTACCAGCTAACCTTATGCTAGAACGCATCTGCTATGCGGCGATGGTGCGAGCAGCATCCCTCCCAGCAGGACACCCCACCCGAGAAATGATACAACGATACAGCCACACGCCGGCAAAAACGCACCTCACTCCTATCCAGAAACTCATAGAGCGCTACAAGATCAAGCCGCATCTATATGAAACAATCACGCCAGAACCTCAACCGCCGACATACAAGAGCAAATTCACGACGACAATTGCAGATACAAAGGAAGATTCAATTAAGGCGGAGAAGAACGACAACTCAGACATCAAGATTTACACGGATGGATCAGGCTATGAGGGAAAGGTTGGAGCGGCAGCGGTGTTGTACAGGAAAGGGACAGAGGAACCGGAAAAGATCTTATGTTTTCATCTAGGGTCGATCAAGCAGCACACCACATTTGAAGGCGAAGCAGTAGGATCCATACTGGCGGCGTGGATGCTGCAAGGTCGATCAGAGGTAGGGAAGGCGAAGGTGGCTACTTATTCTGATAGTCAGGCTTTCATCAAGGCAACGGGAGCGAGGAACTCGGGACCAGGACAATATCTGGTCCTGGAGTACATGAGACTGACAGAGGTCATGGATGACGGCACTAACAGGCTTAACACCACAGATACCACCAAGTTTGCCTTGAAGTGGATAGCAGCGCATAAAGGAGTAGCGGGCAATGAGAGAGTAGACGAGGAGGCAAAGAAAGCGGTGCAGGGGGAGTCGAGTCCGCCAGAGGAGCTACCGCCCATTCTCCGAAAGCTTCTGCCTATCAGTGTGGCGGCGGCGAAACAGGAGTTTGCAGAAGGTCAGAAGGTCAGATGGCTCAAACTATGGAAAGCCTCGCCGCGCTTTGCGAGGCTCCAACACATCGATCGGGCCTTCCCTTTCAACAAGTTTAGAAAGATCAGCAACGCACTCTCTCGGTCACAGTCCAGTCTGCTAATACAGCTCCGAACGGGGCACATACCGCTCAACGGGTACTTACACCGCATCAACAGATCAGACGTCAGGCGCTGCGCGAGCTGCTGGGAGGCAGGGCATGGGTCAGTAGTGGAAACGGTCATTCATTATCTTTTCGAGTGTCAGACATACGCAGCCGAACGCTATGACATGGACAAAGCCTTAGGCCGGCGCTCGAGGGACTTGCAGGGAATCTTGGAGGATATGGATGGCATAAAGGAACTGCTCAAGTATGTTGGGAGAACTGCCAGATTCAAGGCTACGCTAGGCAACGCAATAGGTGATGTAACTCATTTAGAGCCCGAGGAAGGTTGACAGGTAGCCCCGTCTCTTTTCATATAGGAAGTACTACGCCAGATCAAGGCTCGACAGCAGAGCTGGCTCCGGCCAGCGGGCTCACCCACAAAACCACACTCTTTTTTCTTCACTATCCGCCTCTCAGCTTACGGACCTCAAGCACAAGACTTATTAAGACAAGAACACCAGCATCACACAGCTCAAGAGGAAGAAACACGTCACGCGACAGAACACAAAAACCGATTTTTCTCTCTGCCTAATCACGCTCATCCCTAAAGCTGTGCCTGTCGCTCGCGATCGGGTACTTGGAAGACCAAACACCTAACAGATGGAATACAACATATGGGGGAATGACGTAACTACCCCGCCCATGTTAATAGGATGCCCCTCTAAACGGTGTTTCCGTGCCGGGCTGGTTTTGGGGGAATGATCGCCATGGGCGTGCCTCCACCAGTGCATGAGGGGATCTACTGGGGGTTAGGCATAAACGGCATTGGGGCCGTAGGTAGTTTACTAGAATGTAACGTCTGACATGGGGCTCTGCCCCAATGGACTATAAATTTGACTCAAAAAAAAAAAAAAAAAAAAAAAAAAAATCGTCCTCATGGTTCTTCGAGAAGCTCGGCGACTTTCAACGCCCCCCCAAGATCGATCTTGCGTCGTTTCCTGTCGCCGAGAAGGTTCATATTGGTTTGTATTGAAGTCCGAAATGAGGCAGTTGTGCCGCATGACACCAGCCTGCACGTGATTTTGAACTTATCTTATCTCGTCTCTAAATTTAAACGCCCGTTTTTCCTGTTGAGGATATGGGAGTGAGATAAAATATCATTTCCCAACTTTTTGAGTTTCAACAATGACCAATAGTATATAGCATTTTTGTGATCTGATCACGGAAGATTTAAAATGAGAAAACAATGAAAAAAAACTCAAAGTAAACCCCCAGCAAACTTAACGCAAAGGTTCTTTGATTTTAGAGAAGTAATTGTAGGTTTGAATTTCTGAAGCATGTCTATGAAGGGACAAGCTGGGACAAGTAACCAACATAGCGTAGGTTGTTTGGGTTTGTCCAGGATGATAAACACGTCGACACAACAAACAGGAGATTTCGGCCCGTTGCAATTCTCACCGATACAATGAACCTTACCATCCCTGCGTCAATTCTACCACAAATCCTACCAGTCAAGTCTCTCCTACTCCAATCCTCATAAACCTATGATCGTCTTCCAGGTGGTTCGTTCGTACGAAAAGGCCCGTATGAAGTTCGCTTTGTGGAAATAGAGGGGGTTTTGGCGTTTCGCTCTTTGTGCGTATACTTTACTTTATATATAGCTGAAAACCAACGTGGCCTTGTGTGTGCATAGGCTGGGCCTACTCGACGGGCACGCTGCGTCAGTTGCACGGACCCCTCTTTCCCAACCCTTCGTCCTGAGCGCTAAGCATTCGCTATTGCTCCTCCAGCATTCATCCCATCTCTCCTCGCTCTGTTTGCGGCAAGTTACCATGGATACGCCGTCTCAACCTCAGAGTTTGCAACTCGAAACCTTTCAGATGAGTCAAGTCGAGCCCTCTCGCCCGGCAGGTGAGGTTCTTCGGAACGTCGACCTTCTCAGGGTGATTTTTGAACATTTCGATGTCGATCTGGATGAGGATCAGCCTACTCCCGGCAACGGCAAGAAGCCGTTGCTGTGGGCTGCGTTATCCTGGAAGGCTTTCGTCGATCCTGCCTTGGACATCCTGTGGCGGAACATGCACTCACTTACGCCTTTCTTCAAGCTTTTTCCCGTTTACAAAACGCTTGATGGTATGCATGTTCCTGTGAGTTTGATTCGTCGGTGGTTCTTGGATTTGTTGGTTGATTGACGTGTAGATGTTTCATGGTCCCATCCTTGACGCAGATTGGATTCGATTCGAGAGCTACGCTCACCGGTTGAAGATACTGAAGATAAAGGAGGATTCCGCGGATATCATCTCTCCAAGCACCCTTCATCGTCTAGGCCAAACTATGAGGCCCGTATTCCCCAAGTTACGCCACGTTTGTTTTTCATCCAGCTCGATACTCTCAACTGCAATTTTTTTGCTGTCGTCTGCATCATTGCAGCATGTAGAAGTCAGAGGTATATCGCAAGAAAGTGATATCTTAGTGACGATGTTGTACATCGTGACTTCCGATGCGCCCACCCTTGAATCGCTAAGCCTTGATGGCCGCGCGGTGACTCAGCTATCTCTTCAACCTGTCAAGCAATTTACGAATCTTCGATCTCTGTCTCTGACACAAATGGGGCGGCTGATTGACGACACCGTTCTTGCATGGATTTCCAGCTTAACGCAGTTAACCCATCTTACTGTCGATCTTCAAGGCTCCCCCCTTACATCCATCCCGAGCGCCTTCAGCACACTATTGTCGTTGGACATAGCTGGATCCTTATCACTTATTTTGCTGTTTCTCACCGCTGTTGAATCAGCCGCGTTGAAGGACCTTTCTTTCCTTGTGCTCACAGGTGGAAGCGGATCTGCAACAGCGGCTGAGTGGAAACTCCTGGTGGATGCAACCAAATCTAAATGGTTGACTTCCCTCCGGGGGTTTTCATTGGAAGATAAACGCGCCCTCGATAATGTTTTGTCGCTGACTGATGTATTTGGGTCTTTATGGCAGTTGAAAGGTTTGGAACGTTTTGAGGTTAAGCAACATCAAACCACTTCGACACTGACGGACGCGGTTTGTCGTCACATTGCGGAATCTTGGAGAATGCTGCGAGTTCTCCGCATTGAGGTTCGCCTACAGCCGGAAGGGCCATCGATCGAAGCTTTGATCGATTTTGCCAAGTACTGTCCTCATCTCAAATCCCTTAGCCTCTACGTCAACTTTAATAAGGGAATGCCATCTCATCCCTCTCAGCATCCTACCTCATCTCACGGCTTGGAATTAGTGTCGTTTGGGTGGTCTGCTGCGGGGAATGAGTTGGCGGCTGCGAAGTGTTTAGACAACCTCTTCCCACGACTAAAACGCCTTGGAAGTATGGTCCCAAATTCGAACGAATCCAGGTCTTGGGAGCAAGTGAAAAGTTTTATCTGGGCTTTCAAGGATGTTCGTGCTGAGGAAAGGGCCAGATTAGCGATATTAGACTAATAGTTCGGGCTGGGCACAATCTACGTTTCATTCATCGCGCATAGTTTGCTTCTTTGTCTGGGCGTAACTTACTCATCGCGTAGAATTCACGGGAAGCAGTTGTAAGCCTGTCTATTTCAGCTCTCCCGACAATGACCTCATGTGACAACTTGAAATGGTCGTCCCTCAACGCTCCTCAGCAATGCCAAGCGGCGTCAGCATCAGCGTTGCAAGTAACATATCCGTTGCACTTATACTATCTCTAACTTCGCCTTCATTTTGTAGAGAAAAGTATCCTCGTCACTGGTGGACACGCGCTTAGTAGGGCCGTTGCTCAAGCAGGAGAAAATGTCGCGATAATCTACAGGTCCGTCACACGCATATATTCAACCAAATTCTTTGTTTTGTTTCGGTTCAAAGGTCCTCCAAAGACGCCCCTGAGATAGCAGAGAAACTCTCGAAAGAGTTCAACGTTAAAGTCAAGGTTTGGGATCGTTTTCTTGCGCTCGCGCCAGACGCTCGCTTTAGGCGTACAAATGCGACGTCTCGGATACTGACCTCGTCAACAAGACGCTCAAGCTGGTTTACGAAGAGCTCGGTCTTGGCTTGGTCCCATCTCAAGTTTTATTGCCATAAGTTACCCTCGATGGGTTTTTTTTTGAATTATTCCCTCATTTTATGAGCCAATAGAACACTGGTATATGCGTTCCCAAGCCCGCGCTTGACCTTACCCACGACGATTTCAAGTACATATTCGACGTCAATGTATTTGGTCCTTCAACATGGCGTTTAAATACTGGTTAACACAATCCTCCTCGGATTTCTATTTACACTGAATCTGTCCGACAGGAGCATAATCAACATCTACCAATTCCCCGATATTCCGCCAGAGAACTGCCACACTATGACCAAATTATTATCTACATATCCACCCCAAGTTGTTGAATCTAACAAACGGTGCCCAAAGGAAGACAGCTGCATTGTTTTAGACCATATCAGACTATGCGGAATTATTTGGTCAGAGACTCACGTCATGTGAAGAGGCGAAAATCCGCAACAGTGCTGTCCTTTAGGGCCTTAAATTACAAGCCATCGTCAATATCAAACCTTCAATCACGGTAAAGAGACAAAATTTTACATTGCTGAAAAATGCAATTCAGTGTTTTCATCAGAGATTGCGAAGGAATAAAACTCACCAAATCAGATGTACCTGTAATAATGTCATCAAATAGGTATATTTCAGAAGTATTAATTTCAAAATTGACGCACAAACGTATTCCTCTGGGCTAGAACTTCCATACGTCTCCTTGGTGGGATTTGGAGCGGCAATGCTTTGAGCGACGAAGAAGAGGATGACGGCAATCAGTGGTTTGAACTGCATTTTTTCTGAGGTTCGGATACAGACTACTAACGACTCGCCCACAGTTTATATACACAAGCCAAGCCAAGATGACGGAGAAAAGAGAACGATGTGGAGCCTCGCCAAGAGGCCGATGCTCGACGATTACCTAACGGAATGGAATTCAAAGCCAAACTGGCCACATCATCATGATGGACTATAGCATTTTCAAGATGGCTATCCTGTCGACAACTCCACGATTTCCCCTTTCTTCCTGAAGTCTGTGAATAGTAGGCTGTCCTTGGATCCAAGCATGCCAAATGGCGTTTTAAAAGGCTCCGCTGTGAGCGGCAGATCAGGTTGATGAGCTCGGATTTTGAGCATCCAGCTCAAGGATACAGAAATTCACTCTCGGTCAACTCAAGGTATGCACTCCAATTTTTTAGGAGACTCTCCAGTACGAGTAGAGGATTTATGAACAAATGTATAGTTCCAAAGAGGATAGAATTTCCTGCGCACTCGCAATAACGCATCTCAGATGTCGGCAAAATCCCCAGCGTGAGCAGATCAGATTTAATCTAACGCACAAAGTCTACCGTATTACATACTAGTCGCATATTGTTCGCATAGCATAAAAATTTGACAGCCATCTCAATTCCCGGTGTCACCTAATAACCAATCAGCAGACTGCCTTGGGAGGCAAGCGTACACATCTAAATGATTATTCGCTGTCAGGTCAAGATACCCGGAGGTAATAGTAGACAAGGGAGACGTGACCTGGAAGACGATGTACACGCTGGACTATTTGTCTTGCAGCACTTCATGTCGTAGTGACCTAGCGTCGTGAATTTAGATTCTAAAAATGACTTCAAATATGCGAAATATGAACTCACAGTCCTGAAATGGATCGAAATTTAACTGATCAGAAGCGGGCTAAAAGCAATACGAACACCCTTGGCTTACCGAATCGCTTTTGCCTGAAACAAACGAAATTTAGCCGTCAATGAGTAACCAAGAGAGACGTCCACGGACAATTTATACAAGAAACCTTAGTATCGAGAGCCGCGAGTACTTGAATGAAGAAAGATAGACCGAGAATGGCGATTTTGTACATCGAAAATGCGTTTTAGGGATCTGCGTGGTGATGGCGAAGTTATAAGCACAAAATTCCCTTGGAAACTCTTGGCATCCCGCGAATTGTTCCAGCTGTTGCAATCACCCGGCGTCGGTCAATAAATGTTTGGTAAACCCCGGTCGAGAAACTCGACCGCGTCCACCGCGATGAATGCGCAAGGAGATAAGACTAACAAAGGCTCTACCAACGCTCAGGAGTACCGGTACATACATTGTTCGAGCAAATGGGGTGTGGAAATAAATATTTAGGCTACCGAATAATGTTGTTGTTGAAACTTTCGATGCCCCCAAATTTCAAGCACCTATAGACAGGACGACCGACGCAGAAAATAGGCAATAAATAAGCATCCCAGGCTGGGAAAATATTCCAGGTCATGGTTATGCCCCCCAATAGCTCTCCCAAGCGTTAGGTGCCGAACTCCCTGATTGCATAACGACGGAGGATATCTTGACAGTGGAGCAGGAAAAAAACATGAAGTAACGCCTGGAGACACATGCAGCATATAACCATTTGGGAGCAACAAAGACTGGTGTCGGACGACGCCTGTGAGGTGACTGCAGTGAGCACTAGTGAGCGGAGACAAGATATCAGATTTGGGCCACTGGGCCGTTGCTTTTCTTCGGATCTAACCCAAATTGTTGGCTCGAACTTGAACGTCTCCTGAAGGTTCTGAGCTGTTCATATCCAGTTGTTACACTATTACATGCTTGTGACGCGAAGTAGGGGCAATGAAGACGATTTTATTGAACTATGAAATGGATATCAGGTTACCATGTTTCTGAAGTTCCCGTTTGGACCCACCGGTCTGCCTGGTCACGTCTTGTCCGTTGACGCGGATCCTTGTATCGCTTCTAGCTGTCATCTCGACCCTGCTGCTGTCTTCCACGGCTATCCCAGTAGCATTTTGAGACCCAGAGACGTCAAACTCATTCCTGCCCTCCATACGAACTGAGCTATTTCTTTGGACGCGTATTCCATATGCACTACCTTTAAGTGCGAGAGTTGATGATTGAATGAATTGCACTGGTGCGGTAATTACCGGGGCATCGGATGCGTACCTTCGTTATTCGTACTACCGTCTGCATAACAATCATTTCAGCAGGTGGTTGCCGTCAACTTAGTGTCGGTACTTACCTGCCAAAAGCCGATCCGAAGCTTTTAGTGAAATCTTGTCAATCGTGTAGAGCAATTGAGAACTCACCATCAGGGGCTCGCTCCAAAACTCTGACAGGTATTCCATGTGCGCGACCTTCAAGTGCGAGAGTTGAGGACTTGATGAATTGCCTTAAACTTGAAGCCCTTACTTACCTACTACCAAGAGCCGCGAGATGAACTTGAGAGCTGTTTTCGACCATTCAACAATTATTGTCAACGGATTAGACCCCTGTGAATGAAGAGTTTCAGTTGAAACAGAAGGAAAACCCCACACCGCAATGCTTACAGTGCACAGGCAGACAGCCACGCCAATCACGACACCGCCAACTATAATAATAGTACGGCGGCGAGACAGGAAATTCTTGACTGTAACCCAAAAGTTAAACCGCCGCCCAGTTGGCGGAAAATTCTCAGCTGATCCAAAGCTTTTATTGGAATCTCGTTAATCGTGTAGAGCGAATAAGAGCTCACCGTCAGAGGCTGGCTCCAAATTGTGGACAGCATCAGTTTCACCTACAAGTCTGACATTTCGAGAATTCAAAAGCAACTGGAGATCGGACATCCTGGAGGATACTTCGGGAATCGGGGGGGCTTCAACGTGGTAGGGCGTAAGTAGTTGCGGGAAGGTGCTAACCTCAATATATAAAAGAAACCTCTCCCATCTCACGGCCCTCACCTAGGCCACAAGGTGTAAGTGCAACCGCATGAATGCTTTGCGGGCTAATTTTAGCCCAGACCACATGTGATCACTTCATGATATTCATCTCCGCTCACGCGCATTGCTCACTTCATGTGTCTCCAGGCGGTCCTTTCCAGTCTTTCTTGAGTGTCAAGGTCTTTCCTTCGTTGAGGAATCAGGGTGGTTGGGAAAGGATTGATGAATACAACCTGGAGGTGTTGAGGAATTTCAAGGGTGATGTTGAACCGAAATCCAGTTCGGAATCTTCAAAAGACGTTCAGGTTTAACAACTTAATACTCCAATAATACTCACACGCGTTTCTGGGTGCATGCATGGCGGGAACTTGCCAATCGTAAGGTGAATTCCGTCGAGTGAGAGTTCAAACGTTCAAGCTCAGGCTTCAAGCTCTAAGAGTATCTCTGGGCTATCATCTAGCCTTCGAAAAAAAGAAACGGGTAGAGGTGTCTTATTTTCTAGGAAGGTTTTCTTTTCGGCGGAGCTGTTGCGGAGCTGCAAATTTGTGTGCGCACGTGACTGTCCCTCTTCAATTTCGAAAGTTGGCCGTTCAAACGATTCACAGCGGTACGCCTGACTCACTAGTTATGTGCATATGCAATGGCTGATGTGGTGAGTTTTTACGCGTGTCAACCTGAGTTGCGCTCGTACTTGGATAAAGACTCACTTGGCGCTCAGTCCGGATCCCAAAGAAAGAAGTCAAACGTTGAACCAGAACCTTATGTAAAAGGGGAACGGCGTCTACTTTCCATGCGCCTCTCTTCTTCATCGCTTTGCCGCCCACAAGCCCATCCGCAAACGTAGGGGAAATCTCTCCTCATCATGCCTATACCTCCATCAGCCGACATCTCAGTCAAACTTCAGTCACTCTCTGATCAGCTTGATCAGTCGGAGCACGCCAGGGATAAGGAAATCGCCTTGGTCAAATATTTACAGGCCCACCTCGAGGCTGATAAAGATCACACTACGCTGAAACTGCTACCTAGTGCATTGGGGACTCCAGATGGTGATGGTCGTGGTGAAACTCGAGAGTCGACGATATTGTCGGACATCATTAGGAAACACAATCTCGGCCAGGCATACTTGGACTGGGTGTTCACATATCTTCAACCCACGGCCGCCGACAATAAACCGCTTGAAAGACTGCCTTGTGCAAACGTCAAAGCTGAAGAGAACTGGGGATGTCGAAATGACGGAAAGCTGACGTGTGGTGAGTGTCACCTGGTCTCTTATTGTTCAAAAGTATGTTCACACCGTGGTTACTCTCCGTATGTTATCTGAGTCCAGTTTATTTAGGAATGCCAGCGAACCCACTGGCGCGTTCATAAACGGGGTATGGTATTCTACTTTTTGTTTTTGTTGCGGCTCTCATAGTATTCCTTCTCGATAAGATTGTAAGGACCCCATCCGCTCGCCAACATGGCAGCCAGCATGGATCCGCGAAATGCGGGACCCGACATATGTGACAAGTTCCACCGAGTGGAAAATACCTCAAAAAGAGGCGCAGTTTGCTTTGGGTCTGCACATGCAAGCTTTCCCGTACTTTAAGTTTGCATTTATATATCAAATTCTACTTCCACAGATGGGGCAATATTCCCGCATTCGATACTCTCAATCTTCCAAAAAACGAGGGTGCATCTGGGAACTTACCGAATCTTAGTCTAGCTTATGTTGGTGAGCCGCCCTTACCTAAATAAAATGAAACCGGTTGTTGATTTCTTATCATCGTGTCCGCAGCATCCGGGGACCTTCGGAATGTGGTCCGAACTGTCAATGAGCTGCCAGATGATTATTCGGGAGAGTTGACTATCGTCTTGAACGATCGGGAACCAATGATAGTCCTTAGAAACATGCTACTGCTTATGATCTTGGGCACCATGACCGACGAAATTGGAATAGCTCAAGCAGCAGATGTAGCACTCCACCTTTGGGGCTCTACTTTCATCCGAGGGGAAGATCAAATCGTTCATGCAAAGGCGATCATGCAGTTAACTGGTTTGATCAGAGGACAAGATTTGTTCTCGTTACGACTCGGCGAAAATTCTATCATGGCTGGGAAAATGACGGCACAAGTTGTGGGGGTGCTGGCTCAAGCAATGAAGTTTGACCTAGACGTCAATGATGCCAATGCTGAAATCCGGCGCGTCAGGTGATCCCTTCCTGGAGGCCAAGAGGAGACGTGCTAATGGTATATTTTCCAAGGTTTGAGCCAACGCGAGAAGACAGGCATCATCGCGGGTATTGCCGCCTGAAGCCATCTCATCGTCTTGCATCGTTGGAATTTCGTCGCTTTGGAATTGTACTCCCCTTTGGCGCTGCAAACAACCATTTCAATACACCAAACAAGTACCTCTTCTCTTCTTCCGGCCGTTGGCTGCAAGATGATCTGGCCACTCCCCTTGAATCGTGGAAGTAGGTCATTCAATATACAGTATCTGATATCTCTCTTTGCTCAATCTTCATCTGAAGCATTGAGGATGTCATCGCCGCTGGGAAAGCCCATGGGGCGCAATCCTCCGACCTCTATGGTTGTTTATACTTTTATTTTTCTGGACAGTTACGGTCATTCGCGGAACGTATCAGGAAATTTAAAATATCCTTCCGTATGTTCAACCAGGACGCACGAGAGCTGGCAAAAAACATCCAGTCTGGCACGTATACGTCTCAGGGCCTTCCAAAGAACACCACCTTTGACCGAATCGATGTTTCCAACATCATTGACGCTGAGTACCTCGGGATATCGAACGTTCTGGCCGAGTTCTCCCCATTATTGAATAAAGCCAACCAATGCGCGACTATCATTGGATATTCAATGAACTGGGTCCCGAAGCAACACAACAGTGGACCCGGTCCTGCGGAGGTGGGAAAACTTATGAGGCAATTGATACAAATGGGAAAGGGAAGTCGGTAAACCGTCAATCGATAAGTCAGTCTCTCTGACACTCTTCCCCCCCCTCCCAGATCGATCAGAACTTGCATCCGGGTCGAATCTCAGTTATTTTCAAATATTTGGAAGCAATTCATGACAATTCCACTGCGTTTCATCAGTATCTCGCAAAACAAGGAACTGAGGAAGCGGCTCGCAAAGCAGGCGTTAAGCTGAAATCGAAACATAGCATTGTACCGCATGTGAGTTTGAATGATTCTTTTTCTCTCCATTTTTTACGATTTTTTGAATTGTTGGGGCGGTAGCGGATCGGTGCTCCGATTGATGGACCACCAAATGGGCTGCCTGAATTCAAGACCGACGACAGTTGGTATTGGAATGTAAGTTGCAGGATGTAAGCGTGGAAGTTCAGCGTTTGACCATATATATGTTGTGCCGCACAGGTTCAAGTTTGCCCTGCGTTGCTTTCTGAGCGTTTTGTTGAGTTTACTCGTATCTAAAGATGTCATTAGATTTATCGTCCAAACTCTATATCGTCCATGATTGAAACCAGGAACTTGTCGAATAATTATACATGTGATGTAGAGGAGATTCCCGGAAGTTCTGACTATGAATTCACATTGAGTTTGTCTTTGATGTCGAGACCCATCCTTCACCCAATAAGAGACAAAGACACCAACCCCAGAGCACACACCCTAAACTGCCGCCTTGATAGATTGTGCCTAACGAACTGCACATCACGAAGATGATGATGAACGATTGGAGTTGGTTTAAATAGTCTTCCATTTCTTATTCAGACGACTCGGACTTGCAGTCTGCGGACGAGGAGGCGTCGACTCTGTAGAAGACGCACGGGCCTATTCAAAAGACCTTGGATTTCGGTTCAACATCGCCCTTGAAATTTCTCAACACCTCCATAGCGCCTGGAAATCGGAACGCCATTCCGCAGACATTAGGCGATGGAGCATCCCAGCCTGGGCGGAGATCCGAGGTCGTATTGATTAATCCTTTCCCAAGCTGTAGCTTTGCTGATAGCGTAACATGCCAACCACCATAAGGAGGAAAAGACCTTGGAGCAACGCAGTGAGAGACTGGTCGAGCTTGGGTACCCCTCGCCATCATTCACGTAGCAGATCGACTGATCTGACACCTCTTGGGTCGAGCCGTGCACATGAGCGGAGATGAATATCGTGCAGCGATCTCTAGGACACACGTGATCTGTGCTAAAATTAGCCCGCAAAGCATTCAATGCAGTGGTTGCACGTACACCTTGTGGCCTAGGTGAGGGCCGTGAGATGGGAGAGGTTTTATATATATATCGAGGTGAGCACCTTCCCACAACTACCCCCTACCACGTTGAAGCCCCCCGATTCCTGAAGTATCCTCCGAGATGTCTGAAGTATCCTCCAAGATGTCTGATCTCCACTGGTTGCTTCAAAATTCTCGAATTGTCATAATTGTACGCGAAATTTATGCTGTCGACAATTTGGAGCCAGCTCCTGACGGTGAGTTCTTATTCGCTCTACACGATTAACGAGGTTCCAGTAAAAGCTTCGGATTAGCTGAGAATTCTCCGCCAACTGATGCCAAGCGGCGCTTTAATTTCTGGGTTACAGTCAAGAATTTACTGCCTCGCCGCCGTATTATTCTTATAGCTGGCGGTGTCGTGATTTTCATAGGAGTGGCTGTCTATCTGTACACTGCAAGCCTTCCCGTGTAGGTTTTTTCTTCTGTTTCAACTAAAACTCTTCATTCACAGGGATGTAATCCGTTAACAAAAATTGTTGAATGGTCGAAAACGGCTGTAAACGGAATCTTGCAGCTTTTGGTAGGAGGTAAGTAAGCCCTTCAAGTTTACGGCAACCACCTCTTGAAACGATTGTCATGCAGGCCGTACTACGAGAAACGAAGGTACGCATCCAATGGCGCAGTAATTATTGAATCAGAGCAATTAATTAAATCCTCAACTCTCGCAGTTGAAGGGCCCTCAAATGAAACACCCGTTTTGGAGCGCCTAGCCCCTGATAGTGAGTTCTTGATTGCTCTACACGATTACAATATTTCACTAAAAGCTTCGGATCGGCTTTTGGCAGGTAAGTACCGACTTCCAGTTTACGGTAACCACCTGTTAAAATAATTGTTATGCAGGCGGTAATACGAGTAACGGAGGTATGCATCTGGTCCCCCGGTAATTATCGCATCAGAGCAATTCATTGAATCGCCTTGTACTCTCGCGCTTGAAGGTAACGCATGTGGAATACGCATCCAAGGCAATGGCTCAGTTCGTATGGAGGGGAGGAATAGCTTTGGCGTCTCTGGGTCAAAAAATTCTACTGGGATAGCCGTGGACGATAGCGGCAGGGTCGAGATGACAGCTACAAGCGATACAAGTCTCGACGTCAACGGACAAGGTAACGTATATGGAATGCGCACCCGAGACATTGGCGCAGCTCGTATGGAGGGGAGGAGTGACATTGTCGTCTCTGGGTCTCAAAATGCTACTGGGATAGCTGTGGAAAACAGCAGCAGGGTCAAGATGACACCTACAAGCGATACAAGGATCCGCGTCAACGGACAAGACAGACGGCCTGTGAGTCCAAACGGTAACTCCAAGAGCATGGTAACCTGATATTCATCTCATAGGTCAATAAAATCGTTTGCATTCCCCCTACTTTGCGTTGACTTCGCGTCACAAGCATGTAATAGTGTAATAACTGGATATGAATCTCATTGAGCAGCTCGGAACCTTCAGAAAGCGTACAAGTTCAAACCAACATTTAAAATTAGGAATCGAAAAAAGCAACGGCTCAGAGGGATTGTCGATCACGGTTTCCTATTGTCCTCTTGAGGCGGGAACCAATTAGAGCTTGATAATTTAATATTTCCAAGTTGAAATGCTTACAACGATTCATAGTGGTACGTTTGACTCTTCAATAATGCACATACAGTGGCTGATGTGGTAAGTGTATACAGGTGTAAATATATGTTGCTCTCTCTAAGGACTGACTCACTTAGCGCTCAGTCCGGATCCTCGCGGATGAAAATAACAGGGAGAGCCGTTGCATTGAATTCTTGATGGTTGCTAGAGGGAAGCGGAATTAGAGCAATCGCTCTCGTTAAATGGAGAACTTTGTTCTTGATAATGACGAGCGGCTCGATAGCTGCTCTGCTGGGATTGAACTGCGGAGAAGGAAGCGCAAATTCGTCGATTGACGTCGATGGTGTTGGCGGCAGGGTTACAGACTGCAAACACGGAATAGAATCTGAAGATGAGAAGGACAAGTTGGGAGAGGCGCAAGAACGAAACGAAGAAAAAGTTGGAATGGGTAGATGTGGGAATTTGTAGGAAACGTCAACATGAACGAGTAAGAGTAGTAGGTGGACGATGGGCAGGTTGGGGTGCGGAGAGAAGGGGATCGATTTGAGTAAGGATGTCGTCGTCGTCGAGTCCGAGGCAAAAGTATTGCCAACCCTTCTCATGGCATCGACATCGCATCTCAAGTGCCTAACGCGCACACATATCAGCGACATCTTTTCTTCCGAGCTGGCCGTGAGTGATGCGTATAAGTTCGGGAGACTCCTTGAAGGAAATTCAATTTTTTGGAGGTCCCGGAGGATTCTAACACGGAGGTCATAGAAGACATTTCGTAAATCCGCGTCTGAGAAGGGGGGAGGATAGGTCTGAAAAGAAGGGGGAGGATAGGAGTGTAGACGTTGGGACAGTGGGCCGGGCTACAAACTCCGTCGTGTTGGAGGAGCAGAGTACGTGGATCTGCGGTAGAAGTCAGCTACGTGTCCTTCTCCTCGTGAGTATGTATCACCGCAAACCGCTCATCCATGCGAAGCATTGACCTCAATCCCACCCTACCTCCCCTCCGTCCCCTCTTCAGTTACAGCCGAGTCCGCGAATGTCTTCCAGCATTTCTGGACAGCCGCCTCACGCCACATGAACGGGAGATGTTGTTCGGGTCCAGAGGGTGTTGAAATTGTTCGCTTCATCTAGATCTTCAACGGGTTTTGCCTGAGTTTTTCGACTGGTAGTTTAGGGGGTTTTTGAAGGGCTCCAAAAGATGTTTTTAAACTAGTTTTGTGTAGGTTTGGAAGAAGGACGGGCATGAGCCTCAGGCTGGTGTTGTGATTGGTGGTCGCTTGAGTAGGGTTGAATTTGGGTTAAGAAGCCAGGAATTATGTAATTCAATTGAAAATACTTGATCAATACTACTTGTGCCCAGCAATCTCCTTGTTCCTCCAAGTCCGACCGGCTCGCTCCATAACACCTGCGCACAACCTGCGCAACACCTGCGTTGACGTCGACTACGAGACCTCGGTCCGTCATATCTACATATCCGGTTTACTGTATTTCAATATTTGGCTTTGGTATACGCCACAAACAAATAAACGGCTGGGCCGGAACGGGAACCGGAGCTGATCTATCTTTTCGCAATTACCTGTAGGCCTTCTGGCCCATCCAAAGTCCGTTGGGGACTAGAGTCATGTTATTTGATCTTATCGCATTCCTTATCTGCGTTCGAGATTTGGCGGGAATTCGATCCCTTGATATCACCCCACCACCATCCTCCACTAGCACTCCCAATGCCCACTGATGAAAGACGACCGTCGTATGGCGATGATGGAGAGCCAACTAGGCTACCAGGAAGCGACCCAGTGAGTGTTACTGATGTTCGATTTAGACATCGTTGTGCCTTGACAACCACAGTAGACACCTGGAATGAAACCCGGAACTTATTACAGTACGGCTTTCTCTCTCCTTTGATTATAATCAGCATTAGTATGAACCCTCCCACACAGTATACTATCGGTTATACACCAAAGATGGTCCACTCGAATCAAACAGCCTCATCTACTCCAACGACCACTTTATTAGCCGGATCGTGTCCTCATCAGTGAGACCCCCTCACACCGCCGCCTCTCTGATGAGGTATCTTTGCAAGATGGAGGGCCTAGCGCTCCAAAAGTGCATCTTATTTCAGTCTCTCTCGGAACTGACAGCTTTGGAAAATTCGATCCACCTCCCGCTTCGGGGGACTACTGGACCAGGCGCATCTGATCTAGATCCAATGGCACTGGTTGTTGATAAATGCCCCACAGAGAGGAGATCACAGGTCACGAGCGGGGTAGAAACACAAGAGCTGTTCGAACGGGAACAACGTTACGGTGCGGCTCTATCATAATTTATGTGTTATCCGAAAATCGGCCTGATGAATTTTCAGTGTACTATCGCGTTTACGACGATGATGGTGAGATTGTCTCAAAAAGGTCTTTCGACGAGAACAATCCCTCTTTGGGCCGTGTCAACACTCTTTCCGTGCCCCCGCCTCACACTGTGTCTTCCTTGAAAAATCACATCGTCATATCCGAAGGTCTATTCGGCCACAATGTTAAGCTATTTGAGGATGAGGGCAACGAGTCTGCCATGAATGACAGTGATGCGCTCACACTTCTCTCAGAAACGTTCCCAGGATGTATAGAAGACCGACCCATAGCAATTACATATGAATCAGGAACGGAAAATGGTGAGAATTGATGAAACCCCAGGACTCAGTCATGATGGAGATTTTCATTAGGTTCAGCTGACAACGACGATCCGAATGAGATCCAGATCCGAGAGCTGAAGGAAGCATTGGCACAGATCAAGAGAGAATTTGAAGAAGCAAACCTAACACACGCGCGTGAGCTTGATGAGGTGAGAGAGGCATGGAAACAGGCGGAAGAGGCACACAAGCGCGAGATAAATTGGGCTAGGCTAGTGGTAAGTCATTGAACGGCACCTTACCTGGATTGAAATGACAAAAATATAGCCTGCAACCTTCACAAAGAAAATCACAGCAACGTTTGATTGGGGTGAGCAACAATGATATCTGTTCCAAGTTGTTCTAAAAAGTCACCGACTAGATTTGGGCGACATAGATACCACATGGCACTCAATGAAAACCGGCGAGATTTTCTACACAGATGGTATTTCCAGGACAGAGTTGTGGCGCAGCGGCCCCTATGTCTTCGGTCTTTCTTGATTTCTCTTGAGTTATTCCTTCCGCTGAAGTCGTCTACTATAGAATATGCATGCTACATGGCGGCAAACTCCTCTGGGAGACTGGCTTGTGAGTATCATTTCTTCTCCTTTGCCATCATCGCTTGAACTGTTCTATCTTGCTGATCCGCCGTTCCATTTTTTCCTAGTTGCTGATGCTGGTGACTACATGCATTTGCAACTTTGTCTCTGACCTGAACTCTTTCTTAGATCATACCGTCTTTGTTTGATCCAATGAGACCCCACAACGTGCAGGGAAATTTATCTTTTAAATCTTTTTTTAAAACTCATTACAGAGGGATTTGACTACCGTGAAACTGTTATTGATGGACTTCCTAACCAGTTACGGCGGCAGCGACAGGTCAATATGGCAAATCGTGACCGACCGTCGTAAATATCTGTCTTCGCTACTACTACTCATTTTCGACTTGGAAATATTTATCTAATCTGTATTCTGCCGCCTTGAGGGCTTGGGATGGCGTCATCCACTGGCAGGTCGTTTGGTTTTAGGACACGCGATCGGAATGTCGGCCAATTGTACTATGATGGAAGAACATGCCAAACACCCTGATTCCGAGTCCACAACGAAGTTGAAGGTCTAGTGACCAAATTTGGGAGACACGTGGTTTGTGCTAAAATTACATAGCCTGAGCCTCAGCCTGCAACATGCATCTATCTTGTGGCCTAGGTGAGGGCTGTGAGAAAGAGAGGTTTCGTATACTTAGTCTACACTAAGGTGAGCTCCTTCCAGAACTACCCCCTACCACGTTCAAGCGCCGATTTTCGAAGCTTTCGATGGTTAATAAAGTACTATCTTCCAGTCTACCCCCCAGACGCGCAGGTAAGTACCGAATCCAGTAGCAATCCACTAAATTCTCAACTTTCGCGCTTGAAGGTGGCTCACGGGCATGCAGAATATCCATTTACAATAGCACAGTTCAATTTAAGGGGAAGAATGCCAAGATTGACATCGCCGGGTTTCATGAGTCTTATGGAATAGTCATGAAGGGCGGCAGCAAGGTCGATATGGAATTTGGAAGTACAACGAAGATCTTCATCAACGGATATGATGTTACCTAGGAAAAAATGTGAGTTGAAAGACCAACTTCATGAACAATCTAACCTGGTATCTGTCTCATAGATATAGAATCATCTGCATTCCCCTTATTTCGCGTCACAGCCTGCATGTAATAGTGTAACAACTGGATATGAATCTCACTGAGCACCTCGGAACCGTAAGAAGTTCCAGTTCAAGCCAACAATGGAAAATAGAAACGGGTCGGATCTGCTCTCGATCAGGTTTTTTATTTTCTTTACAAGTGATAACAGACAAGAAGGCCCCCCTCTCTCGGCGACGAAGGAAACGGAACGACCGATTTTGTGAGCGCCTCCTCCGACGGCAGCGAGCACTGAGGTGAAGCGGGCTCGTCTGTGTTGGAGCAGCGAGTACGAGGGGTAGTGGTTGAGTGAGAAGGTAATGAATTCGGGGACTCTCAGTCCCCCTTATATACTACAAACATATGTAACTAGAATGTACTACAAACTACTATAACTATCTACAGTGTCCTATATGAGACTAGTACGTGCGCGTATGCACAGGATCGGCATACCGGAGTTGCCGGTCCGCCTCGACTATTCAACACTCCCCCTCAACTCCGAATCTATGCCGATGCGAGACGTGAATCTCTCGTGAGCTGGGCGTGGTAGCGCCTTAGTAAATACATCGGCCAGATTGTCTTCTGATGCGCAGTGTTCTATTATGATTGAGTTGTCGCCGAGACGTTCGCGTACGAAATGATGTTGAATATCAATATGCTTTGACTTTGAATGTGACCCTTGATTCTTTGAAAAGTCAATTGCAGATTGGTTGTCGATATTCAGTAGTGTAGGTTTATTTTGTAATAAACCAATTTCTGTTAATAAAGTGCGAAGCCATATCGCTTCCCGAGTTGCTAAACTTGCGGCCATATATTCTGCTTCCATTGTGGATACAGCAACAGTGCGCTGTTTGCGTGATGCCCATGATATGGGCGCATTCCCGAATAGGAAAATGTATCCTGAAATAGACTTGCGATCAAGATCATTATTTCCCCAATCAGCGTCGGAATACCCTTCTAAACCTGGAATAGAGTTTCCGCCGCCATACGTTATCCCGTAGTTGCGTGTTCCATTTAAGTATCTAAACACGCGCTTGATTGCACTCCAGTGTGCAGGGCTCGGATTGCTTGTGAATTGGCTTAAATGTTGAATAGCGTATGCAATGTCAGGCCGCGTGCCAATTGCTGCATACATTAATGATCCTATAGCCGCTGCGTATTCTGGGATACCGTGATGTTCTCCTTCGGGAGTTTTAGTTAGTTTGACATTCGGATCGAGTGGCATTTTGACAGGCGTGGATTTGGACATTCCAAATCTGTCCAAGATTTTTCCCACATACTGATTTTGTGTTAAATGTATTGTGCCCTTCTTGAGATCCCTTTGAACTTCAAATCCCACTATTTGTTTGAGTTCTCCAAGATCCGAGATATCAAACTTTTGGCCAAATTCTCTTTTGAATTCTGCCATGGCTTCGTCATCTGAAGCTAAAATTAACATGTCTACGGTTGGCGACCAGGAGCAGGTCTGTATTTTTAGTTCAGAAGCATGATGTGAGGGGTGTTAGGGGGTTTTGGCACCGCTTCGCTAATGCGTGACGACTGCCTGCAATATATTTTTCTGTGTACCATCTAGTAGTACTACTGTGACGTAGCCCTTCAGTATCTACAACATACCGATTTATTTTCACAAAGGGCGAAAGGGTTTGTTTGTCCTCTGTTTTCTTGTGTTTTTATCAAGGAACTCAGACGATAAAATTTTCTCACAGAATCAGCGCGCAAACGACAATGATGAATTGGAATCACACCAACTCCAATCTAGGCTGTCCCTTGTCTCGAAGAGAAAGCGGCTCGAATCTTCCAGCGTCTCTACCACGTACAACAGTGCAGCGCTGAGTGGTTTAACCAAAAGTTCAGCAGCTCCCCGATATGAAGTACTCAAAAGTGCTTACAGGCCACCAGTGCGGCCAGTGGCCGCAAAGTTTAACTGGTCGCGAGACGTTGAGATGGTAATTTGCAACTTTACCAGAACGACTGCCCGATATATTCAGGAAGGGCCAGACAGTGGTCAAGTCGTGATGGAAGCCTCGAGAAAGCGAGAAGTAATCGAGGTTGCCGAAACGTCTCTATCTGAGGAAGGTGGGGCTGGGTTCATCGGAAATGGCTCAACAAAACGGGGTATATATGTAAGTTCCTGATCTTACGTTCACGTCAAGAATTTGCTGGTTGATCATAACATTTGTTCAGGCCAGGTTCGAGGGACAGGAGTATGTTATAACAGTACCAATCGACCTTCAGATGTCCCACTGCGATGTCCAGGACATTCTTGAAGCCGAGTTTAAACTTCTGTGTCTTGGTGATTCCTTCAAAATTGCGTTCGATGCTCATGCATCGAACAAGGGTGTGGTGACAATTCCCAGTACATAATTTCCACAGCATCCGACGATTTATAATACTTACTGGCTTTGCAGAGTTTTATTTCAATTTCAAAGGTGCGATTCTAGGTCGGATTATCCCATCACCAACTTCGAACAGCCGCCCACTTCCCTATCTCAACTTTTTGGCCACGCCTCTTCTTCCATGTGGACCCGTTGATGCACCTGTGAAAAAGTTTACTGGAAATGGAAGCATTGGGGATGCGGATGACCATATCACTCGTGCAATTCACGCCTTTGCTCACTTTTCCGTTCTATATTCTCAGGAAAACCTTCTGTTCTGCGACCTTCAAGGTAAGATACCTTCGTGTTTCTGTTCAAATGGGGTTATTACTGACCATATTTCCAGGGGCTCTCGATATCAAAGGCCACATGTGCCTCATCGATCCCCAAGCTCACACGTAAATCATATATCATCCTCGTTTATTCCACGTTCTCACGTTTTCATAGTTCGTCAGCTGCTACTGGTCCGAGGCATTACTGGGACAGAGGACCGGTTGAGATCGCAAACTTTCTAAAGCAACATCAGCCTGCATGCGGAAACAACTGGATTTGCAACGCACTAAACCTCGACAACTTAGTTTTTGAGCCCAATGATGACATCGCCCAGTCTGAGTCCCCACCAAAGAAACGGCTGGCTGCTAAACGAGGAAGCCTTTCGTTTATCACCAACCCTGACACTTAATTTTGAACGCTTAGAATTTCTTGTAATTTACGGCCTGAGTTCCATGTATCTTAGATGATTGAATGCATGACTTACCCGAAGCCTGGACTCCCTTGGAGTGCCATCATCAGCCTATCGGATTCTCTTGGCCGTTGGTTCACAAGCATCGTATGCCTCGGAATCAAGTGCCCTCATTTCAATCGGCATGCACCAACCCTTCTGCCGCATCGAAGTGTGGTCCTGCTATTGTTCAATGTAGCTATGATGCAAAAGCGCAATTTCACTGACCATAAGCTAACCTTCTGCCGTGCAGAAGTATGGCTTGCTATTGTTGAATGCAGCTGCCGTGCAAAATCAAACTTTACATGCAACTTACTCCCACATTGCGACAAGTAAGGTTCCACAGAATGCATCGATTTTTCTTGTAAGAGCCGAGATGGAAGGGTGTCGCAAGTTTGGCAGAGAAAAGATGTAAGCAAAGAACTGAATAAAAACCTCAGATCCCACAAAGCATACCATCAACCCTTCAATGGCTCACCCAAGTCGAGTTCGCTGCCCACCCGGCGCACAATATGGTGAGGACCACATTTTTGCGCAGCCACAACAACGGGAAATGATTCAAAATAGATGAAATCATCGTCGAAATTGACGATGCGACAGGATGCATCCATCTCATCGGTTATACACTCCTGCCGCGCAGCCCAAGGTTGGTGAGCCACATTCAACAGAAGTTTTGTTTGATAAGCAGCCTACCCAGTCAAATTATCCACTTGATGAACGGGGGTGGCAGGCATCCATTGCGCTTCACATCGGACAATGGGGAGGGCAGGGGAGACCAGTTGAATGGTGGTGGTGCTTCCGCTAACAATCACGGCTGCATCAGCCAAAAGAATTAGATACTGCACTGTTGACATTGCTTCCACACCAAGCTTTGAATTCATTACGATATCTCAAGTATGTATTGTACTTCAAAATTCTATCACGCTACGGAAGAGGTCAGACATTACGATGTGCGACTTTCTGCATTGTCTCTATTGCGTGTGGCCATTGATTATTTTCGGTGTTCGGAATTCCGTAGAATAGATGGTGGTTTGAAATATTAGACAGTAGCGGGGTTGCATGGACATTGCGTTCACGCGAGTGTTTATTACCGTCAGCTGCTTCAAGGGTATGACTACAAACCGTGCCCTGGTATATAATAATTCCATGTGGTGTAACGGTCTAACGGGCTGCCTTCTGTGTGTAACGTGAGGTGCGCCTGATTCCTGTAGCCGCGTGTTCGATTCCGGGTCAGTGATGAACTTCCTATTATTGTCCCTGTCAGGTATGTCAAAATACATTTTTTCACCTTATAAATGGTGACCACTTTCCCTTGCCTTTGAGGCATACAATAACATTGCCAGGTTATTTTGGAGTAAAATGGGCCAGACACTATTACTTCAGTGTAATCCTGGCAAGCTCGATTTATTTTCAGAGTTTACCACGACCACAAGTTCCTAGGGTAATAATGTATATCTGTGTCACATCACGCAAGGCCTCACAAAGTAGGACCCCAGCATGCTAAATTTAGTTCGAAGAGAAGAAAAGATAGACCTGCTCCTGATCGCCAACCGTACATGTCATCAACGTGAACTCCGATGATGATGAGGTTGTTCCTGATGTGCCTAATATAGACACATTGATCTGAGAATAGCCGCGTGAAGCCGAGTTGAATGAAAGTCCTGTTTAATTTTTCATTCCACACGCGTCCGGATTGTCGTAGTCCATAGAGTGTTCTCTGTAATAATAGTACTGAGTCCGTGCCATCCTCGTATCCGGGGATTTGCTTCATGTATATTTGTTCTTTGAGTTCACCATTTAGGTAAGCTCCCACGACGTCAACAACGTGGGCGACTAATCCATATGATGCGGCGATAGCTAATAATAGCCGCAAGGTATCGAGGCGCATCACTGGCGCGAAAGTCTCAAAGAAATCGATTCCGGGGATTTGTGAAAATCCCTTTGCAACTAATCTTGCTTTGTGCCGTACAATTTTGCCTTCCGCGTCGCGCTTGAGGCGGAAAACCCATTTGCAATTGATGGCCACTCTATCTTTAGGGATTTTCACCTTGATGTATGTCCCTAGATTCTCTAATTGATGGATTTCCGCGTCCATTGCCTTTTTCCATTCAGGCCAATCTTGACGGGATCTGGCTTCTTCAACATCTCTTGGATCGTCATTTGCATTCAGCGCTTTTTGTGCAAACATTGCATAATCACAAGTTTCCATGTTTTGCACAAAATGAGATTCTTCCTCTGTAAGGACTGGTACTTGGTGTTGCCATTCCTTAGGGCCTCTTGCCGCAGGATTATTTAGAAATCTGTAATGGAAAGGTGATTTCTCGGCAACACGTGTAGACTTTTCCCGTGTTGGGAGTGGAATTTTTGATGGCTTCGGTGTTTCCTCGGTTGTACTATTTTTAGTACTGATCTTCTCATCAGGAAGTTTATCGTCTGTTGGAGGATTGATTTGCTCATCATTCTCCCCCTCAATCTCCATAGGACGATTAATCGGAATTTCTACGTCATCATAGTCACGTATTTCCGTGTCTTCCTTTGAGAAGATAACATTGCGTGAAGTTAGAATTTGGTTGCCGTTCCAATAACGGTAACCTTTAGTACTGTCGTCAATGCCAACAAAAATGAATGGGCGTGATCTGGGGTCAAGTTTTTTATTTTTCTTGTCTTGTTGTAAAACCCAACATTTGCGGCCGAATTCTTGTAGATTTGCAATATTAGGTCTCTTGTTCCAGAATACTTCGTCAGGAGTTTTATCGTCCCTTAAGGCACGTGTGGGGGAACGATTTCGGAGATATGTAGCATATTTGACAGCTTCTGGCCAAAGATAGTAAGCCAGATGTGGATCTTGTGAATGTAACATGGCGCGCGCCTCCGACACTACAGTTCGGTTTCCGCGCTCTGCAATTCCATTCTGTGAAGATGAGTAAGCTGCTGTGACCTCGAGAAATATCCCATTATCCAATAGATATTCTCTGAATTCTTCTCCAATAAATTCTCCTCCCCCATCAACTCTAAGTTTCTTGAGTTTTCGGCCTGTTTGTGTTTCTACAAATGCCTTATACTGTTTAAACTTAGATAGCGCCTCTGATTTCTTCTTAAGGAAATAGCGCATTGATCGTCGTGATTTCCCATCAGTAAACGTGGCAAAATACTTTTCTCCCCCTATTCCGGTTGTTTGAGCAGGTCCCCAGAGGTCGGACACTGTTAAATCACCAATCTCCGCTATCTCTGCTTTGGATTCTTGCGGATATGGTGTAAGGTGTTGCTTTGCGAGTATACACGCCGGGCATTGTTCTGTTGCTGGAACACTTTCATCAATTTCCATGCCGGTAACCATCCCTTTTGACTTCAATTGTTTAATTGAAGCCATATTCAAATGTCCCATAATTCTATGCCATTCATCCCATGTGTGTGCGCTTGTTTTTATTGAATAAGCGTGGTCTTGTTTGGTTGGGACTTTCACATCCATCAGGTACAGATTTGAGATCTTGGTACCTTTTGCCATGATCGTCTGATTTGGTGCCTTGAATCTCACATCCTTGTCCGTAAATAGAACTTGTATCTTGGCGCCCGTAACGCGCCCGAGTGAAATGAGATTATGCGGTGCTTTTGGGACATATAGCACATCCTTTAGGGTAATCGTGCAAGCTTTTCCATCAACATTAGAGATTAGCTTCACAGTCCCTATTCCCGTGACTGGCTGATTGCCAAGTCCTTTAACAAAATGATTTGATATTGGAGCATATTCACTAAAATAGCTCCTCTGCGTCGATATGTGAGAAGTGCATGCTGAGTCCGCTAACCATGCGTCACTAGGCACTGAAATGAATGCCATGTCGGGTGAGCTATCAATTCCTGCAAAAGCGAAATCATCAATGACTTCATTTGCACGTGCTCCCCCAAATTTGGACTTCTTGTAATGCTTCTCGTTTGATTGATCGTTTGGTTTTGATCGGCAATCTGCCTGTATATGGCCACGTTTGCCGCATCCAAAACATGTTATCTTTGAACTGTATTTTTTCTTGCCCCATTTGGCAGCTAGGGCGGTATCTTCGGTGCCCTGAATCTTGAGCCGTCTGTCGTGCTCAAGAATTCTGGCTATGAGTTGCGGCGCATTTGTAAGCGCAGATGAATCGATAGATGAAATGTAATTATTCCAGTTATCGGGTAACGATGTAAGTAGAATAATAGAGAATTCTGAGTCCTCTATTTTCTGTCCGAGATTTTGCAATTCTTCCTGATAGACTCTCAGGGTCCTGAAGTGGTCTTCAATGCTAGTGCCATCCTCGCACTTAGCCCGAAATAGCTTTCGGCGGGCAAGGACTATTCCTAACGGCCCTTGAGCTTCCAATAGACCCTTTAGCGTATCCCAAGCTTCTTTCGATGTTTTTGCGCTAGATACATAAACCAATAGTTTATCAGCTACCCGCAATCTTATCGTCGATAAAGCTGTCCGGTCCTTCTTATCCCATGCTGGTTTCTGGTTGACGTCTGATGGCGCCGTTCCGGGATCCACATAGTCCCATAGACCCTGATCTGTCAAGATGTCCATCATCTTGATTTTCCATACCGCGTAATTGTCCGCGCCTTTAAGCGGTTCAATCCGGTAAACATTCGATGATCCATTATTGGTCTCCATTTGCTGCTATGTAATTGATAGGGTAACGTGTGATAGGGTATCGTGTATGATAAAGTCTGTGATGTGGTGATATAGCGGTATGATAAGGTTTTGTATAGTGTGTGTAGTATGTTTAGGGCTCGGGGCCCATAACCTGTTGGAGCAGCGAGTACGAGGGGTAGTGGTTGAGTGAGAAGGTAATGAATTCGGGGACTCTCAGTCCCCCTTATATACTACAAACATATGTAACTAGAATGTACTACAAACTACTATAACTATCTACAGTGTCCTATATGAGACTAGTACGTGCGCGTATGCACAGGATCGGCATACCGGAGTTGCCGGTCCGCCTCGACTATTCAACAGTCTGGAACTGAATCCCTGCGGCATCCCGCGATCAACGCCGCAGCGCCTTCCCTCCGAGTCTTGGGGACATCAAGGGATGACTCAAAAAGATGAGAGGTGCGAATTGTACTGACGTAAAAAGGGTCACATATATGAGGAAACTGCTGTCCGCTATCTTGACGTGAGGCAATACAAGATTTCTCGCTTTTATTTTGTCAAAAAAGTAGCTTGGCGTGCTCTGCACAAGCGTGGCTGGCTGCGGCAGTCGCTCTCAACCCGCTCCAGGTCGTCGTTGTGTTCTCTCCCACTGTGTCCCACAATGCTGCTCTTCGTAGGTACCCATTTTCCACCTCATGTTATTCTCAATGCTCATAACTTCCCCTTCCCATCAAGCTGCACATCGGTATCTTCTGGTAATTTTATTTGTTGTGGTGGTGTTGTCGGTACATTCGTAATCTAAGCATTCCAACATGAATTTCTTTTGAGGAACTAGTACAAAACTATCTATGTTTTTTAGAAATAATTCTAATCTGCGCCCCAGATAGCCCTTCAGTGTTTTGCAGCTGTTTTTGAGAACGAAGTCTACGCAGTGTCTACGCGCTCGATTGCGTTGCTTTCAACTGCCACAGGCCCACAACTACCTTGTTTGTCTTTTTAGACCTCGGCATCGAGGTAGTTGGCAAGAGAAAATGAGATGGCACAGGTAAGAAACAAGTTAGACACAAACTTTATGTATACGAGAGCGGCAAGAGACAAGTAGTAAATGCAGAACGTTGAGAGATTATCGGGCCCTGGTATCATAGTTGTGGGAATATAAAAGGAAAAAGAGTAAAATTCCCAAAAAGGAAAGAGGGAAAAGGAAAAAAGGAGGGATTTGTTAGTACTGCATCACTTCCCTATGATAAAAAAATCCAGAAAATCCCCCAAAAATAGGTTGTATACTAAATTGCATTAGGGCTGTGCACTATATTCGTAAGTGACAAGTATTTTCCTGCTTACAGAGTTTCGGGATGCCAAAAAATTTTGCAGCTGCATATAAAATAATATTTTCCAATTATCAATCAGTAATCAACTGCCAGAAAAAAACCTAGCATGTTTTCAATGCACAAAAGGCAATCAAAGTCCAAATTGAGCCCGAAACATCCCATCAATGAAGATTTTCAAAAAAATATTTAATGTCTTCTACTCTTTTGGGCACCAGTTGATACTCATTTGTTTTGGTTATCCAAAATTTACAGGCTTTCTGAGGGGGTATATTAGGGCTTCAAAGCTAACAGTTCAGACTGTCTTCTAGTCAACCTGGTGGGAGTGATAACCAGAAGAAAAAAATTCTAGACTCATTTTGGGAAAAACAAGCCAATTTGTATATTAAAATCTCCTTCAAGCTGCTACATATTCTCTACATTCATGCAGAATTTTGAAGAAGATTGAAAAAGCTCTAGATACAGTGAATCTTTGTCAAAATGTGCAGATTTAGCGAAAAACTACCCCACTGAATGATACAGCTGTTCTTCGTGTATCATGCAATAGAAACACATTCAAATCTTCTGAAACTTGGAGGATGCATAAAGTTTGAACTGTTACAGTTTCATGTGCAATTTTTATAATATGAAATTGTTTTATTGAATTTAAATTCAGTCTATAAGAATTTGCTGAATTATTCAATAGTGAATGATTGCACTTTCGAGGTATTTTCTGAAATATTTGGCTGCTTTGGGGTGTTACAATACAGTGGTAAAATTCATGAGACTACTAGAGGTTGTAACAAGTGGAGAACTAAAAAATGGTGAAATTGCAAAATATGAGACAAGGCAGACAGGTGTGAGAACTATTTACCGGATTCGATAGCAGCTGCTGTCAATTTCTGTTTACAGAATTTTTTGATAGCAGCTGCCGCTTTCGGATTTTTTGATAGCAGCTGCTATCAATTTCCAAATAGGGAATTTTGATAGCAGCTGCTATGGGCCACAGGTATGAGAACTCCGCCGATTATCGCACCTCGCACTTGCCTCACACATAAAAATAGCAAGCAGCGGTTTCCTGGTATAGGTGACCCTGACCAGGACCTGGAACGTAGCCCTCCCACCCCCCTGGATGTCTCGGAGTTTTCGGCTGTAAGCCCCTTGGTAAAAACGCGAGGGTATCCTGGTCGAAAAGATACTTGTCAGATGACGCAGGATTGATGAGGGCGAGAATATATATTGTTCAGCCTTTTGGAGGCCATTCAGAACCAGGGTCTACCCGGGAGATTGAGTCTGCCTCGATTACAGGCGTCACCTCAAGGATAGGCATTGACATCACTACAGGCGGCGTTTGGACTGTGGGGTAAAGTTCGGATGTGAAATGACGCGCAGGCCTATTGGAAAGACCTTGAATTTCGGATCGACATTGCCTGATAAGAAAGATGTTGTTGTTGAATTTTTTTCGACGCCCCAATAAGTAACACCTATAGATAGGAACGACACTACGCAGAAAGTAGGCGATGACTGTGTCTCAGCCTAGGCAGATATCTTACATCATGGATATGCCTCGTGTTCAATCCGAAGCTCCTGGGTGAGAAGCCTGATAATCGTGATGATTTGGCCAAAGGATGTAATAGAGCGAATTTGAAAGAGAACCTGGTAGCAATAATAGCCCTTTCCCGATCATAAGGTGCCAAACACACTGATTCCGCAACAAAGGCAAAGAAAGACCTTGCCACTGAAGCAAGGATAAAAGCTAGAAACTAGGGCCTAGAGCACATGGAGTGGATGACCATTCGAGAGCAACACAGTCAGGGGTGGTTGGACGATGCTTGTAAGCCTTGAGGTGACCAGGTGGCAGGAGGTGACCAATTGCAAGAGGTGACTGAGCAGAGATGAAGGGAGAATTATTTATTAGCTAACTACACTGCATACAGACCTTCCGGAAATTCATGTCCACGTGTTTTTTTTTGTGAAAGAAATAAAATAAATCGAATAAATGTAAAAATTGCTACGCTGTCGTGTTCTCGCTCTGCAATGGATTTCTGGTGATGGTTTACCATTATATTAGTGCAGATATGAAGGGAGAGAGACCTCCAGTTCATAGAATTAGGGTGGGACACCAACGAACTTGCTGCCACCCTCGGTGTCCCGGCAAAAAGAACTGAGCCATACCAGCAGTTTCTGCCAATAATATCGGCCCTTCTGTACCACACTTATTGTTCGGTGCCAGCAATGTTCCACCGGGAGAGAAAGCGAGTGGATTCCAGAGTCAACAGGAGGCTTTAAATCTTTCGCGAACCAATCTCGGCACCGGCCAACATTCGGATTCTCACAATTTGGGCAGCAAATCCCACAACCGCAAATCCAGCAGTTCCAGCAACAGCAGCAACCTCAGCCTTCCCTCTTCGGACAATCTCATTCCACGCCAGGTACCTCGTTCGGTGCAGCTCCATCCCAGCAACAACCTCAATCTTCCCTCTTGGGACAACCTCATCAACCTCAGCCTCCCCTCTTCTATGCAACCCACTGGCACGGCATAGTCAATCCGAAATCGGTCATGGACATCGCACACTCATACAAAAATATGGACGCATACTGTTTGGCGAGTACCCTGTTCTCCATGCCTTGTTTGAGAGGGGTGCCCATCTGCACCCTGTCTGCCCTCACTTGGAATCACAGATGACCCAGACGACTGGACCTATCATATGGCTCACATCCTGGCTCCCAACATCCTCTGAATGTGACCGCCAGCCTCTCCCTTCTGCTCCAGGAGGCGCAGGAATTTGAGACGTTCATTTATGGGTTCATTGTTGTCAGAGTTGTCGGACATGGTGACAGATGGTAAAGGGACGTTGGGACACCCGGAAATACAGATCGGTAGGCTAGTCGCGTACGCTGTACGGTCGGTATAGACGATGCCAGTAATTTTCACATTTATTTGATTTATTTTATTTCTTTCACAAAAAAAAACACATGGACATGAATTTCCGGAAGGTCTGTAAGCAACTCAGGTAACTGGAAGTTATGGTGTGCATAACGGGCACTTTCTGTGATGAAAAAACGTGACCCGCCACACAACACGTTGAAACACCTGTATCGTGCGCACTCATCCGCATCACATTACCGCCAATGCTACCCGCCTCCAACGCCCTTGACAAGCTCAAGGTGCACCCTGTATTTTGAAACCCTACCGTAGATGGTGTTGTGATATTCACATGCCAAGTTGCCAGCCACCTTAAACGCGACATCCTCCAACCACAACCGATCCCTCGAAATAACTCATCAATTCTGCCCTCCGCCCATCACAATCTTGGAGCTTCTCTGGGAATGTCTACCAATGACATTGATGATTGTTGGGATCTATTGCAAGATTATGTGTGGGAGATACCTGGTATTGCTGCTTACATCAAGGGACTTTCATTTGTTCAAACAATCAGATGGCCATGTGGATTGAGTTGAGTAGATACATTCATTTGTAAATGGAATCACTTTTCTTATAAAATGTAGCTGCAATATCCATATACCCGCCTCAAGGGGGTGCCGGCATTGAAAAAAAAGACCCAGGGTCGATTTTTTTTTAAGTCGACTTGAGATGGACTAACTAACTAACGTAATCAGGAACATGTCTATATATAGTAATATGACATCATTTGTGAGTGCTTCCCCTGTGTCTTGCACAAGTCATGCAGGCAAAATTCCGGGGTGCTTGCACATGTTCCACACATTTTAGATGGAACTAGGCAAATAACGTGAGTTGGAAAATCACTCAGTTCTCATAATACAATGTACTAACCCAGTGTGTCTTGCACACCTTGTTTGCATATGAGGATTTGATGAGGATACACAGCTACCACAGATTGCGAAGCCCTCCGCATCAAGGGCAGGTGGCTCCATCTCAATGGTGTAATACATAGAATGTGTGAAACCAATGTTAGACATACTGTAGATTTTAGGATATTGTTGGTGAACGGTAATTCAAGTAATGTCAAAAAAATGCCCAAATATGGCAGGAATTAATGAATATCTTATATCACGGTGCTTGATGGCCTCTATTGGAGCTGTATTCCTCCCAGTACATTCTGTAGTTACCATATTATGCTGCAAGGTACTCAACTTGATGATTGAAGGCCTTCTGCCCAAGGCATCCTTTTTTTTTTTTCACAGCCTGCGGCTGGACTAACTAACCGGGTCCCGGTACGGGATTCCCGGGCCGGCACCCCCTTGACCCGCCTGATGAACTCGTGAACTAAGCGCTAAAGTAATCACGTGATGACGGCGGAAACTGCCGCCGTAAACGATCGCCGTAATTACGGCGCCGGAATTTCCAATGTACGAATGCCCTCCGAAATATCACACGACCAAATTTGTGACACACGTGGTTCCGAGTTCGTGCTAAAATTACATAGACCGCAACATGAGTCTACCTTGTGGCCTTAGGTGAGGGCTGTGAGAAAGAGAGGTTTCATATAAGTCTACACTGAGGTGAGCTCCTTCGCACAACTACCCCTACCACGATCAAGCCCCCCCCATTCCCTAAGTTTTCGATGGGTAATGAAGTATCCACTCCATCGTCCAATCCCCAGATGCTTTCAAATGCTCAAAATGTCAACATTGCAGACGAAAGTACTTTGAATGCAGTGGGAGGCAGTGTTTACAACGTATCCATCGATACTGTTCACAATTTAGAGCCAGCCCCCGACGGTGAGTTCTCAATCGCTCTACACGATTAACAAGATTCCGATAAAAGCTTCGAATCGGCTTTTGGCAGGTAAGTACCGACTTCAAGTTTATGTTACCCTCCTATTGAAATAGTTGTCATGCAGGCGGTAATATGCGAAAGAAAGGTACGCCTCCGATGCCCCGGTAATTATCGCACCAAAGAAGTTCTCAACTTTCGCTCTTGAAGGTAGCGCACTGGCATATGGAATATTCGTCGACGACAAGAGCACAGTTCAATTTGAGGGGAAGAATGTGATTGACATCGCTGGGTTTGACGAGTCCTATGGGATAGCCGTGAAAGGTGCCAGCAAGGTCGATATGGGAGCTGGAAGTACTACGAAGATCCGCATCGACGGAAATCTTGTTACCTAGGAGATATGTGAGTCCAAACAGTAACTTCAAAAACATTCTAACTTGGTATTCGTCTCATAGATATATAGAATCATCTGCATTCCCCTTACTTCGCGTCACGGCATGTAATAGTGTAACAACTGGATATGAACCTCACTGAGCAGCTCGGAACCTTAAGAAGTTCAAGTTCAATCCAACAACTTAAATTAGAAATCGTAAAAAAAGAAACGGGTCAAAGGTATTTTCCGGGTTTCTATTTTCCTCACAAAGCGGAAACCAATTAGAAGGTTTTTTTCCGGCGGAGTGGTTGCGGGTACGTCTGACTCTTCAATAATGCACATATGCAGTGGCTGATGTGGTGAGTTTATACAGGTGCCGATAGATGTTGCTCTCGCAACTTGGACAAGGACCCGCTTAGCACTCAGTCCGGATCCCCGAGAAGGTAAACGTTGAACGAGCAAAACGAGAGCCTTATGCGAAGTAGGGAAGCCTGCCGATATGCGCCTTACTCCTCTTGAATTTTGGAAGTAAGCCACTGTACAATACTTAATGTCTTTCTTTGCTGAATCTTCATCTGAAGCATAGGCGGTTGAAGGGGATGGGAGGCAAGTCCGCGAATTATCGATCGACAACTCAGCCTCTTTGACACTCTGGACCCCTCAGATCAAAAAGGACTTCCATCCGATCACACATGTAGAAGTTTGTGCTAAAATTAGCTCGCAACATGACCATGTCCACCTTGTGGCCTAGGTGAGGGCCGGGAGGTTTTGTTTAAATCTACATTGAGGTGAGTACCTTCGCACAACTACCCCCTACCACGTTGGAACCCCCCGATTCCCGGCGAAGCTTTCGATGGGCGATGAAGTTTCCTCCAGGTCTACTCTCTCGCAGATCCCTTCAACAAATTCCCGAAACGTCAGCATTGCAGGCGAAAGTACTTTGAGTGCGGTGGGAAGCAGTATTTACAACACATCCATTGATACTGCCCACAATTTGGAGCCAGCCCTTGACGGTGAGTTCTTGATCGCTCTACAAATTAACGAGATTCCATTCAAAGCTTCGAATAAGTTGGGAATTTTCCGCGAACTATTAGTCGTCCCTCTGATGCCCGGCTGCGCTTTGCTGATACCAAGAAGAATAAATTTTGGGTTACAATCAAGAATTTTCTGCCTCGCTGCTCTATTCTTATAGCTGCCGTTGTCATGATTTCCATAGGAGTGGCACGTAAGTGCTGACTTCAAATTCACGGTAACCTCCTATTGAAATAATTGTCATACAGGAGGTGATACCCCTTTGATTATCGCATCAAAGCAATTCATTAAACTCTCAATTTTCGCGCTTAAAGGTGGAAGCGCATATGGAATATACGTCGAAGGCGAAAGCACAGTTCAGCTCCAGGGGACGAATGAGTTTGACATCACTGGGTTTGACGAGTCTTATGGGATAGCCGTAAAATGCGGCAGCAAGGTCGACATGGCAGCTGGAAGTACTACAAAGATCCGCATCGACGGAGATCCCGTTAGCTAGGAAGACATGTGAGTCCAAACAAAAACTTCAAAAATATTCTGACCTAGTATCCGTCATAGAGAGGATCATCTGCATTCCCCTTACTCCGTGTAACAGGCATCTTGGATATGAATCTCAGTGAGCAGAATTACAAAAAACGGGTCAGAGGCATTTCGGAAACCAAAGCTTAAATACAATCCATGATTGAAACCGAGATAATTATACATGTGATGTGGAGAGAAATTCCCAAAAGTCCAGACTGCGTGTATATGAAGAATTCACACATCCTAAGCAAACCGCCTTGACGGATTGCGCCTCACGAGCCGTACATTACGAAGATGCCGATGAACGATTGGAGTTGCCTTGAACAGGCTTCCGTTTCTTTTTCAGACGACTTGGGGTCCGCGGACGAGGAGGAGGCGCCGTTTCAGGAGCTCGAGGAATGGGTGGGATATTGATAACAGACGTGGAGGCCCCCGCCTTCGGCGACGAAGGGAACGGAACAACCGATTTTACGGGCGCCTCTTCCAACGGCAGCCAGCTCTGAGGTGAAGCAGGCTCGTCTGGAATCGGATCCCTGCGGCATTGCGCGATCAACGCCGCAGCCCCTTCCCTCTTCGACGCGTGAAGGGATGACTCGGGAAGATGGGATGTGCGAATTGTACTGGGATGGAAGAACGTGAGGGTATCCTGGTCGAAAAGATACTCCATCAAATTTGGGCGCTCGTCGGATGACGAGGGGTCGATGCTTAAGGCGAGGATGTATATTCTCCAGCCTTTTGGAGGCCATTCGTGACCGTAATCTACCTGAGAGACTGATTCTGCCTCGACTACGGGCGTCCCCGCAGGTATAGGCGTTGCCATCGCTACAGGCTGATTTTGGAATGTGGGGTAAATTTCAGATGTGGGGCCCGGATGGCTCGGGGCTGATGCTTGGCTGTAGACTGAAGCTTGACTGATGACAGACGCTTTGTGGCCGATAGTTACAGGAGGAGTAGGCATCTCCGGGATGGGACTTGGGATTCTGATGTCTTTCGTTCGTCCGGACAATGTACGGGAACGTGCCGACATCGGTGGAGGTGTGGGTGAACTGGTTTCTTTTGTTGTCGGCCTACCTCTTGGGAGAGACTTCGGAAGGGTTGTTTGAGAGCGCTTAAGAGGAGGGGGACGAGGAGCCTGAGGGGCGTTTGTCATGCTGCGCCTTGCAGGTGGGTTGTATGGAGCCGGATCAGTGGTAGAGATCTTCCGTCTGTAGCGCGCTTGGACATCATCAGAGAGACTCGAGACGATATCAAAGAGGGGTTGTACCATTGTTTTCACGACCACTGTAGTATCGTCTTACGGGCAGTAAGAGACCATACTCCGCTCCAGGGGCACTTTCATAAACCCTGCCGTCTCGGTCGCTGTAGTAATACTGAGCAGTATCCGCGTCGTAGCCAATCCGGACCATGCCCTCTGGCAATCTAGTGTCCTGATAATCGCTTTCAAGACAATAATCGTTCCGAAGATTGAGCTCACTCACCCCGTATGGATCAGCGAAGCGTCCCATCGCAACTCTGGACGTTGGTGGGGGGAGATGGGGAGGCAACGGCAGTGAGGGAAACGTTTGGCATCCCCACCTGCTGGAATCCTCACGATCTCCGTTACGGTGACTCTTTTCGATGACATAGACGCCATGAGGCCGATCGAACCTGACCGCTCTATCAGCCTACATCCCAGATTGGTTCTGAGCGGGAACACAATTTAGGAGATAAGGTTGAAGCAAGGCAGTACTGTTGATTCCATCACCCTCACAGTTTCAAGCTGTTCTGAAGAGCTATCAATCCATCGTGTTCGAACGTGGAGTACTTTGGCCACAAATACTAGGCTTGCAAAGCTCCCTTCAAAAAAAATAATGAACCTCAAAAAAATAAAATAAGTATAGGTCCAAACTCTCCAATTGATGCATGAGTTATTACCGTTATGAAAAAGCATCCTAGGTAGAACTGTAGGGAAAGTTTTGGGAAGAGGATGAAGACGGGTTCAAGAGTCACATGATGACGGAAAACGTCACGTCCATTTTCTGTCACTCAATTCTGCTCAATTTAAGCAACATTCTAGTCTCCGTTTGGTCGCTGTTCTCTGATACCAGGGTTTTCTCGACGCCAGAACTAGGTTAGTTGGCGTCAACTATCATGGAATCGCACTCACAATGACTGCGTATAGGCCTCAATGTCACTGCTGACGGCTGCAGTCTTGCGTCCTGGACCGTCGACTCTGAAGCACATTTCGTCGCGGGTAGGGCCGCATACGACGACGAGGAGTATTGGAGGGAAGCCAAAGACTGGAAAAGCGGCTAATGAGGCAGCGGGTACGTTCTCGCATCTTTGGTGTTGAGCTCATGCTCACACTTAGGGTAGGAAAAACCCAGGTACAGAAAGGAAAGGTAGTGGAGAGAGATTCTACGGGCCAAATTGTCCGCCAGAAGATGGCCAAGGGTGCTGGAGTGCGTGTCCGTGTCTGTCGAAGACGCGCAGCGTAGCTTATTTGTTTCGTCAGGCTTTCCGACCTATGTCGGCCTCTCAACTTGCGACGCGAGTAGCAAAAGCTACCAGTACAACTTCATCAGAACCGACATTGAACAAGCTTTTTGAACCTCCGACCTTGAATCCTCTCAATCTGCCTCTGTTCGAACCCGTGAGTACCCAAGTTTTTTTGTTGTCGTTCATCCTAACCTAGACATAGAAACCGAAAGCCATCAAAGAGATGGTTGGATCTGCGGCAGCGTTTGATCTTCCAGAGAACGACCCCTTGCGCATCTTTGGTTTACCCAAAAAAATGCTGTTGGAGGTAACGTCTTAGAGCGTCCAAGTGGCTCTTTGCTGAAAGCGCCCTGCAGTTTCGAATACTTTCCAAACCGTGCTCTGTTGTGCGCCAGGTGACCTCTGATGCAATTGACATGCTGGATGATGCAAAGACCAAGTCGAGTCTGGAAAGTCGGGTGGTTCTCAGTACGTCCCCTTCACCCCACCACAAGGTTCCTTCCATCAACATTCACTCTCTAGCTGGAAGACCGGGCAACGGGAAAAGTTTTTTACTTCTTCAAGCGGTTGAATACTGCATCGACAGCGGATGGATCGTCATCTACATTCCCCGTGGTAGGTCTTCATTGCCACACCGCACTACCTCCGCTCAACACTTCTCAAACCAACAGCAAAGAACCTTGTAAACTCAACGACGGCTTATGCATACGATCTCCGCACACAAACATACCTCCAGCCCGCATTCGCCTACCAAACCCTGCAAAGAATGCACACCGTCAACGCCCATCTCCTCGGTCAACTACAAATGCAAAACGACTTGGTGCTCGAGAAGCAAACCGTGCCAACTGGAACTACAATCTCCGACCTCATCCAGGTTGCAATCAAGGAAAAGTCAAAAGTGCACTCGCCCGTCATTCTGGACACGGTGATGAAGGAGCTTGAAACGCAGACCTTGTCCGTGTTTACTTTTAAAAGTAGAACAATTTGACTAACCTTTGAGCAACGACAGAACCCCAGTTCTCTTCGCGGTGGACGACTTCCAAGCTCTATATTGCAAGACCGAGTACCGTGATCCGCACTTCGCCCCCATCAAGTCTTTTCATCTCTCCATGCCCCGCCTGATAATGGATTTCGCCTCGGGGAAACGATCATTCGTACGCCTCCCCTCCTTTTTGTCGGTCCTCAACATTCACACATAACGTATCTATGTTTTTAGGCGAAGGGTGCCCTACTGGGTGCGATCACCGCCTCCGAAACTAAGTATGCTCTTCCGATCGAGCTCCGGGATACGCTGGGGCTGGGATACCACCATGCTATGAGCCCGTATCACAAGCGCTCTGAGGAACTCCTTGCATACGCCGAGGGCTTGACGGCATTCCCGGTGCCAGACAAGCTGACAGTGGCGGAGGCTGCGTCTCTTTTTGAGATTTGGAAAGATGATATGGCGGTAAACTCGAGTGAGTGTTTGTTGGTTCTCTTTGGGTGACAGCGGCTGACGGATGTGATTCTGACATTAGACACCTATGATGAGCTCTTCCTCTCAAAATACGTGGAGAGTGATGGGAATGCTCGCGATTTCGTGTGGAAGGGGCTCCTATCAAATATGTCGGCGTAATCTATCTATAATTTCAATACATGCTCGAGCTAGAAATTGCGTTATCAGTGACAGGCTGAAGATAAAAACCCATCCATTACAGTCAAAAAAAAAACTAGGAACATCCAAATTGTAAGTAAGTATTGAACATGGAAGAAAGTGGTAAAAAGCATTTAAGTGTAAAGACATTCATCACCTCGCCCCTTCTCATTTGAAAAACCATCATCTCAACTCGGCCCCAACCTGACCACTAGGAAAATAAGACCCACTTGGCCCAGGAGCACCGCCGTAGGCCATGGCGCTATTCGTAGGAGACGATCCAAGGCGTGGCTCAGCCGTCTTTTTCGGGAGGACCCAAGCAGGGGTAGACGAAGCTTGAACAGGGCTAGAATACCCGCCACTCGCCCGTCTAGCTCCATCACCAAGGGAGGTTCTAGGAGATGTACCGCCGGCCCCAGCCTGAGGCGAGCTCTGTCGTTCAGGTTGAGGATGTCCATGATCGTGGAGCCGTTGACCCGCATAGCCAGCGTCGTTCGCTGGTTGTTGTTGTTGGTACGACGCATGTAGGTTTTCGTTCGAGGCGACCTGGGCGCCATCTGCCTGCTGCTGAGACTGCTGCGCAGCGAACCCAGTCGCTCGTTGAGGACTACTAGGCACCGGTGCAGGTTCCGTCACTCCGGGGACAGAGATAAAGTAGACTGAACCAGCTAGATCCGTGCCTCCCATGGCGTAATACTGCGCCCATGCTTGAACGTTGGGATCAGAATACGTGGTGTTGGGATCGAAGACGTATGGAGGTCCCTGATCCGCAGGAGCGGCAGCAGCTGCAGTTTGCTGCTGTTGAATGGGTCCATCGTGTAACTGGTACCCTTGTTGGGGTTGCTGGGTGGGTTGAGCCTGCTGCTGTTGGATAGGTTGCGCCTGTTGCACGGGTTGCGCTTGCTGCTGAATCGGCTGAACCTGTTCGATGGGTTGGGCCTGTTGAACGGGTTGGGCCTGTTGAATGGGCTGAGTCTGCTGCTGAAGGAGCTGAGCTTGTTGAACTGGCTGCACCTGCTGCTGAATAGGCTGAGCCTGCTGAATCGGCTGCTCCTGCTCCTGGATTGGCTGCTGCTGGAGCGGCTGCTGCTGGACGGGCTGCTGCTGGAGTGGCTGCTGCTGGACGGGTTGTTGCTGGACGGGCTGCTGCTGGATTGGCTGCTGCTGGATTGGCTGCTGCTGGACGGGTTGAACCTGTTGTTGAACGGGTTGGGCCTGGATTGGCTGCTGCTGGGCGGGTTGAACCTGTTGTTGAACGGGTTGGGGCTGAATAGATTGAGCTCGCTGAATCGCCTGAATCGGTTGTTGCTGAACTGGTTGAATCGGCTGCTGCTGGATCGGCTGCTGCTGTGGTTGAATTGGCTGCTGCTGCTGTTGGATCGGCTGCTGCTGTGGTTGAATTGGCTGCTGCTGTTGGATCGGCTGCTGTTGGATCGGCTGCTGCTGAATTGGCTGCTGCTGTGCTTGAATCAGCTGCTGCTGCTGAATCGGCTGAAGCTGTGGTTGCTGAGCCGGTTGACCCTGAAGAACCTGTTGTGGTTGCTGCTGTTGAGGTTGTCCTTGACCTTGTGGAACCTGCTGTTGGGGGTACGGAGTTGGCCCTTGTTGACCATATGGCAACCCAGGCTGCTGCCCAGCATATCCACCCTGCGGCACTACCCCGTACACATACGCGGCGGGAGGAGGGGATCCACCACCGAAGTCTGGCTGTTGTTGTGGGAGGGGTTGTTGATGGGCTTGTTGTGCCTGTTGCTGCTGTTGCTGTTGTTGCTGCTGCTGCTGTTGGGGATACGCGCCTGCAGGAGCGGGATAGGCATTATAGCCTGGTTGCTCGTACAGGTTGGGGTTCCAACCGTATGCTTGGGGCCCTGCACCCCGTCCTGCAGCCGGACCCGAGCGCGAGTCAGGGCGAATACCACCCTGAGGTTGAGCGTATTGAGCAGGGCGGTAGGTTGGTTGGTCGTAGACTACATGGGCACATTAGGAATGTTCAAGAGAGCGACGAAAGAGGCGGACGTACCTCCAGTATGTCTCGCCAGGCTCTCTTCCATCATACGGTCAAAGATGGAGCGGGCACGTACGAAAGTTTCGTTCATTGACACCAAATCCGCTGTGTATCACCTTGTTATGTAGAGAGCATGATAAGGAAAATCGAAACGTACCTCTCTTTTGGCTATACTTGTCGATCAATTTGACGATCTTGGGGCGCAGAGCCATGCTTGAGCGGTACAGCTCCTGTACACAAAGATTACACAAACTCAACTAGAGACGAAAGGTCAGACTAACCTGGATCTCTTCGTTGTCTGCAAGGTTATCCTTCACGGGATCTAGGGCCCGCAACATGTTCAACAATTTCTCGACATTAACCGCTTGAGAAAAGACGGCTGCTTCCTGCTCAGCTTCCTTCGCCAGCTCTACAGCAGTGGGCTCCGGCATTGCTTCCTATTGCGGCAGAAAATTCAGCTCTTGATTCCGCAACTTGTAGAATGTCAGCAGCTGATACTCACCACATAATTCACGGGGAAAATGCCCGTCCTGCCTTTCAACTGGCCCCTCCACCAATCCTTGTACCCACGATCAACAACCTTGATAATATCCCCCTTCTCAAACGCGAGCTCGCCTGGTTCGGTAGGCTCGAATGCGTGCAAAGCACGGACGCGAGTGACGATGTTCCCACTGGTTGGCATTGTAGCAGCAGTAGGGCTTGTAACAACAGTCGGACTTGTCGCAGCGGACGCAGTAGAGGCTACAGAAATAGTACTTGAAGAAGCCGCGGATCGCTGCTGCGGAGATGGCTGTGATGACTGCTGTTGAACTTGACTCTGATGGTGATGATGTGTCTGGTGCGGCTGGTGATGGTGCTGCTGCTGCTTTTGTTGAGGAACAGCCTCAGGTGTTGGGGTACGTGCAGGGACGTAACCTGCGTTGTACTTGGGCTGAGTAAAGGCGGCTGCACTTGCAGCTGGGGCTGCCGCAGGTGTCGATTTAGAGGTGGATGCGGAGGAAGTCGCGGCAGGGGCGTTATTGTTTCGATTGACGCTCGAGCTTGAGCCAGAGCCGCCGGCGCCACTAGAGGAAGCAGCACTGTAGTTCGACCATTGGTTGCGTCCGCCCTTGTCCTGCATGGACATCTCGAGTACGCGTTGGAGCTCTTCCTCTTCTTTGCGTCGGATTTCATCATCTACAGCCGGTGGAGGTGGTTCTGAAGGTTGTTCGAATTTGTAGTCTGTGCCAACATCAGAAAAAGCCAGAAGGAAAAGAAAAAAATGACGAACTTTTGGCTTTGAGGTTGTTGTAGCATTCCTCCATGATTCCCAGTGTCGTGTCACTTTCAAATTCATCCGTCCACATCGCGATGAGACCCAGAGCTCGTTTCCGAACTTTTTCATGTGTTGTCTGCTCGATAGTCAAGGGACGAAAGCTGACGATACGTAATCACGCACTCGATCTGTGATAATCTTCTCCAAGCCCTGAGTGAAGGCCCTGGAGGCAATTTCTCGATGAAGCTCAATTCCAAGGTTCTTGGTGAGAGACTCTGCTAAAGACAGAGCGTAAAGTTGGACATTGGGGTTACGGTGAGCGAGGCGCTTCAATAAAGCGGCGATGACATTGCGCGCCCTTGGTTAAAAATTAGTTGATTGAGGAGTGGATTTAGGAGGCGCTTACCCTTCCCCGCCTTCATCCTGAACCTTGTCGCATAAATTCAGTATTATCTCCCAGTTCTCGCTGGTCAAATTCTCATCCGTCGCCTTGACTGGGTAGGTTGATGGTCAGCGGAATTTCTGGCCGCAATCACCAACAACGACTACTCACTGACGATGTCATCGTAAGGGTTCGTCGTTCCACCGCCAAACATACTCGATGTCGTCTATCCTTTTAATAAAAGACGCTTTGTCGCTGCTTCTGGTGGTGGTTAGCCGTTGAGGGGGATGACGGCAAAGGGCTGTGGCTGTGGCTGGGTCACGTTCCAACTCCTGACTCATTGCTGTGAACTGATAGATATTCTTCTCATACATCTCCCCCCACGCCGATGGCTAAAGGTGCGTCTTGTCGTTGCCAGCGATGTCTTTGACGATGTTACTCAAACGATCCTACTAGTTCCAAGAAATTTTCGCCTCCTTGAAGAACTTGAGAAAGGCGAGAAAGGCATCGGCGATGGGTCATGCTCATACGGTCTTGAGGATGGCGACGATATCATGATGAGCAACTGGAACGGGACTATCATTGGCCCTGGACATGTACGCACCGCATTACTCCTTCAGATCGCTCGTTGGATTGATTTAATGCGATCTCATTAGACCGTACACGAGAACCGCATCTACAACCTCAAGATTACCTGCGGAAACTCTTATCCCGATGTGCATCCCGACGTGCAATTTCTGTCTCGGGTCAATCTTCCTTTCGTAAATCAGGTCAACGGCAAAGTCGACCCGTCTAAATTGCCTGTGCTGTTGAACTGGAACCGTAACCTGAGCATTGAAAACGTCCTTGTAGAGATTCGGAAGTACGTCTTTCACCACTCACTGATAGCCAATCTTACAATGTTCTTTGTTAGGGAAATGGCTTCGTTCAACAACAGAAAGCTTCCGCAGCCACCCGAAGGCTCGACTTTCTAAATCAGAATCATTGCCGGAGACCCATTGTATCTCTGTGATAAGCGATCCCGTATAGGAATATCGAAACTCTAACGTCGACACTGTTTTTTATAGTAATTGCAATAACACTTGTACCCTCGCCTACAAATAAACAACCTTTGGAATACATGACAATGAGCAGCAGAGAAAAAAGATTCTTTCGCAAGTCTGCCGTACATGTTTTCTGAAATCATGAACCTACAACCAGTCTATGCCTTTTCCTCCGTCTTCACGCGACCGACCACGACGGCCGGAACATCCTTGTGGGTGTACACTCGCAGCCCGATGTACACCGTATTCTCATCCGCTTGTGGAACAGTGAACTTGGGTTTTTCAGGTGTCTCAGTTGTTGTTGACGCTGCAGAACTATCCGCTTCATCTGCATCTGCATCTGCATCTTCATCTGCAGTTGCAGTTGCCATGCGCGCCTTCGTATCATGTAGTGATTCTGTGGCGAGGATGGGGCCTACGACATCAGTCTCTGCGGGAGTCGCGACTTGACCAGGCGTGGCGGGTTGTGTCGCCGATGTCGCCTTGGACCCTTGCTTGACCACGGTCTTCGTTTCCGTCGTGACCGTTGTGGTCGTTACGGTCACGGTACCATCTTCCCCGACCTGTTCGACCGTGGAAGACTCCACTGATTTCTTCTTCTCGTACTCCTTAAGATCACGTTCAATCAGGGATTTAACATCAGTAGGCAAGTATTTGGCCTGCGTCCTACGTTCAAAATGAAATCAGTATTGCTCATCACAGTTGGACGACGCAAACCAAACTCACTCTTTGTCGAAATCTGGCAAACTCAAATCAGAAGCGGGTTAGAGAGAAAGAAGGTGACCACTCACTGGAGGCAACAGATTGGCTCTTAGCCCGTTCCGTCATGGTCCTCGAAAGCTTCCGGAGTGCCTGCTCTTCAATAGTTGTCTTGTCCTGTTTAGAGTGAAAACTGAGGGAAATTGTCAATCAACAAAATTGGTGAATTCTCACGGCATTGCGATCAAGTGTGCGATCTAAACGAACCTTTGAATAGGTTAGTAAGGAACAATGCCCCAAGTAATACTTGGGAAACATACATAAACGATGTAATTCCCCGCTTCCAACTCAATCTCCAAATTGGCGCTGCGGAGGTAAAAGTCCGAGTGGAGGGACTCCGCCAAAGGCTCCTTCTCTCCCTCTTTCACGAGAGCAAAGTCCATCGTCCAAGTTGAACGACCGGCGATATCTCTGAAATATCGGGTATCGAGTTGAGAAAGGACGATGATGGCACTTGTGTTGCCCGTAATCGAAAACGTAACTGCAAAAGTTCAAGTATTAGAACCATATTAGTCAAATTGGATGGGGGAAACAAGGGCGCACATGACACATCGCCATAGGACCATGCAGCTGGCAGGGGCTGGACGGGAACACGCAGCCATTGCGAGGACATCACCCAGGTCGAATCAAATAGCACAGTTCTGTCAATCTGAGCAAAGCATTGCAACCAATCCTTATCTGATTTTCCGTTAGTTTATCCATCAAGGATGCAGATAACGGCGCAGCTCACATTCCATGACGAACTGGCCATCATCACCGAATACATGCCCAAGAAGAGGCATCGCTGCCAACCACTCCCTAGTCCACTCTTTCGACCCATCGGACCATCTGCCGGTCCATTCGGACTTGCCCCATGGATTGCGGATGACAAGGAAGCGTTTGCCCTTTACCTCGACGGCTCTCAAAACAGAGTATGCGTGGCTGCCCACAAGGCCTTGCACTTGAGCGCCCGTAACTCCGCTTCGGGTGCTGTCGAGATCGTTGAAGGAGCAACCGAACAATCGGTCTTTAGTGGCTCGGAGAAGTTCTTCGTCCCAGAACCGATCGGGGTCTAATATGTCCTGTTGGGATGTTAGCTGGGATTGCAATCGGACGAAGGGAGGGGGAGGACCTTGCTTTGTAGGAGCGTTGAAACACCCCTTGTAAATCAAACATCAGAGAAGGACAGATTGGAAAAGGCAATGGAACTCACCCCGTGAGATCCTCGATAGCGTCACATTCCTGCCCACCAATCAGATGAGAATAATTGCCATGTAATTTGGCGTAGGCCTTTTCGATAAGAGGGACCCACGTCTCCCCTGACGTGCCCGATTTGGCGAAATACAATGACTTGCCACCCTTGCGTGCAGACTCGTTATAGATGTCTTTGTCGAAATGGTACAGTTCCTGTTCGCTGACTTTGAGCTCCTCGTATTTGGGAACGCGTGTGAACAACATGCTGTAAAAGCGAGGTTTACATAGAACGTTGCAAGTAACAAAAGAACATGTTTACTCGTCGATCACGACGGTGACCCATGCATTGTCTCGGAAAAACGTGAACCCATACACACCGACTTGCTCGTCTCGCTGGGTGTTCACATCAGTGGTGGGTCCATGGGCGTCGATGGAGGAGGATAACGTACAGCAACACACAACTTCTCCACTAGGCCAGGCGCTGTGGAAACTGTTGCCAACGCAGAGAGGAACCAACAATCGCCGAGAGCTCCCTGGATAATATCGTTCGAGCCAGCACCGTCCACAAAGAAATGAGGATCGTCGAATATCTGTGTGACCCGATGGACGTCCGCCGGCTGGTGGTTTTCTCCTGACTGAGTGAAGAGTCCGAAAAGGCATCGATCTTTGTCGTTCTCGAGGTCAAACTCGATGTCTCTATGAAAAGCGCGATTTCAGTAATGATATCGATGGGTGGGGGAAACGTGGGAGACGCACCGGAACTTCCTGTTCTTTGCCCTACAGTCTTTTGCAATGCGGGCTACTTTTGCTTTGCATTCGTCGAGCGCTTTCTCAAGTTCTTTGGTGACCAATAGGCCCGGCTGCTGTTGGGTGAAAGAGACCCCATTAAGCGCTGTCGTTGCGAACGTTGTAGTAGTCTCGGTTGTGGCCATCTGAGGTGAAATGGTAAAACTGAAGTGCGTTCGGTGTACACAGAACGCCCACCTTTATATGTTGTTCGGAAAGAAGAGTCCGTGAACACAGGGTTTGTGGCGACGATCACTTTCTGACTCGAGCGCTTAAGCGCCGTTGGTCGTGCAGTTGTCTTCTATATGTGTGAAGAAACGTAAGGCCTCCGGGCGCTGGGAGCTCGCGCGGCGAAATTTCAAATGGGCACCTTCAGAGATTTGGGGTGGGCGCAACAAGCTCGCGAAGGAGCTTGCGAGCCATTAAGCTGGTGAACGACAATGAATGACTCCTTTGACAATACAGCTGATTGCGAAACGTTAGAGCAGCTCGCTTCCCGTTCCAGCACAACCATCTGTTTGTTTGTTGATGGCCGGACATCAGCACCTTCCAAAAGCAGCACCTGCTTTTCTTCAGCTTTTCCCAGTCACCCTCACCTCCCCCTCTCCTCAAATAATAATGGCGCAGAATGGTCACCGAAGACAAATTGCATAACCTGTCAATAAAATGCTTGCTACCACGTCGCGTCAAATGGTCTGAAAAGCCCCATCGATCCGATTTATTTGGCTTTGGTGTCCGCCGCAAACAAACACACGGTTGAGCTGGAACGGTAACCGAGCTGCTCTAACGTTTCGCAATCAGCTGTAAAGCAGCCAAGCTGATACTGCGATAGTCCCCGGTGATCACATTTTGATCGCGTTGGTGATTGGGCGTTTATTATTGTAATGCAGTCACGTATTCCCAATATATTCCTTCACTTCGCAATGTACACTTGGAGTTCAAACCTGCTCAAACTTGAACACCTAGGTGGGCGGTTAGCCTGCTTCGACTCGAAAAGAGCCACTTCAAACCATTGTAAGTTGATTCGTCCTTGGGTTCAAATCAACCGTCAACAGCGGAGTCATCACGCGCAGGTTTTTCCAATTGAGAACGTGGTCGGTCTTCGGCATATAAGTTTGCGCCCATAACTTCGTATCGCCGTTTCGGATCCGCCATGAGCCTTCATAGAAACATCCAAGTACGCAATTTTTTACGTGACGGCTCACCGTTGGCTCACTGATGATGGAAAAAAGGAAGAGAAAGGGTGCTGACGAGCGAGTGGGTATTTTAGAAGCAATCTTCAAGGTTTCTCCTGGGCAACGTCCAAGGCTAAGTACGTTGAATCTTGAATGGTAACCAGTGGTGACCAAGAATGTTGAGAATCTCATCACGTGACGTTGCTTGTCAAGGGCGCCATGACCAAATAGTAAGAATGCGTTTTGTTGCCAGTTCGCTTTTATCTCTTTTACTTTCGTACCACCACCATCGACTCAGATGTCGCTCATATCGCCAATTATTCTCCTTGAAGTCATGCATAAACCTTCAGCATTGCTATCCTTAACCCCAGCGACCAAGTACTGGAAACATGTGCTGAGATCGTTCAATGGGTGAGTAAAGTTCTTCCATATATGATACACAGCGTCGGGAGCTTTTGAAAGCTCATATATTCAAACTTTATTGAAGAGACAGCCAAAATCTCTGTATTTCTTCTTCGTGAGTTGCTGTATTCGCGTCGAAAGGCGCATATATTAACCTTCGCTTTCTTTCCAATGGTTGTTTATTGGCACTGTGGTTCCTATATCAACGACCTCGACGCGTTGAGGGGTCTTTCTACCATTTTATTAAGGTGTGGGCATTTTCTACTTTGATGCGCCAGGAGTCAATGTCTAATACTCCATTTTTGCCCAACGTTGTGATAAGCCAGACACAGCGTCGGGAGCTTTTGAAAGCTCATAGGTTTAAAGAGATAGCCACAAGTTTCGTGTTTTTCCCTCGTGAGTTGCTGAATGCACATGTTCGCGTCAAAAGGCGCATATACTAATCTTCGCTTTCTTTTGAATGGCTATATCTATTGGCTCTGTATCAACGACACTCGATGGCTTGAAGGGCGTTTTGAACATATTTGAAAGGTGTCGGCATTTTCTACTTAAGCGATGCGCCAGGACTCAATGTTCGCGCGCATATAAACAACTTTTTATCAACGTTGTGACAAGCACTAATTGCAGGCAGAGATGCGCCAGAGGTATCGCGTGCCGAGCGCATGAACGGTGCGAACCTCCTTATTTTTTGTTTTACGCATTCACTCATTGTCGGACACCACATTTCAACATTTACGCACAGAGTCGTCGACTTCTTACCAATCAGGACCTCAAAGGGCTAATGAAATGAAACCCTGTTCCTGAAGACGCAATTTGTCCCATGGGTTAATCATTTATGAACCTTGCATGAATGCGGGGAAGAGGGCGATCAGCAGGATCGCCGCCGTTTGAGATAATCATGCGCACAGTGAAAATAGTGATGTCGGTGCGTATTAGTTGCGTATTGGGATTACCCTGGATGTTTCTCGGACGCTGTAAGCTCTTAGAGAGTTCCATCCGGGTTGGTTTGTCCAAGAGTATTAAAGGTGAGTAAATATCCCAGTGGCTCCCCAAAAGTTGTGAAGGTAGAATGCTAATTTATATTTATACAGCCAGAAGCGACTGGAGGAACGTTACTCCAACGACAATCAGACGCTCGGAAGTGGTGAGATAGATCAACCAAATTTAATCACCCTATCTTTTTCCATTTCGTCCTGGTAACGGTATGAGTTCGGGGATATGCGAACTTCGTCTCCATAATTTTGCCTTCAAAGAATGTTGGAGTCCATGTCTAGATTGAAACAAGATTGAAAACAAGGTTGTATCTAAAAGGTCAAGTGGGTGGCTTCGTTTCACCTGATTCTTTTACTAATCGCCTCTCTATGGCAGTTTCGAAGTGGTCACTGGTCAGGTGTCAGTCAAGATTCAGGTGATACCTTCCGTTGCGGGAAATGCTCAGCATTTCGAGATAAGATCGACAGATTCTTCCAGCTGCGTATACGTTTCATGACAGCCTCCATGTCCTTTCTCTCAGCCAATTCGGCATCTAATTGGGTGTGCCGATGATCGGGGACGTGTTTGTCTTTGTTTCGTTTGAATGACAGATTCACATGCAACTTTTGCGATGCAAGCATGTGCTTGTTGTATTGTTTGCTAAAGGGTTATCGAACTGGATTTGATTCCAATCCTCTTTCATTCTATCCTTTACGATGGACCGACGCCTTTCCGTCAGCGACCTCGACGATCAAGATGAAAGCGTCCGCATCGCTGTGCGAGCCCTAGGCGACATGCGGAGGAATTCTCGCTCCGAAGGTGATATCTATTTTCATTATCGATGCCCATATACTGACCGAGAGTAATATGCAGCTTCTCGCACCCCCTCTTCACTCTCTGTAGCCTCCTCCTCCTCATCTCCTCCTCCTACTTCCTCCCCGCCACCTCAATCCCCCCCGACACTCAATGCTCAACCTAAAGCCAGCCCCAGTTCCCCAGCGTTCGTCACCCGCATGTCTCACTTCCCGCTCGTTGGTTCCGCGCTACGTGTTTACGAGCAGGGAAAAGCATCATCTCGTGTGGTCAAGGTGGAGTCACATTCAATTTCCTCTAAACATCCGTTTGACATGTGATTTTGTTGGCAGTACGGCGCAGAGATGGTAGAATCCAGCGTCAAAACGATATCCCGGCCAGTCATAGATCGCCTTCCTGTCAATGTGAACCAGCTGGATGAGTTTGCATGCAGGCAATTAGACCGAGTAAGTTTTGAACTTTTTTCTACTTCCGCTTTTTTGGTCGACACGTGAAGCGGAATGCTGAAGACATTTCTTCAAATTTTCAACCGCAAGTTTATGTATCACAACAAACGGGGAACCGAGACCAAAATGGCTCTCGTCTCTTTTCTTAATCCGTCCTTTGACCTACCATCATTTTTCATCACTGATCTCATTGCGATTAGCTGGACAAGTACCGACGGCCTTCTACCGAGGAACCCTCTCCATCGTCACCTACCTCACAAATGCCGGTTCTAGCCGAATCATCAACGTCCGAAGAGGAAAGAGGGCGGCCCAAGCTGAAAACGAAGACGCTCGACGGGTCATTTGTGGATGATAGAGGTTTGAACGAAAGTTCGGAAGCAGATTCGAGTCCGGTCAGACGGAGAGGATGGAAGGAAGGAGGTGAAAGAGGCGTGCCAAGCTGGTTAGAAAGTAAGTCACACTCATCGTTATGCTCTCCATCTCAATTTCGAGACCGATCACCTTAACAGCCACAAGTCCATATACAGCTGAAGCGCCCGCAAGTGGCTCACGTTCCTCAACACCCACACAAAACGGCGATGAAGGGGGCCCGCATCAAGCAACCAGCTCTGAAACACGAACCGAGACGCAAGTCGCACAACGTAGTCGATGGCAAGCCGTTCTGCTTGAAGCCGGAGGGCTTAGCGCTGCACTCAGTGAGGAGAGCATGCGACGGTTGAAGTACTGTTTACAATGGTTGCAGGTGGGTCCAACTACCGTTACTATCAGTTATCCAATTTCCTAACGCCGATTACAGTATGCTACTGCGCACATTGATGCCCAGATATTGATACTGAGGGATTTCACTGCCGCCTTACAACCATTCCCCGACAGGTCTTCGCAACGAAGACCAAACCCCATATCAGAGGAGCATATGCGCAAACTAACTGTCGTCCGTCGAGATATCGTGCATACCATCCGACAAGTTGTAGACGTCGTTAGTCAATACGCTGGCACTGCCCTACCTGAGCCAGCGAGGAATCGAGTACGAGGTTTCATCCTGAAACTTCCGCAGAGGTGGGCGAGTAAGGCAGCAGCTGTTGCCCCAAGCGCTGGTAATGTGGTGGGAGAGCGCGAAACGGTTGCTGCCGCTTCAGGTTCGGGTGCTGTGAGGCGAGGAGCAAACCGGCGGGCTGCCCATCGAGAACGCGGAACAGGAGGGCCGGAGTCTGGACAGAAGTCGGGTCCTCCATCCAGAGCAGCATCCCCACACTCGTCACCCCGTCTGGCGCGAGCACCGTTGAACAGGTATGGGGAAACTCCAGAGACTGGGGGCGGAGCAGACGCTGGAGTTGTGTCGCATGGAGCTGCGTTGGTTGCTGCTCAACGAATACTCACCCTTGCCACTGAGAGTCTGGATATGATGAGAGGTGTGACCGGAGTTGTTAAAGACAGCCTTGATCGTGCTGATGCGTGCGTCTGCTCCTTTCTAATCTCTGAATGTTTCTGACGCTCACTCGCAGATGGGTTGGCCGTCTTCGTACCGTCGGAATCCAACGTGGAGTTCAAGAAGGCGAGGATACAGAAGGCTACGAATTCGAGTTTGGCCACCATCGTCGAAATGACAGCTCTCAGTACGATGATCAAGATCTGCCATCGCCATTCTTCTCTAGCTCATCGACTGCTTGGGGATCGAGTATCCCTTCAACTCCTGGGGGCGGGCCATATAATGCACCTAGCCCTGGTGCGATTCCGATTGGTGCGATGTCGATCGGATCGCGGTATAACACCCCAAAAAGTGTTGTGGTTGGGTTTCCTGACGAGGACAGGGACGATATGACAGTCGAGACCTTAGCTTCGAAACGCACAGACTCTGACGTTTGGAAAGCGGGTGATATCAAGGTGGCTGGCATCGATACTGCCAGTGATGAAGATGGGGAGAAAGGAAGCCAAAAGATGGACGTTGACGTGTAACGCGTTGACGTCGACTTGTGGTTTGTCCTTTTCTTCACTATCTTTTCCCATTCTCTTTCTCTTTTCTTTCCCCCATCCCTATCATCTTCCTTACACATCTGCTCTGCGTCTCATACACCTTCCTTTATTCCTCTATGCATGTTACCTACGCCCATCATCCACTCTTTATTTATAACACTCTAGGACTCACTCAAGCTATCTGTCTCGTTGATCCTCTCTGTTTCCCTATTTCTCCTTCCTCTCCGTCCTACTTTCCCTCTCTATCTTTTTCCTTCCCTCATGTTGTGCATACCCCTCCCTCTTGTACTATATAAAATATTGTATACAGTCACATACTTATCGGGTTCTTGTCCTTATCGGTGGCTGGCTCTACTAATGGAATTTTTCTCTCATATGAACACCCGTTTTTGGTTGTCCCTCGTTTGGGTTTCTGCTTTTGTTGGTTGTTTTGTTTTTGCTTTCCGTCAGTGAGGTTTTGATCGTTCAACAAGTTTGAAAGAGGTAGAAAATGAGAACCATGAGCAGTGTGTGCTGCCAACTTCTGTGGCTAGTATCTATCTTACCACTACCATCAGTCAGGTAAATCATTCCTTGTTAACGCTTGATAAATCATCGAATTCTACACAACATGGTGGTACAGTTACAAAACAATAATCACAGAGCAGTGGATAACGACGCATAATGACCAGGTTATTATCGAAATTTGCGGAACGCATTCACCGCCTACGAGGATACGACGCCTGAGGATACGACGCCTGAGGATACGACGCCTGAGGATAAGACGCCTGAGGATACGACGCCTGAGGATAAGACGCCTGAGGATACGATGCCTGAGGATACGATGGATGAGGATACGATGGATGAGTATTTGACGCATGAGAATACGACGCATGAGAATTAGGCGCATGAGAATTAGACGCATGAGGATTCGACGCATGACCATAAGGAGCTCCGGATGGGGGAGGGGGGTACGAAGAATAGGCATGGACCGAGGGATGATTGGCGTATTGAGGTGCGTGATGGATAGCCTGATGGAAGGGAGCGGAGCGTGGGACCTCGTTGGAGGTTAGAGGTCGAGGAGCTTCGTAGCCCGTAGTATGGTAAGACCTTTGATAGCCAGTATCCTGGGTCGGAGCATACATGATGTATCTCGGATCCCTGGGGTGTGCATCAGGGCTGCCATCGCTTGATGCGATGCTTGGGGTACCGTCTGCAAATTCATATGGTGAGTAATTGCAAATATTCTCCGCATGCGTTATCTTCACTAACCGTTATAAGCGCGCTCATCATGCTCCCCGTAATGTGCGGCGTGTGGCGAAGAAGAGCGACGTCTATGAGGTTCCTGAATGCGCATTACCTTTCTTCAGAGAACGCGGGAGCGAACTTGAACATGAACGGAACATACAGACGTGCTATACCCAGTGTCTGAGGCTCGCTCCCCTACGCGATCTCCGCGGAAGTGCCCCTTGTAGTGCATTTGCCCATGAACCACTCCTATGAAGTGACAGATTTATTGAGTGACTGGTCTTCCGGGTGAGAAGAGAGGGGAAGGTACCGGTACTGGTATTTCTAATATTGTTGACGTCATTCCCTACGTGGGTGTGTGAGGAGTCTACGCATATATCAGCATATATAATTCGAATGTTCAAGTGACGAAGAAGACGGACTACTAGTGTCGTAGGTCCCCCCATGATGCATTTGCCCATTGACCGTTCCTAAAATCACCTTTCAGTCACCCTTGTATATTGAATAGAAATGTGCTAGATACCTTCATTTGTTATGTTATTGACATTGCCCCCTTGGTAGTAGTCGGTGTTGGCTATAAGTCAGTATGCTCGGATTTCCGGACGACATGCCATCAGAGGAAGGCACATACCGCTGCCGCTATGGTGGTTGGTGACATGCGTGCTACTATCATTTGTCGTCATGTTGCCGGATACGTCGTTGAAAGTTCCGCCTGAAATCGTAACACCTCTGTCTTTTGGAAGCTTGGGCATAAAGGGGAGCTGCACACAAGGTACTACCTTCGTTTACAGAAGGGATTGATGGGTTGATAAAGGGGACAAGAAGCGCCAACAGTCGTTAATCATTGCCAAAACGAAAATCAAACGCGCTTAGATTGTTATCGACGGGAGTTAGCGTTGAAGTTGTTGAGCTATGACAGCACCGTAAGCAAACTACTTTCTTTGATCTCAACAACTTTTACCTCCAAGAGCATGAAAGGAGACATGGTGCCAGTTGTCCATGCGACTTGCAAGTTGTGTCTTCTGACTCACGGAGTTATTGTTCTTGGCCTAGCAGTACTCATTGAGTCCTGCGCAAGCGCCATGCTCAGATTGACGATCCCTTGTTATTTCGGCGTCAAAACGATGACACACTCCGCAGATCATTAATTCGAGGTTCAAGAAGGCAGTGCCGGGAAGATTGGCCCGGCGGAACTGCATTAAGTTTTCTGTCTTTTTTTCGATAAATAATCTAGGAAATGAAAGTGACGGAGGTAAAAGAAAATACCGCGTTTCCTACAATTGTGGGTTTAAGCTTTATCAGGCGAAGCAATGAAAAGAATCTTGACACCTACAACTTGCTGGAGACAGGCCAGACTGAACTTCCGACAATTGGGGAAAAGGCTATGCCTGTCAAAGGCCTCAACTTATCGTAGCTTATCGTCCAGTGTAGTATCGCGCGTGACGACCGCAGGGTCTAAAAATGGGTACTAGAAAATTTGCGTGGCAGCTTCAGGTTCAAGTTGCGTACGCAGAGGTCCACGTGCGTTGTGCATGGACACATCACGTGTTATAATTAATAATAACCGTGTTCGCGGAATTTAAATTGCAATGTGTAAACGCTTTTCTTTCAGCTCAACGCAACTTGAACTTTACCACCCCTTTGGTGGTTCATATTTCGACTTACCGCGCGGCAACAAAGGTACCCACACGTCGTACCGAGAAGATAGGAATTGCGGATGTAGCATCTGGCCGCCACCGTCAGTCTGATAAACGGCGCATACTAATGACAGGTCATTACCTTAGTTTGCGAAACGCGTTCATGCCCTATAAGCATACGAGGAAGGAGCACCAGGAGCCTTGATTGTGAGACGGGGGGGATGAAGAATTGGAATAGGCCGTGGGATGATTGGCGTAGGTAGAAGGAGCACTGTAGGAAGGTGCCGCGTAAGGAGTAGACATGGGGTACGGAGCATGGGAGTTCATCTGAGGTTGAGGAGCGTAACGCGGGTAAATAGCGGGGGGTCCGTGGCCCATAGGGTAAGAACTTTGAGAGCTAGCATCCTGGCGTTGACCATACGTGCTGGATTTCGGAGCCTCGCAGTATGGATTAGGGCCGTCATCGGTGGAGGCATATACTGAGTAATTACATGTATTTTCCGTGCGCGGTGTCTTCGCTGAGAATTATCCTCTCTGTATTGTGTGGCATGTGACGAAGAGGAGCGATGTCCATGAGGTTCCTGAATACGCAGTCCTCTTTTTCAGAGAACGTGGAAGAGAAGAACATGAACAGAACATACAGACGTGTTATACCTAGTGTCTTCCCGCTCCCCTACGCGATCTCCGCGGAAGTGCCCTCCGTAGTGCATTTGCCCATTAACCACTCCTATGAAGTCACGGATTTCATTGAGTGACTGTTCTTCCGGGTGAGAAGCGACGGGAAGGTACCTTTATTTTTAATATTGTTGACGTTACCCCCTGCGTACGTGTGTGAGGAGCCTATGTATATATCAGCGTGTATAACTCGAATGTTTCAAGTGACTCAGACGGACCATCGTAGGTGCCCCCGTGATGCATTTGCCCATTGACCGTTCCTACAATATCTTTCAGTCAGCCTTGTGCATACTGAATAGAAATGTAAATACCCTCATTTATGATGTTATTTTCATTGCCCCCTTTGAATTTGTAGTAATTTGTGTTGGCTATAAGTGAGTATGCTCAGATTTCGCGACAGCCGAACATCAGAGGGAGGCACAAACCGCTGCCACGCTGATGATAATCGTATGTTGCCATGTCACCAGCTACGACGTTGAAAGTTTCGCCCGAAATCGTAATGCCTCTAGCTTTTGAAAGGCAGGCTTGTGTGTATGTAGTTTACAGAAGGGATTGACGACGACAAGTGCCGAGCATCATTTCCAACACCGTGAGGAAATCAGGAACATCAGACCAACATCAGACGCGCTCATATTGTTATCGATGACGCCAGCGCTGAAGTTGTTGAATTGTGAGTACATGTGAGTCATGACGGCACCGTAGGCTAAGGCTTGCTGGGGTTCTCCCTCCTCGTTCTCAAGGGGGCGAATGGCATGCTATCACGTGCCTGGTTTAAAATTTGCAAGTCACCTTGAAGTCACCTAGTTTTGCAAATCGGTCATCAACCCCCCAGAAAATACGATCCAGAAAATATTTGAGGGAGTTTATATCTATGTATCAAGTGCGACCGTACTTTTTTTATTGAAGAAATCGGATGGGTAACATGCCACAGGCAGCAGGCTGCAGTACATACCAAAATGCCGCACTTCCTTGGCACTTCCTCACAATGTTGTCTGCATGACATATGCTAATCCCGACGGAGAGCTCTCATTTTTTTAAGGATTAAGCTAGAGATATATGGTAAACATTTTTTAACTTTTTCAGGAGGTGTATAGCTCTTTGACAGCTGATTGCGAAACGTTAGAGCAGCTCGGTTCCCGTTCCAGCTCAACCGTGTGTTTGTTTGTGGCGGACACCAAAGCCAAATAAATCAGATCGATAGGGCTTTTCAGAATATTTGACGCGACGTGGTAGCAAGCATTTTATTGACAGGTTATGCAATGTGTCTTCGGTGACCATTCCGCGCCATTATTATTCGAGGAGAGGGAGAGGTGAGGGTATGTAGATAAGACTGGGAAAAGTTGAAGCAAAGCTTGAGCAAAGCAGGTGCTACTTTTGGAAGGTGCTGATGTCCGGCCATCAGCAAACAAACAGATGGTTGGGCTGGAACGGGAAGCAAGCTGCTCTAACGTTTCGCCATCAGCTGGATAAACAATAGTCTCGTTCCCGACGTTATAGGGCAGGATCAAGCACTGTCCAGGAGGGAGATAAGATCCCATCAGCGGACTTTAAAGTCGGAGGCAAAAAAATGAGAAAATTCACGCGCAAGATCCTGCCCTATAACGTCTGGTGCATTTTGATAGGAAGGGGTAGGCTCGTGTGACAGGCTCGTAACACACCTCATCCTCAAGAAGTCCTGCATCCCAAATCATCTCTACAACTTTCATGTCAGCTCCAAAATTATTTCTGAGATTTATAGCATGCTTTATCATCAATAAAGTATAAAATAACTGAGCTCTACACCTTAGCTTCATTGTGAGCAAATAATCATAGTTGAAGGAGAGTACGAGCCTTCTGAAAGGTTAGTGGTGCAGGAAACAAACTCAGTCTTTCAAAAGTAGCTTGCAAAAATAAAAGCTAATATTCTCTTCAATCCTATGTACAAATCAATGACAAGGGACAGCATTTTGCACTTCACAGGACCCAGTTTTGTGCATTGGATAAGGCAAAAGATGTTATCTGCTTGTGCAACATCCCTACAGTCCAAAGCAGGAAACTTGCACATCCTCAGTTCCATAAGGCCAAAACATATAGTCTACATGGTTTCCAAACCATTAGGCAGGTCCACACCAGTCTCAGAAATTTATTAGTAAAATATGTGGTTGTGTGATCAGTATTTGATTTTGACCAAGTAGCATGCCTCTTCAAGAGAAAAAAAATAAACAACTATTCAGATCCAATCAAGGTAGTGTAATAAAGTCATTTTCAGAAAGAACATTGAAGTTGGTGGTATTATTTCGTCGCCTGAGTAGGGGGAGGAATGGTGTGAACAAAAGTGACCACCGTGACGTTGTCACACGAGCCTACCCCTACTGATCAAATTGCACCAGATGTAGCAGGCTCCAAAATGCAGCCGCTCGTCTCGCTTGATGAGCCTCTAAATACTATTAGCGTATGACAAATGTGATCATTGATGGGAAAGAACAAATAAACAAAGGTAAGGGCTTGAGCTCGCGAGAGAGTGGCTGCCGGAAAAGTCAGTCGGGAAACTCTGAGACCATTGATTAACCCTAATGTTGGGTCTCAAATCTGTAAGGACCACATTTTGGTCATGATATGCTCGAGTGGAGCGCACACTGGCACACAGTGTCGAGAATAGTGTCCAGGTCCTCGATAATCGACGAGTGTGAATGGATGGCCTTCAAAAATGTTTTTCAATAGAATTTCGTAAAGAAATTGGTGGGCTGTGATCTCTGAATCCTCAAAGGCCTTCACTCAAAGGCCTTCATAGATCTTACTTCATTGAGGTATTGTAGATTTTCCATTGGGTACTAGTTGGCAAACTGGAATCCTGGGCCCTTATGTAGAATACAATACTGCTTTGAACCTTATGCAGATCTTGTGTATAGACTTGTACATATATAGTTTTGGACTGACATGTCATTGGTGAAATGTCCACATTGGAGACTGGGCATGATGAGTATATTATTGTGGTTCTGCTGCAGCACAGTTCTGGACCTTTCATCGTAGGTACTCCATACCCATTCACTGTTGGGTTTGAGCCCCAAGTCCAAACAAAGATCTGTCAAGCAGGTCCAGAAAGGCCTTGGAGTTGGGACCCAACGTTAGGGTTAATCAATGATCTCCAAGCTCCCTGACTGACTTTTCTGGCAGCCGCTCTCTCACAAGCTTGAGCCCTTACCTTTGTTTATTTGTTCACTCCCATCAATGATCACATCATAAGATTAGTCATACAGCTAATAGTATTAGAGGCTCATCGAGCGAGACGAGTGGCTGCTTTTAGGAGCCTGCAGATGTAGTAGAGAGGTCCTGTGTTCGTGTTTTGTTCGCTTTTTTGCCTCCGACTTTAAACTCCGCAGACCACTGGACCGGACCTCTCTACACATCTGGAGCTGAGATTAGATAAACAAGGCATCCGCAACTCCTGACGGTCAAGCTTCAAAGCTTCAAGCCTAGTCAAAACCCCAGCGGTTGAAATCGGGTGAGATCCGCTGAAATTGGGAAAAAACGATTTCGACTGATGTTCGGACTATAGCAGATGAGAATCGGTCAGAATATGCTGATATCGTGTAATGGTTATAAATACGTAGTGTACACAGCTGCTGATATCAGCTGAAATCAGTTGAAATCTATTCTGCATTGTGATGGTCATCGGTTGAGATCGGTTGTGGTAGAACGATTTATGGGATATCAAAAGATCATTTTCTATTCGATTTCGTATGAAACAAGCAGATGGTATGCCTATGTATATGACCCCGCACCCTGCTTCCTCCTCTCCTTTTTGGCTGTGAGATTTTCGGCACGCTGATCAGCCCACGTCTGATAATATAGAATCAGTTATCTTCCTCGGCATCATGAGATATAAACTCACCTTCTTCTCCTCAGAAAGGTTGTTGAACACATCGGTTACCTCTTTGCATGAAACTTTCTGAGCCGAGTCCTTGCAGAAGTGGCGGCCAAACAAGTTTCTAGAGGTTGGAATTAGAAACGGACTAGTAAACATCATCTACAGGTACTCACATTTCAGAATTGCTGTTTGGCTGAAATCTAAACCAAGGACCGGCGGCGGTGGCGGCTGGGATAGTGTTGACAACATTTGAAGATAGAGGCTGCGCAGGCGTGGGGTCGCTCGATGAAACACGGCTGGCTGAGGAGAGTCTTTCTGCGCCTGGCTCGCCTAAGGGTCTCATAAGTAAGCGCTAGCGATGGGATGCAAGATCGGAATTGTAACTTACCGGAGGCAGGAACAGGTACTAGAGACTTGGATCTGGTTGTATCGTTAGCATTTCCTGGCAGGTAGATAACGTTAGGACTTACAATGGGTTGAGTAGTTTCAACTAGAGCCAGGGGAGGACGTGAGCAATGATTTACTAATGAATGTGATGCAGAATATATCATACCTTGATTTTGAGAGGCTGAGAGGCGGTGACTCGAGCTAATTCAACAACAGGGAGCGGCGAGGAATCACTGGCGACATTCTGGATGGGAGAAGGGGGCGTTTGAGTTACAATGGGAGAAGGCAGCCCTGGGGGAGTAGCATTGTTCCCAATGTTGTCTGGGACATGGGCGGCCATTGCCAGGGTGGTGGTAACTACTGAAGTGCTGTCAATTGCCACAACGTGTGTGAGAGGGTTCTCGACAGTGGTGACAAGAGCGAGCGGTGATGCAGGTGTCGATTTGGATGTGATGGGGGTGCCGGTGACTGAGGTGGTCGTCGATGGGCCCATTGGCAGTAAGACGGGGGAGACCGGAGTTGTGACTTGGTCCACTTTGGCAAGGGGTGAGGTTGGTCTTGATAGTGAGGTGGGAGCTGCCAGCACGGCGGGGGTCATGGGAGCAATCGTCGAGACTGTCATGGGGTCTACTGAGGCTGTGGTGACGTCGGTTGTTGAGAGGGGGGCAGTCGGAACCACTGCTGGTTGAGTGACTGGCATGGGGTCTACCGAGAGTGTGGTGATGTCGATAGTCGAGAGGAGGGCAGTGGGATGACCCACTGCTGGTTGGGTGAGTGGCATGGGGTCTATTGAGGGTATGGTGACGTCAAACAGCCCATCAGTGTTGGCAACAGGCATTGTTGTGCCTGTCGTGGTGTTTGTTGACAGTGATGCTGGCGTTTTCATCAACTTCTCAGGCTTGGGAGTCGATGTCGGTGTAGGGGGGTCCTTGTGCTTCTTCGTCTTATGTTGAATGCTTTCCCCAACCAAATTCTCACCAATAGGCTCCTCCTTTGCCTCTGTCTTCACCCGCCCTTTCAGTAAACCCCTCCCACGTGCCCAGCCAGGATAAGTGTTGATTGCGAGTCGTTGGGCCTTCCAATCCCCTTCTCCGAACCATAGATACTTGCGAAATGCATACATCTGTTCAAAATAATAGTCAGCGGCTTCTATACTCACCCTTCCCCAGCGATCTGGTGCAATTCCACGAGTGTGAAGAGCCTCCCAGACGAGGCGCACTTGCGTGCAGATTTGTCCTGCCTCGATCTCCGTTACGGAGGAACTGTCCTCCTTCTGGATGTAGTACATTGAGGCACGAGGCGCGTTGGGTTTCTTGCTGGTTTGGTTGGTGCTGACTTGATGAATGCCGGCTTCGTCATTCTTCTTGTTTTTGGGGTGCACCTGCCAGTCCTGGGCAGTCCAAATCGTGACGTTAGGGTAATCTTCATGCTGGTAGACTTTGTGTGTAGCCTTGGAGAGCCGACTGGATGAGGTGGACTGCGAAGAGATCAGTTGGGTATATGCACTCCTGTTGTAACTTGAGTATGGTAAACAGATTGTAATGATAACTTACCGCAAGGCTTGAGCTTCTGCCTCCAGACTTGTGTTTCGCAACAAAAGGTTTTGATATGCCGCATTTCCGGACTGCATGAGGCGATCATGAGTTGCTGCTTGAAGAATTTGGAGCGGGGATGGTGCTTGTGGAGAATCTGACAACTGGGCAACAAGTGAGAACATGAATGACTGTAAAAAGAAAAGACACCTGCAGATTCGACCTGAGAATAGGGGTACAACTCGTCCATTGGGCTACTGAAACTTGTCGCAATGTTGAAACCTCCATGGCGGCTGGGAGTAGGTGTCGAAAAGTTAAGTGTCGAGAAATTGTCAGCCCCGAGAAATGACATGATGGCAGAGCAAAAACAAGAAGGAAAGAGTTGGAGGGAAAAACATATTTGGGACGATGGAGAACGATGTGTCACAACAGAAATGTTTAGGCGCACATTTACGCAGCTCGTGGGAACTCTCATGGATCTTTGGATCTGTGTGTGCCAAATGATTTCCTATCGTCCTTTCTTTGACATCCTCTGTTTTGCACTCATAATCTGAGCAATGAAAGGTAGGTGAATTCTGTTCCTTTTGGAAGTCCTTTTACTTACTACTCCCAACAGTCGAACCACAAAGTGATGAAATGAGCCCCCATCATCGGCGGGGGCTTCTCCAGGACCAAACACGTAGTCTGAACATCCCAGGGAAGAATTCGTTGAAGAAGCCAGTCAACCGAGCCACTACGAAATCAATTTATTGTCACCTCCAGCTAACGGAAACTCAGGAGGTCCAAAATCCACCTCGCAAACGGATGGCACGCCTTAGTGTGCGCGCAGAAGGCTGCATTGAAAACAACCGAGTGCGTCACAGGAATATCTTTCCATCTTAATCTAACTCATACTGGGACTCTTCAGTGACTTTTGTGGCATGGGGATGCTCGACTCCCAGATTGACTCCCAAACATGGTTAGACAATCTTGCGATGAGCCCAGCCCCGGATAGCAAAGAAGAAAACCACGACTGTGCTCATTGTGATGCCCTGTGTGCAGAGCTTCAGCGAGCACATGAAGCACATCTAAAAACCAGCAGGGACTATGATCGGCTTGTGGTTCAGCTGCAGGATTTGAAAGAGGCAGTAGCTTATGCTGGGGCAAGGCTTTCGGAGAGTGCAGGGGTTCCAGTCAAAGCAGTATTTGATAGTGATTCCGAAAAGTAAATCTAACAATTGTTTGCCAAGTTGAATGTATCCTATTCATCTGAATCCACAGCCCCTGCGGCATCGGATAAAAGACCAACATCACTCCCAATGTTCTCCCAAATGAAAAATCGCTTGTCTGTCTCTTCAACGTGGTGATTGTGTGGGATGACAGCAACAACAGAGAGAATACTTTTTGCATTGACAACCTGAAGACCGTCATCTCCAAGCTCTGTGACAGACCATACGGTGTGAAATGATTCTGAAAAGAGGTCTTCATCAGGACGTGAAATGAGGGAGATGAGTGCCAGATGTTGTGTTTCTTCGTTGATTTTTGCATGAAAGTAGAATTCCACCTCTGCGAATTCTATTCTGTTTTCAAGAGACAACTAGAAATTAAAACACCCTTTAATTGATGCTATGGTTGAGAAGTAGGCTGTTTTCTGCTCACCTTCACATAGTGTGCTCTCCGAACATCTTGTGGAGCAGTCTGTTTTTCTTTCCATGCACAGCATGCAATTTCCCCTGTGGGCAATTGTAAACGGGCCCAACGGCGAACTTTGGGACCAATCCAGTTCATGGGGATGTCATTGCCATGTGCTGTCTCCTGGTCCTCAAAGTATTTCTTGATTATTATTCCCGCTGCTCCTGTGATGACATGCCCATACTCCTCTTGAGCCTGCAGAAATTTGTAACCATCTCCTATGTCCTCAGCCACTTGTAAACTTTTTGTTTCACGTTCGAGCTGAGGGTAGATCATCTTGAGAGCATTGGTTTGGCATCATCACAGGCCCCGTTCAGATAAATTCTTGTAGGGGTTGGATGGCTGCCTGATCTCTCCACCTAAGTCACCAATGACTCGCTCCATGGTCCATGTTGAGTACAAGGGACAAGGGCCAACCCGAACCGTCTCACTGGCCATGTGAAGGAGGGCATGCAGACAAGGACGTACAAAGTGAATTCGATCTTCACGTCGCTGAACATATATCTCTTCAAACTCGCGATGAAACATTTTCAGATGGACATGAGCGTCTTGTAGCTCTGATTTGGTGATTGAATGTTGTTGTAGAATGCGCATGGAGTAGACTAGCTTGCAGAAATTTTTCCAATATTTCTTTGGCAAAATTCCATGAAGTAGTGCAGGTGCAAGTCCGTAAAAATAGCCTTGCCATTCCTTGTAGTGTTCGCAGGTCCAGTTAAGTCCAGTTTTTTACCTCAAAACGACGCAACTGGCAACCGCAACCGGTCTAGACCGATCCAAATATTGAGGGACCGCAACCGGACCGCTTTGGACCGGTCTTTTTCGGTCCACAATGCAAAAAAAACCGGTCCAGACCGGTTGCGACCGGTCTTTTGTTGAAAAATTTATTGTGCCAGATATATTAAATGTTACCTCACGTATATAGCATGCGTAGATAGATAATTTAATTCTCCGTACGCTGGCCAAAATTTGAAGCGAATCGGTCAAGATTTGACTGAGATATGGTGAAAACGGAGAGAACATACATTCAAATTGCGTATAAAAATGTTTTTGGCCATATCTCAACCAATTCTTGACCGTTTTTGATGATTCAGGGACCGAAAATTAAGTAAAATGTGCACGAGTAAGGTACAATATGTGATGAGACGAAAGACCAGTTGCAACCGGTCTAAACCGGTCTTTTTCGGTTTTTATATATTTACAAAAACATGGCAACTGGCAACTGGACTGATCACAAATGTGGGCAACTGGCAACTGGAAAAGACCAGACTGTGGTTCAGTCCAGTTCAGTCCTATGTATATTTTCAGTCCTGTAGACTGGACCTGCGAACACTAATTCCTTGGCCTTGTAGCCACTTGAAATCTTCTCAGCGATATTGCGAGGAGGTCGGTCATATGAACCAGGGATAAATGGTTTGCAACTCTCCACTGCAGCTCCGTGAAATTTCCATGCATCTGAATTCAGGACAGCCCAGTCCCAAGATGCAACATTATCTGTTTCACTGCAAGTAAACAATCCATGCCACAAAGGTGGGAGCAAATCACCAAGATTTATGGTTGCCGCATGCATACAATCACCACCAAAACCTGCTGGGACTGCCAGTCTTCGCTTTGGTGGACAGGCCATAAATATACTGAGAGTAGATATGCCAGTATCATTTCGTCGGGTCTTGTAGTCTGTAGGATTTCTGGATGCCAGAAGTTTTTTCAGGTTTGCTTGGTAATCTTCCGGAGAACATCCATTGACGCTTCCTGGATCGATGTCGTCATGATCGCAACCAGCCACGGTATAGTTATCTGGCTTTAAGAGGGCTGGATAATATGTAGATGCACCCTGCTTATGTCGGCCCTTCAAGCCACAGTAAAGTCGGCATAAATACACCCCTTGATGACCAACAAGACCAGTGAAGTGGACACTCCCAGGTCCATCGGCACTCCCCAAGTAGAGATATGGGAAAGACTTGAAAAGGCATTTGTTCCTGCTATGCCAGATTGGCAATCCAGCCTTTTGAAGTCCAACCAAGTGGTGGAAACCAGGACAGAGAAAGGAATCAGTATTTCCTGGGTTGTTTGGGCCTGGAATGACACCTCCTGGGATCACATACTTCTTCTTGTAGCGTAGATCAGGTGAGAGATCATAAATAACCCAGATGTATATCCAGCAGTCAGATGTCTTGTCCTGGTAAAGTTGGACACCATCCATTGAGAACATCAAAACAATATCATTGTCACCAATATCCCCTCTGTTGACAGCAGAAAGGTAAGCCTCGCCATGGTAGATGTCATCGAATACTTTGATGCGACCCCCATTAGCCTGGAGCTCCTCTAAGATCTCCTGAGTACGACGCTTGCGATGCCCCATACGACGTGCACCTTCTGGAGTTCGGTAAAGGGCTTAAAGTTGCGGACCAAGTGGCATTGTATAAAATTGTTGTTGTGATTGCTTGACCCTACTCCCACTTGACTTAAGCTTGATAGGATCATATCGTGACTCCTCGCAGGTGGGACAGACTTCCAACTTTGCAAATGGCCCAGTATAGGCAATGCACGAATTCGGGCACATGTCATGGAGAATGGGGGATATACCCGTCATTGCCGCAATCTTCTTCTTGATGGCATGATGGGATAACAATTTGTCCTCGGATGTACATCCATAATATCGTTGCGTACATCATGGTAAACTTGGTTTGAGGCATTCGTAGTGGACAAGAATAGTTTTAACGAGAGCAATAGGTCGTCACTATCAATCTCGGGGATATCTCGTGCTGGGTTTAGCAGGGACTCCAGCTCCTCCACCCCCAAATCACCATTTTCCAACGTAGCGCCCGCAATGAACCTATTGAAGTCGAGGGCAATCTTAAGTTCTTGAGTACGTGGGACAACGTCGGCGTCGATCTCATAGCCGCTCATCGATTCGTCGAGAGGAGAGTCGTCGCGCTGCGCCATTGGTTCATCTTGTTGTGGCGCGTCACCTGGGAACCGAGACATATGTTAGTTTGACGAGCACCAATGGAATCAGATAGGAGGGGTACATACCAGCAGTGTTGACTCTTTCATGAGAACTCCCTGAGACGTCCGCAGCTGTCTGGGCTGACATGTGGTCATGGTGCCCCAAGCTCGGAGTTGGGGCACGATGGTTCTCCGTAGTTCCAGAAGACTTTGTATATAGTATCATTTTCAGTCAGGACTAGAGAAGCAGTGACTTACTGAGTCTGCTGCCAACGTGTTGTCTTCGATGCAGCGCCGCTTGTCGCTATCTTCGTGCACCGAGGTAATGACTGCGAGTTGATGCCGATATGGTTTGTGGTCGTAGTATGTGCTTCTTGAGACTAGCCGACCACCATCGCAGTATCTTTTACAATCACAGAGGAGTTTTTCGGCCATGAAAAGGAGAGGTGGCAGCAAGGAAGCACGAGGAAGTGTGAAGTGCGTTGAGCAGTTCTCGAAAATGCGCGTCGAAACTGGATCGATCGGAGTTTGAACTGACTTTGCCTGTATCGTAAAGTCCAGTCGACATTGGTGCTTGCGTGTTTACTCAAGCTACTCAAGCTAACAAGATCGCAATTATCCATGTAGCTAGCCATGTTCATGTTATTTGTATACTGTAGATACGATGCAAGCATATAGAATCTGCTACCACATGTGTGATTTAAAATTCAAACAATCTGAACCGATTTGATTGAATCACGTCGGGTTGCCCCGCTCACAGCCGATATGAGTCAATCTGAACCAGCGGGGTTTTCACTGGGCTTCAAGCTTCAAGCGTGAGTCAGTTGCGTGACAAGCACTTCAAACTCCGACGGTGCCGTGACTCAACACTTCTTCCGAGTCCACACGCTACCAACACGCTACATAAGTATAAGTCAGGTTCGAGTTCTAATTGCTCTGCATCTTGCAGTGCGTTTACCGTTTTAAACAGGTTGCTACTGTGCAAGCTGTACTATCATTGTGAAATTTTGCACGGTTGTGCACGACAGTTGCATAGCAGTGCATGGTCACGCACAGTAAATTTCCGTGCCCCCATGCATCGCACGATAAGTCGGTCAAATTCATATCATCTCTTCGCTTGAAAAAAAAATTGGTTTGTAGGAAGCCTTGTATCTTTTTACCTCCTCAATGTCATTTGGGGGAGAAAGCTTGGAGTAAAAAAAAGAAAATTCACTGCATTGGGCCAATTTAAGTATCCGGCACTGCCTTCTTGTACCTCAAAATAGATGACCTGCAGAGCATGAGTTAGAGGCGCCGAAATGACAAGGGTTCGTCAATCAGCACTCGTGTCCGGAGAACTCAAGGAGTACTGCTCCAAGAAATGATTGTCGGCGCCTCTCGTCCCCTTTATTAACCCGTCAATCACTCCCAACTACACACATCGTACACACACCTCCTTCATGCCCTCTTCAAGAGGCACAGGCCTTACGATTTCGGGCGCAACTTTCAACGAGGTATCCAGTGGCAACGTGCATGTCGCCAACTGCCATCGCGGCAGCGGTATGTGACCCTCTAATATCAGGTCGTCGCGAAATCTGAGCACATTCACTTATAGCCAACCCTAACTACTACGAAGGGGGCAATGTCTATAAACTAACAAATAACGGTATTTACATTTTTATTCAGCATGCTCTATGGTGACTGGAAGGAATTGTAGGAATGGTCAAAGGGCAAATGTATCACGGGGGCATGCATGACCCCAATTATATCAAGGAATGTCCAGGTACGTCAAGTTCCTTTTCGTCGAAGTGCACCCCTCATCCGCAGTTCTCGCAGGTGTCGAGTACGCTTTCTGTAACAACGAGAGTTTCGAAACAGAACTGTGAGACGCGGTTTTCCATGGTGACTGAAAATATCAATTGACATCCAGTAGCCGCGGCAACAACTACATGGGTTTGAGGTCTGAGAAGGCAAGGAACTATGGCAGTACGTGTCTGTTGCCGCTTGAAATATTCGAGTCATGTATGTTAATATATGCATAGGTCCCTCGAACAACTACGTAAGGAGTAACGTTAGCCATATTGAAAATAACGGTACCCCTCCCTCGCTTCTCAGCCAGAAGAGCCGTGACTCAATAGATTCATAACTTCATAGGGGTGGTGAATGGGCAAATGTTCTACGCAGGGGACTACGGCGGCGATCGCGTAGGGGAGCAAGCAGACACTAGGTCAAACACGTCTGTGCGTCTCGTCCATGTTCTTCTATGTCGCGTTCCCTAAAAAAAGATATTGCGTATTCAGAAATTCCATAGACGTTTCACAGGCAACTCACCTACTAATTCCCATTCGTCTTCGGCACAAACCACACAATACAAGGAGCTTGATAAATATGCTTATAACTTTGGTCAGCATTGAAGACAACACACACGGAGAATACATGTAATTACTCACCGTATGATATTGCAGACCGTCCTTCAAGCGTCGCATCAAGCAATGACGACCTTGATCCATATTCCAGGTCTGCGAAATTCAGCATTTACGGCCCACCTCAAAGTTCATACCATACGGGCTACGGAGGTCCTGAACCTCCACGGAGCTCCTACGATCTCCCACGCTTCCCTATTTCTCAGGCAGATGATCCTCCTCCACCTTACGCCAATTATCCCTCGGCTCATTCGAGTTCTTCGTACCCAGCCAACGCTCCTTACACTACTGCGCCGTACGATTATAAGTATGCCATGAATGTGTTCCGCCAACCTAAATAATGACCAGGTTATTGCTATGTCATCCACTGTTTTGTGAGTATCGTTTTGTAATTGTACCACCCCGACTTGTAGAATTTGATGACTTACCAAGCGTTAACGAGCTACAATTCATCAGAGTGATTGTGGCGGTCGAGAGCGGCAGCGAGGTCTGACAGCTAATGTTCAGGGAGGCACTAAAGGGAATTCCGGAAAGGCATTGTGCAACCAGACAATCCAAAATTGAAATGAGCGCGAAAGTGGGCTGGTAGTAGTTATGCACGACGGTTGTAAACTTGAAGGTTAAGAGAAATGGAACCTTGGAATTCACAATGAAAGCTACAACAAACACCAGGCCGCGTTCATCCAAGCCATCTTGGTTAGAAATCGTCAAAAGGTCGCTTCGAAAACTTCGAAGATAAAAAGAGCGGGAGAGATTGTGCAATTGCATCCGAACTTTCAGGGTCCCACGGCTCCGAGCCCGACCAAAGCCCGACTCCCACCATGTTGCTATCAACTAAGGTACACCGCCAAACCAGGGCCAGGTCCCAGAATGCTGGATCAAATGATGTAATCACACGCCGCTCCCATATCACAACAATATGTTGACAGCTGGGCATGGTGTGAACTTCGCACTAAACACAGTGTGTCGCCAGGGAGATGTGTCTGGGAGGTGGTGAGAAAAGGTATTGACGGGGTAGACATCCAGGAAAAACTGGCATGGGGTCTTGTTATGTGAGTAGCCTGCACATATACCCATCACCGGGCTGCTGGTCCATTTCTTTATGACATGGCGGTCCAGGATTGAGCCATCTCTTTTCAAACCTTTTCTTGATGAATCAATGCTACCTGGAATCATGTGAGCACATCCTGTCTGTGTAGTATGGGAGTGGGAGCTGGCCACCAACTGATTGAGAATGCAAATGTATCAATATTGATGGAAACAATGAATGTATGTATGTAGAACTACCGACTACTAAAGGGATGGGGTTCTGAGGATGAGTGCATTGAAGCGAAATGGTAGGCTAATTATATAGGCACATAAGGAATGATAATCTACGAATAGTCCAAGCATCGAGGACAGGCTAAGGAATTGTGGTGGGCTAGTGGCAAATGACGGTGTCGACGCTTCCTTGGAATTCGTCACCATCACCGCTGGCAATGGTGTAAGAGGTTCAATCGCCGTACTTGGCCTGGTCGCCTTCCAGGATCTTTTCGAATGTACTAGGATTATTCATGAGAGCGAAAAGAGTTCCAGAACAGAAATAGCGGCATACCGTGTAATTTTCATTGTATCATCTCCTGCCATCGTCCGAATGAGTTTGAGTCGGGCATCCACCTTATCCCAGTAGGTTGCGTCGCTGACCTCCGTATATAACTTGCACTACCCAAAAAGAAAAGAGCGTTAGAATTTGGAGGTCATTGCCATAAGATCACTTACCAGCAGCGCCAGCCTTGCACACAAAGGTACTGTGACAGAGGAATGGGTATTCGTGATGACCGCGGTTGTGAGCTCAAAGATAGTTTCTGAGGCAACAACACTCTCCTTGATCTGGAAAACTCAACTTAATCTTTAAGCAGCACACTGTGAGGAAATAAACTTACCATTTTTTTAATCCGCGAGTGAGCTTGTGTTAGTTCGTCTTGAATGGCGGAGTTGATGACCTTTAAGGTGTATGCATTCTTCTCAAAGCCGGCAGGGAGGTGGACACCATCTTTCTTGATAAGAGTCTATGTAAATATGAGATTAAACGACTCGAAGAGTAGAAAATAAATCATTAGACATACAAAAACATGATCTCGGGGAAGACTGCCTTTGTATGCACCTAGTTTTGCTGAGAGAAGCACGGCAACGACAAGGCTCTTCATATTTTCCTTAAGGGTTAGGCATCAACACTATAATGAGTCTATTATGCAATATGGAACTCACAAACAATGGGCCTGAGACCGTGAATGGTGGAGCCGTCTTCACAATTTCATCGAGCTTGTTCTTGACGGAACACAGTTGAAGAAAAATCATCATGCCTTGGAGGAGAGGAGGGGCCTGACAAATGATAGAAACATGAGCTACGAGCTTACAGCAGGAAAATGAGTATACCTTGATAAACTGGTCAGCTTCAGTTCGTTGGTAAGGGGTAAGCTGCTGCTGCCTCAAGAGTCGACATGCCACAACAATCCCATTGGTGTCAGAACCACGGGAAGGAGTCGTTTCAAGAACACCAGATGGAAATTCCTCCTCAACGTCTCCTGGTGAGGGCGCATCATCACGCCCTCCAAAATCATCGCCAGCATCCGATGTCCCTGGGCTTTGACTCATAAACCCCGCAAGCTCTTGAGCAGCACACTCTGCATGGGACAAAGAAGGTTCATGTTGAAGAGGGGATGAGGATATTGGTGCGTCTGCCATGTTGATAAGAAAATCTGAAGGATTAAAGGTGGCAGATAAAAGGTGGCGGATAAAAGGATGTGGAAAAGAGTGAAAAAAAAATAAATGAACCATGTCCATTTAAGCGACGTCAGGGAGGCGGTGTTTGAAACTTGAAGCAGGGACCGGATCCAAGCAAGGTCTGCTTCGACAAACTTCAGACAACCTCATCACAAATTTTCAATGATCAGAACCCAAGGGCGCAAGCCAGCAGCCCTAGAGAATGGTACGATGGATCACCATCCATGTTTCAGTTCTCATAAATACTTTGTCAGTGGAAACACGCACCGAGGATGATAAAGTTCGATGTAAGATCTGCATCAAATATAATCTGTTGGGCCATTCCGAGCCATGGATTCAACAAAGGACTCTAAGCGGGATCCACCAGAAATCAAAGGCTCATGTAAAAGCAGTAGAACAGTGTGCAAATGCACTTCGAGAAGTGCAATCGGATGAGCACGATAACTTGGACCACTTTGCTGCTGTGCAGAATGTTTCCGTAAATCTTTGGTCAATGAAATCTGATTCAAAAGAAAGAGGGGGAAAGTTGTTAGAGGAATATGAAATGTGGGATGACTGGGAAATGGGCGGAGCGGGATTTGAGCTCGAAGATGGTGAGGCTGAGATTCTCTTGAAGAAGTGCCAAGAATTTGCAGACAGGATGGCCACCTGTGGACTCTGGGGTGGAATGGAAGCACCAAACGAAGAGGATGGAATGAGGGACATTGAAGAACTCCAGGAGGAAGAGGAAGATGATGATCTTCTTACTGAACTGTTGCAAGAAATAGGTGAGCGGAATGCTTAAACTCATTAGAAAGTTACTAACACTTTTTGCAGCCCTTGAACGGGAAGAAGATGAGGTTTACAATGAGCCATTAGACTCAGAAGCTTCAGAAGCTTGGTTTCCGTACACATCAAAACTGGAATTTTTGTTGGATACAATTGACAACCTACCTCGTATTCACTTATCGGGGTCCATGATGAAAGTTATCCTCTGGCTACTTCGTGAAGTTGGAGTTAAACATGTCCCATCTTTCAACAAACTGCGAAAACTTCAGAAAAGGGTTCGAGAGGATGGTGGGGTTCCAACGGTACATTGGATGTCGCCAAAGGGAAACACATTCTCTTTTAATGATCTTCGAGCCATCATTACAAATGTGAGGACGCTACAGCTCACCTTAAAATTCACCAACATTTTCTCTAGGACTGGACAAACCCTCTTGTTTCTCCAGAAATTCGCCGCTATCCAGTGATACCTGACAATGGAGTTATCTCAGAAGTGTGGCATGCTCGCAAATGGAGGCACAACATCGATCGCCATGTTGCAAGTCCGATGTATGATGCAGGAAATGGGCAACATTACTTTATAGATGAACCGGCATGTCTCGATAATGGGAAAGTGGTCATCCCGCTTCGCTGGGTGGAGGACGAGAGAAAAAAGGTATGGTTTGATGCGTGGGATGTCGAGTTTGATGACCAAACAGTGAGTGGCCTTTATGCGCTGGGTCAGATGGAGCTTATATTATTACTGTTCTAGAACCTTTCAACAATTAGAGATGAAAAAACGAGGTTGATCGATGCAAGTCAGTTACGAAAAAATTATCTCAGCCTTGTGGAGGAAGGCAGATTGCCACAGTGGTCACACGCAACAATTGAAAAAGGCCATCAGTCCCAAATACCAAATCCTGACCGAGCGCTGGCTGAAGGTGATCCCATTTACTGCAGTTCCGTTGACCTCTTCGGGGATGATGTCTCAGGAAACCGGACTAAAAGTTGGAATAAGCATTGGAATACTTACATGACACACCGAAATTTACCCAGAAAGCTTCTCAACCAACAAATCCATATTCACTTCATTTTGACATCAACTCATGCAACGGTACCTGAACAATTTCAAGGAATCAAGGAGATTATCGAGTGAGCGTGAATTTAAACAATGATGTGTAATTTATTTATTCCAAGATCCATCTCAGGGAAATGCATCGTGAGCCAGTCAAAGTCCGTGATCCCAGAACTGGTCAACAGACGAGATTCAAGATATATTGTAACTGTGCGCCTGGCGATAATCCTTCACAGAGCGAAACTTCTGGGCATATCGGCGGTAAGGGAAATCACCCCTGCCGGAAATGTAACCTAGGTGGACCACAAAAGACTAGGGAGACAGATGAGGGATTTCATGCGTCCTTCTTGGTGAGTGACATTTAATTCACTCTGATTCTTCATACTGATCATGTTTCCATTGACAGGCGGGAGAACTCCGATCATCACAGGATACCCTACTAAAAGTAGAGAGACAGGTCCAGACAGCATGCCTTGGTGTGGCCCAAGCGGTTAAGGATCTACAGACTGAAACTGGTGTCAAGGACGCTTTCACGCAGTCGACCATTGACGAGCTTATAACAAGTGCTCGGAACACGCAAAAACTCCAGCCAAATAAGTCACCTACAGAAATTCAGTCTGAATTAATGGCGTGGGTGAACGCCAACCAGGCGAGAGTGTATAACCCTTTTTTGATGATGAAAGGTATGAAGGCCACCTTGGTTGTAGTGTCTTTTTCGGAGCGCTAACCTTGGTTTTATTTGCTACACAGGTTTCGATGTGGCGCAGGACACTCCAGTCGAAATCCTGCATACTATATTGCTTGGGGTTCAAAAATATGTCTGGCATGGATCACACACAAGTTGGTCAGATTCCCAGAAGAAACTATATGCTCACCGCCTTCAAGCGACAAATGTTTCTGGCCTCTCCATCCATCCAATCCGTGCTAGCTACATTACACAATACACTAATTCTCTTGTCGGTCGACAACTTAAAACCCTGGTACAAGTCAACACATTCCATGTCTACGATTTAGTAGATAGCCAACAGTTTCTTCTGACGAAGGCGATAGGCAAGCTGGCAGCCTTGCTGTGGTTTCCAGAAATCCGAAATCTCGATGAGTATCTTGTATGTCTCTAATTTTACCTCGAAGCACTTGCTTGTTTGATGTTCTATCCTCAGGGAGATGTTGAAACTGCTGCAGCAAATGTTCTCGACATTGCCGCACTGATAGACCCTTCAAAAATTATCGCCAAGATCAAATATCATTTACTTGCGCACCTCCGAGCAGACATTATTCACTTTGGCCCTCTGATTGGGGTTGCGACGGAAGTATTTGAATGTTTTAATGCTATTTTTCGATATTGTTCTATCCTTTCCAATCACCTTGCACCTAGCCGTGATATCGCTTATCAACTTGCGGCACAAGAGACACTGAAACACATCCTTTCGCGTGGATGGTGGGCCACAAAATCTGGGATCTGGATGCGACCTGGTCCGTCAGTTCGGAATTTCATCTCAACAGACCCTGTTCTACAAACATTGATTGGATGGGCTCGCAACAACGCCTTTACCGAGCCAGGTAAGCATAAATTTGCCTTAATTTGGCATATGTTTTTGATGAGCTGCAGGAATGGTCAAACTTTTGCCCAAAGTTAAACACGAAAAGGATCAAAAGGAGGCTCGCCCAGAGTTCAGGTGGGCTGAAACAGCCACTGCATCGGCGGTTAACAGCGGATGTGTCGAGAGGAGTGTTGAGACTCTCTGGCACAGGGGAAAGCATGTTGTTGCCCAGTCTCAAGATCAATGCCAAATGGGTGCATGGGTTTTTGCGAAATCACCACTTGCGGTCAGTGAAACCATTCCGAAATTCATAGACGATGCTAAAACTATTATATTCAAGTTGACCGAGCCACCGGTAACAGGTCGCGTACTTGATATATTGCAAGAAATAGGAAACAAGCGCTGCTTCGTTGTCCTAGATATCTTCCACATCTCGGCGACTCGTCATCAAATCTTCGGGATGCCAGTTCTAAAGCGCCGGTTAAACGAAACCCACATATTGATTGTACCTGCAACAGTGAGTTAATTGTACCTGCAACAGTGAGTTAATTCTACTCCAACGTGAGGATCAAGTGTTGACATACCTCGCTCTAGAATCTCCTTTTCGAGTACAATGTGCAGCATGACTGCCAGAAGGCACACTGTACAGCATCTGGGAGGCAGCCAGTTGTCCAGGAACGTATTGAAATCGAAAAACAAGAAGATTTTATCGAACACAAAACACTTGATGAGTATCTGGTCAACACACACGGGTTTCATAACGCGCACCTTGTTCGAGCTGTCCTTCCAAGGGAACTCATTGCTCCGATCCCATATACCCTCGATCGAAAGGGCCACCACGATCGCATAGCAACCGACCTTCGAACCTCCCAAAATGCGAGATGAGCAGCGACAGCCTTAAAAGCTGCAGAAAAGAAGAAGGCCGGTGGGGCAGCTGAGGGATCAACGGCTGCAGCCAAAAAGAGGAAGCGAGATGACACCGTCACTGGCCGCGGTGTGGAAGAACAGAATTTTAATTGAAGGACAGGTGATCTGGTTGTCTACGAAGAACCAGAGTAAAATGACAGAAAAGAAAGGAGTGAGAAGAACGTTCGAAAGGTTTGCACAAAAAGCGCAAGAGGTACGTCGAGCGAGGAAATAAGGTGAAGACAAAGGGAAGGACGAAAACGGAAGCGCCAGTGAAAGTGTGGGAAGGCCTTAAAACGGAGGGAGAAAGGTAGATGCTAAATGAGGAACTTAGCGGTGAGCACGTTCAGGAACGCGCCGTTGAAGGTTGCTTCGACGAATCGTAAAGATACTTCATGCACGTAAAGCGGAAAGCTTGAAAATAACTTGAGAAAGCGACGTAAAACTCTTAAAATCTTATGAGAATGCCAATGGTCGACTGAGGCTCAGACTGAAAGGTGAGGGGGAGAAGACAGCTCCATTCGAGAGGTGGGAGGGCACCTTTATACTGTACAAAAATATCGAAATCACAAGGCTACGCACGTACTCTCATGCAGCCTGACCAAAACTTTGGGGAAAAAGTAAAAATAGAAAGAAGTCATTAAGTTCTGTACAGAAAAGCGAAAGAAGAATTAAAATTAAAAATGACATCACTCTCGCATTCCCTCAGCACAATCCTCGGACTAGGAATAACTCGGGGAACGTACAACGTCGGGAGAGGTCTATTTGCGTGCGCGACTGCCGCCCTCAGTGCGGACGTCCCGAACGTTGATGCTCTACCCTACCGTCTAGTCTTCAGAACGAGCGTCGGTTCAACGGACTTTGTCAAAAATACAAGCACTAAAAGAATAATAAATACAAAGACAAAAAAAAATGAAAGTGTACTGATCAAGTCCTAGCCCTTCAAAAGGAAAGTGTTGAACGCGAAGGTGGGTCGATGCGTCACGTGGCTCATACGTCTAATGTCCAACCTAGACTAAACTCGACGTTTAAGATTTTTAGTAAAGGACTTGTCTCAAAAACATAAATAACAAAAAAGTAAAAATATGCGAAGTGCACCATGAATGGAACAAGGTGCACTTCCACAATAGGGAGAAAATTTAAAATGATGCCCTCATCATTTCGAAAGAGAAAAAAATAAAATAAAATAAAAGAATCATGAGAAACTTAGCGGAGCGGAATAGTTTCGAGTGCCCATGCTTGAAGATCGGCGACGTTTGATGAGTCAATATAGCGAAGAGAAGTTGCCTCGGAATGCGATTGATATTGAACTTCCGATATGTACGTGTTTTTCGTGGGCTGAAGGTCCGCGATCGTTGGAAGAGCACGACAATGGATGTGTGAGTCATCAACGTTATGAACAATAAGGGAAGGGGTGAAAGAAAGGGATAGATTGCTTGGGAAGAACACTTTGCCAAATTTGACGGAAACAGGATAAGGTGGGGTCGTAAGGTTAGACTGGTTAAGTGTCCCAATCAACGTAGACGCGTGAACAGAAGTTGAGGAAGTTGCGGCAATGTGAAGAGAGTATTCCGACTGATTAACCGTTCGAACCATTTGATGCTCTTCACGATAATAAAAGATCTTTAAACGATTAGCGGCAACAGAACCTCGAATAACTGTCCCATCTAGCTCTCGTAACTGATACGTGGTATTGTGAAGCTTCCGGTGAACAATGTATGGGCCAGTCCATCTTAATGCGCCCTTGTTTCCCATCTGAGAATCCAACCACGTCTCGTGTAACAACACCCAAGTTCCCAAAATGAAATCGCCAGAGGTAAGATATTTTTCATGCTTACTATTGAAATCGTCAACAGCCCGTTGACGCGTACGCTTTTGCTCCTCCATAGCCAAGACGAGTTTCTTGTCGCGTCGAAGGATTTGCTGCATTCGAAGCGCCAGCAGGTCCTCGGTTGAGGCGACCTTGTGCCAGTCAAGCATCTCCCAGGTTCTATCTGAAAAGTCAAAAGCAAAGAAGGGACGTTGACCATAGAGAAGAAAGTAGGGGGTATACCCGGTGACTCTAGAAGTCGAACAACGCATCGCCCAAAGTCCCGCGTGTACGTATAGAGGCCATCGATATGTTTCTTTACCACAGGCTCGCATTATTGAGTTGGTGAGGGTTTGATGGGAGCGCTCGGCGTGTCCGTTTCCTTCTGGGTGGTAGGGAGTAGAGGTCACGACGACGATCCCGTATTGCTTGAAAAGGATTTCAACGGCTCCTCTAAATTCTTTCCCACCGTCGACCAGGCATAGAAGTACGCAACCGAATCGAGAATAGACTTCCTCATACAAGAACTTGGCCCAGTTTTCCGAAGAGGCCTTGGCAACTGAACACGCTTCGACCCAGGACATGGCAGGGTCAGTGGCTTGCAAAAGATACTTATGACCGTTGAGGCCGTCAGGCATGTGAATGGTATCGAGGTCAAATCTTCGTAAGATTCCGGTGCTCCAGGTAGGACTAAAGGCGACGATAGGGCGTGACTTTGACCGTAACTGACAAATATTGCATGAGCGGACGAAGTAAGCGACTTGGTCATATAAATTCGGCCAGTAGTATCGTTCGGAGAGGGTCTTGTAGGTCGCATCACGACCTCGATGTCCTACATTGTTATGTGCCTCTGCTATTAAGGCTGAACGCCGGTCAACGTCCACAATCACAAGTCGGGGAAGCTTCCCTTTGTGTTCGTATTTCCAAAGCCTACCCTCGTCGTGCAAAAAGAAATTCTTTGTCTGCCGAATAAAAGACTTTCTTTCAGTAGAGTCTTCACAACGCGCCGGCATGATGTCGTCCTTTAGGTACAAGATAATTTCAGCCCACATCTCAGGTGAATCCTTATCTTTGACACCGTATGCATGAACCGCGCAGGTTACTTCGATTTGAGACGGAACATCTTCGTAGTTGATCCTGTTGTCCGTTCGTAGCGTTGCGTCAAGTAGATCTAGGGAGGTAGGATTATCAGTAATCAACGGAGGAGACGCACCTTGTTTCAACGAAGACATATAAGCGCGCTCGTAAGAAAATATTTCGAGGGTACGTGCTTCCCCTTCCAGAACGCAGTCGATGACTTCAGCAGTGCAAACTTTTCGAAATTCGAATTCTCGTCCTGTGTAGGAAAAATTATCAGTGACCGACAAAAGGGAATACTTTACGAGGGATCCTTTAGATGAATCCCTGACTGAAGGGTCGTAAGGAACGCTCTTGATCTTTCTAATTTCTTCTCCCAAAGATTGTGATGGCTCTGAGGTAGACAAAAAGGATACGACGTTAGCGCAAGTCGAAGTGCAAAATGAAGCGTATGGGGTTTTTGGCGTGCGACGCATGGTGGACAATAAATCCAACAAGAAATTTTTGTCGAGAGGAAGAGGACGAAACCTGTGAAGGGATTCTGAAGACAAAGAATTAGCAAATTGGAAGAGAGAAAGAGATGAAGGCGTGGAATGCGCTGAGCCCATAAATCGGTCCAAATACTCCTCGGCGTCCTCGTCATCTGAATCTTCTGGAACACGGATCCGCCTTGACAGCCCATCTTCTGCGACGTGTGATTGTGATGGAACGTGGTGCATGACATAGTCAAAAAGAGCGATATAGGAAATCCATCGCGTCATTGGAGCATTAGGAAGGTCGGGTTGCTTGACCATTTCTATTAAAAATTTTGCGTCGACGTCGATTCGGAAATGAATCCCCCAAATTCTATGCCTAAGGTCTTTTATCACTCGAAAGACTCCATATAATTCTAATTTGGGTTGGGAATAATTCGCTTCAGTAAGGCTGAACATGCACGAGCCAAAGATCACCGGATGTTTTTCTTTTTGAACCATCTGATACAAAATCCATCCTGCTCCGTTTTGACAAGAGTCGACACCCACAACAACCAGTCCATGATCCGAGGGTCTAGGTGAAGGGTCAAGGCGATCGAGAAGTTTCGCAGCGTCATAGTCGAGCTTGATTAATACAGGAGCTGTAGACACCAATTGCTTCAACTTGTTCTGCGCTTCTTGCGCCTCGGGGGAAAAATAAAATTCGCATTGGACCGCAATCCTAGTAAGAAGAGTCAGAGGCTTTGCTATAAGGGAAAACCCACGTATCCATCTCCGCCCAACGCCTGCAGTACCTAGAAACGATCTAACATCCGTGACGCTAGTCAGAGGTCCCCACTTTAGAATCTTTGAGACCAAACCATGCTCAAGATGCCATCCCTCTTTTGAGACGATCGTCCCAGCAATGTGAAGGCGTGGAGTAGCGAGAACAAGTTTCTTTCCTGAAGCCGTGATCCCTGCCTCGATGAAATGTGCTAGAAAGCGGTCGAACGTTGTAGCGTATTCATAGACAAAACGACGAATCCCGGGTGCGACTTCTATATTTCCATATGTCGTGGTTGGACCTTTGAGACCTACGTCGTCAACAAATACTCCTCCATTTTTGGGTATTTCATCTTGTAAGGTGTGCGTGGTGCAACGTTGAAATTCGGGGAGAGAGTTGGTCGCGCCTTGAGGGAGAACACAGGAACGGTGGGGTCCTATCAAAGAACTGAAAGTTGTAAGCGGTCTGGAAGTAATGCCAAGTCTTTGTCCATCGTAACCTGAAAACAAATCTGCCAGGCCATAAATTACATGTCCTACGAAACTTTCTGCAAAATCATCAGTTCTTGGAGGTAAACCCGCATCGCGCACCGTAACTCTGTTAAGCTCTT